ATCAAAGTCAAATGCGAAATTATGCTTACAGTAAGGGCATTAGGTCGATCGGACAGATGTGAATCAGAAACCAAGACCCCTGCGGCAGAAATCATCGACTTCTCCAGTCGTTTCTCGCATTAGCGATTGTTTTCCGTTCCATTCCTGGACATCTCTTATTTTCCGGGAATCTGCACGGTATTTTCAGTTCCTGAACACCGCCATGACGCGAGATACCTTCAATTTTCTGTCCTTAAATCACGTTCAAAAGAATGCCGTCTACATTAAGCTCGGATTTATCGAAAAATTCGACCTTCGGAAGGTATCGAAGGTAAGCTTTATGCTTGAAGAGAGATCGAGAGCGAGCGAGAGAGAGAGAGAGAGAGAGCGAGCGAGAGAGAGAGAGAGAGAGAGAGACAGAGAGAGAGCGAGGGAGAGAAAGACCTGAGATAGTCAAGTTTGATCTTTATTCCTCCGACCATCCTTAATTTTTTCAGATCTTCACCGAACATTCAAGCCACCAATTTTTGATGCTGACCCGCTTCTCACAAATGCGCGTTAACGTTAGTTGATCTACTATCCCCCTAGAAATTTTCGACGCTGCATTTAAGAAACAAAAAATGCCCAAAAGTGTCTAGGTTTCGTACTGTGCTCCCGAGCGGCTGTGAGCAGTTTGAACTGCTAGAAATCGTTGTAATTATTCAAAACCAGCGCCCAAAACCCGCTTCGCGGGCCTTGGGCGCTGGAATTGGGCCTTTGCATGAAAAATTTGACTTCCCGATAGCTCGGGTCCTTCGGACCCCTTCCCCCACCGACCACACACGCGTGTGCAAATGGCAAGAATGAGGAGATTTGTATTTTTTCATATTATGCAAATTAACCCCGAAAATGAATAAAACCGGCTTTAACTTTGTAAACTTGTATTTTATCGAAATTCTGAAAACGCCATCGGAAAGAGGAGGGTCGATTCCCCCTAGTGACGAGGAATTAGCGCATTTTATACACGGGAAGGCCCTTAAATCGGGCCTCGAAAGTGACATCCACACACACACACAGAGATACACCCCAAAATTATATAAGGTAGGATCACGAAAAATAAATTTTGCCTAAAATATTTACAATCCTATTTCAAGGGGGGATTGAAAAAAAGAACTGCCAGGGTTCCGACATAAGAGACCATACGGCAATCTCTTAATTCGTCGACCCGCACGTGCTCCGGAGGTTAAAAATAGCACAATTAATGAATCCTACCTTATATAATTTTGGAGTGTATCTCTGTGTGTGTGTGTGTGGATGTCACTTTCAAGGCCCGATTTGAGGGCCTTCCCGTGGCCAAAACGGCCCAATTCTCCGTCACCCGGGGAATCGACCCTTCTGTTTCCGATGGCGTTTTCAGAATTTTGATAAAATACAAGTTTACAAAGTTAGAGCCGGTTTTATTCATTTTTGGGGGTACCTGAGGGCTAATTTGCATAATGCGAAAAAATAGAAATTTCCTCATTCTTGCCAGTTGCACTCGCGAGTTTGGTCGGGGGCGGGGGGTCCGCAGGACCCGAGCTATCGGAAATTTAAATTTTTCATGCAAAAGCCGCATTCCAGCGCCCAAGGCCCGCGAAGCGGGTTTTGGGCGCTGGTCTACTATAATAATTTTGCTGTGGTGTCTGTGTGTGTGTGAAGCCGAATTCAACTCGAAGGGGAAAGGAGCTAGAGCTTAGCTCTCTTCGGATTCGAATAGAGCGTGGTCAGAAACCCCCAAACTGATCAAAAAATTACAAAAAAGTTTTAGTTTAAATTATTAAAATTAACTTTGAAAGTGACGCCTTAATAAAACGAGTGGGGGCCCCTCTCTCGGGAGGCCACGCCCCCTTTCCCCGGCCCTTGCCCCAGGCCGCCCAGTTCGCTTTCTTAAGTTACTTTAATACTTTTTAATATACTTTTTAATACTTTTTAATTATGTTAATTAATTATTTAAATTATTGAAAGTATCTAGGAAGGTATTTAGGTAGTTTTTGAAGGGGATTTCAGCCATGGGAGGTATCTGAAGCCATCGGGAAGGTATTTAGGTAGATTTTTAAGGGGATTTCGGCAATGCGGGGTATTGATGGAGGTGGGAAAGGATGTGGTGGAGTGGGACATGTAGGGTAGCCCGAAGGCCAGATGGTTGCAGTGGCGAAGCGACTGCAACCATCTGGTTAATGCATAATTTATAGAGGGAAGGTCCATTTGCTAACGGCGCCGTGATTGTCGATATAGATGACCGAAGCGTGTTCTGGTTCTGCATTAACGAGAAGCACGCTACTTTCCAGCTTAAATACTTAAGCATGCCGGCTAGCCGGTCTGGTCTAAGCGGCGTCCCTCTAAGCTACGGCGTAAAACTGCCAACCCCGACACCCGAATTTCTATTTCTGTTCTTGCATCGGCTCATGCGGGTTTTGCCAGCACAAGATTGCAGTTTTGGCGAAGACTATGTTCAGGTGCGTCTCTCTCTGTCTCTCTCTGTCTCTCTCGCTCTCGCTATCTCTATCTCGCTCCCACTCTCTCACTCTCTCGCTCGCATCCGTCTCGCACTCTCTCGCTCTCTTTATCACAAACTTCCTTTCTGTCTCTCTCTCTCTCTCACTCTCTCGCTCTCTCTCTCTCTCTCTCTCTCTCTCTCTCTCTCTCTCTCTCTCTCTCTCTCTCTCTCTCTGTCTCAGTCCCCCCTCTCTCTCTCTCTCTCTCTCTCTATATATATATATATCTTTCTCTCTCGCTCTCTATCTCACTCTCTATCACTCTCTCTATCTCTCTCCCTCGCTGGCAAAAACTTCCCTTTTCAGAACGATCCTGCTCCCTATGAAGCATTAGAAATCTGGCGGGGCCCCGTATCGACCTCCTACTGGGAAACGATACACAAGGATCTTGTTCAACGCTTACAGGGCGCCCGTCGTCATCCGAGACGGCCTGAACGGGTGGGAGTTCCTATCACAATGTTGAAATTTCAGAATGTGATATTTCAAACGGTCGAAATTTTTTGGATTGTTTTTTTTTGTAAAATTCTTTTGCCGCCTGGAGACTTGATTGTGTAGATTTCGATGAGTACAATTTTCCGAGTTTCTTTTTTTATTCAACACCGATTTTGCAGATAGATTTGCACTTCAGTCGTCTCGGCTGGACAACAGAGGCTCTCGAACAGGTTTGACTTCTTTGAATGGCGTTTGATTTTTGCTGGAGTAGGTGCTACGAGTTCCATTCGCTATGCCGAATTTTTGGTATACCGAATTTTCACCATGCCGATTTTCACGATACCGAATTTTCACCATGCCGAATCTTCGCCATACCAATTTTGATAAGCGGTATGTTCCCCATTTTTTTTTACTGTTTTTCCAAATATCATGGGCCTAGAAATTTCCAGAAACTCGGGCAGATCGTAGGTCCCGTAGGCGCAGCAGATTTTTTTTTTTTGTTGCACCGCAAAGTCCCAGCCGATCTTAGTTATTAATATTAGTAGAGGGTAGTAGAGATAGCGAAAATTCGGTATAGTGAAAATTCGGTATAGTGAAAATTCGGTATAGTGAAAATTCGGTATACCGAAATTCGGCATAGCGAAAATTCGGCATAGCGAAATTCGACATGGAGAAAATTCGGCATACTGTAAATCGGCACATCGAAAATCGGCAGAGCAAGTATTGACTAGGTGCTACACATCCCGAGAATCGGGCTACAATTCTACTATGGGGAAGACGATCAATTGGAGGCAGCGATGGACACGTTGTTGGCGCTGCTGGAGGCGCTGCTGATAACGGTAGGGGTAACGATGGTACTACGTCTGCGCCGCTAGCTTGACCATCTAGCGCCTATTCCTAAGCCGGCAGCGCTAGCTTGATCGGCTTGCTTCGTTCCTAGGCCTGCGGCGCAAGCTTGAGCATCAAGCCTCATTCCGAATCTTGCGGCGCTAGCTTCAGGGCTTGGTTCGTGTTAAAGCTAGCGGGCCTAGCTCGAGAGGTTGTTTCCTCTTTGATCGGCTTGCTTCGTTCCTAACCCTGCCGGGCTAGCTTGGTCGACATGCTTCGTTCTTAAACCTACGGGGCTAGCTTGGTCGGCTTGCTTCGTTCCTAAGCCTCCGGGGCTAGCTTGGTCGACATGCTTCGTTCTTAAGCCTACGGGGCTAGCTTGGTCGGCTTGCTTCGTTCCTAAGCCTGCGGGGCTAGCATGAGAAACGTGTTTCATTCTGGAGCCTGCGGAGCAAGCTTAGCGACTTGTCCTTGTCCTAGCCTGCGGCGCAAGCTTGAGGATCTAACCCCATTCCGAAGCTTACGACGCTAGCTTAAGGGGCTTCATTCGTTCTGAGCTTGAGGATCTAGGCCCATTCCTAAGCGGCTCTAACTAACCAAGGTTAGCATCATTTTTTGAGCCTGCGACGCTAGCTCAAGAACCTGGCTTCATTCCTAAGCATGCGACGCTAGCTCCATCGGCTTGATCGGTCATAATATACCTTTTTAGTACCCCGCCACGGGCGGCGGGCCGCGCCTCGTCTACCTGTCATTCCGATGGCACCTCGGTTTACCGGCTGGCGCCGAGGTATGCATAGCCGTGATCTTGGGCTGCTACTGTATTCAAATCTTAGGTGATGTTCCGGCTGCCCGAGCGACTGTTCGCCTTCCTCGAGAGACCGGATATTTGCAACCATGGCGAGGTGCAAATTTTCTCGTATGACGGACTGGTAGGTTGTTGTAAGAATACGAAGATTTCGGCCTATGACATAAAAAATATAATTTTACAGACCTATTGCCACGAAACGCATCAGTATCGTTGGAGGCGGGTCCACTTTCTGGTGACGGTAGCCCAGAATTACGGTAATCGCAGAGGGCAACTGTATGCGGAACAACGACATCGAGCCGAGCCAAACTTCAACGAGTACACTTTGGAATGGTCAAACTACTGAAAATAACCACGCTTTGGAGCAAAGAATAGATTTTCTGTTCAATAAACATTTTTGAAAAGAAGAATTTTGATCGTTTGCGCATGATAGTGAGACAGAGAAATGGAGACAAAGAAACGAAGAGAGGACGACAGACATAGAGAGAGAGAGAGTACGAGAGCGAGAGAGAGATAGGCAGTGAGAGAGTGAGTGAGAGAGAGAGAGAGAGAGAAGAGCGAGGAAGACAGGAAACAATAAGAAAATGCAAACCATTAAAGTCAGATGGAAAATTATGCTTACAGCCCGGGCATTAGGTCAATCGCGCAGATGTTAATGACAAAACCATGCCGCCTGCGGCAGAGATCATCGATTTCCCTGGTCGTTTCTGGCATTAGCGATCATTTTCCGTTACATTCCGATGCCCCTGTTATTTTCCTGGAACTTACACGATATTTTCAGTTCTCTAACACCGCCATGACGCGAGATCCCTTCAATTTTCCGTCCTTGAACCACGTTGAAAAAACTGCCGTCTACAGGAAACTCGGGTTTATCGAAAAATTCGATCTTCGGAAGGTATCGAAGGTAAGGTTTATATTTAAAGCACGAGAGAGAGAGGGAGAGAAAGAGAGAGAGAGAGAGAGAGAGAGAGAGAGAGAGAGAGAGAGAGGGAAAGAACGAGCGAGAGTGAGCGAGAGAGGGAGGGAGAGAGAGCTGTGGTTTACACTGCCAAACCGTTACTCCTTCTCAGATCTTCGCCAAACATTCAACGCACCATTTTACGATGATGACCCGCTTCTCACAGATGCGCGTTTTCGCTACCCTTGGGCAATCGAACAAAGCCACCATCGTCGAATGGCCGCATGGCCGAAGCGAGTTCTGGCTTACCATCAACGAGAAGCACCGTACTCTGAAACTTGTCCACGAATCGAATACTTTGACGGGCGATATCCGCTGCAGCTACGAAGCCGAAGTGCCAATCGCGTCGCCGGAATTTCTATTCGACTTCTTGAATCGGTTCATGCGGGTTTTGCCAGCACAGGATTGCGATTTTAGCGCAAACGGCAGCAGGGTGCGTTTCTCGCTCTCTCCCCCTCTCTCTCTCGCTCTCGCTCTCTCTCTCGCTCTCTCTCTCTCTCTCTCTCTCTCTTTCTCTCTCTATCTGTCCCGGAAAATTCCCGAACTTAGGAGAATGCTCCCCGGTATGCAGCGCTGGATATCTGGCAGGGCGCTTTCTCGACCGCTCCCTCTCCCTTTCTCTCTCTCTCTCTCTCTCTCTCTCTCTCTCTTTCTCTCTCTCCCTCTCTCTCTTTCTTGCAAAATTCCCGGTTTTAGGAGGTTATTGGCGGTTATGAAGCGCTCGACATCTGGCGGGGCGCTGCCTGGACTGCAGTCACGACCTATAGGGGCAGCAATGTGTGTGAACGTCTACGGGAAGCCCGTAAACGTCCACGGCAACCGGATCGCGTAAGGGTTTCCGTCCGTCTGACCCATGGCTCTCGGAGTTTTGTAACGTAAAAACTACGTTTGAAAACTGTGGGCAGCACATAGGATAACGGGTGGTAGTCTACGTTTTGGCATTTTCAATATTTTGAAAAGCCTTTGACGAACTGAGGAGATATGTTCTTACCGATTTTGAAATTTTGCAAATTTTTAGCTCTATTTTCAAAGTTTTTTTTGCAAAAAGTTGCAACTTTTTGTCGAAAAAATCATTATAGTAGACTTCGGCGCTATCCCAGCTGTGTTTTTTCAAATGGCTTCCAAAAAGCTGATCTCGGGCTACCAGAAAAGGTGTCAGCATTCAAAAAAAAACGTGGGTTTTTCTCAAAACCCTTTCCTTGGGAAGGGCAACCCAATTTGGTCCTTTCCGCAAAAATCTAAGTAAATACAGGAAAAATTCGCAAAATTCGAAAATCGGCAAGAATCCCTTGAGAGCGATGACAACTTTCGATAGATGCCTAAATCGTAAAAATCAGACTTGACTGCGGACCACTAGAGGGTTTTTTTTTGGGACACCCTGGATATGTACTTGCCTCTCGAGGCATGGTCGATGAAAGAGACTGGTTAGAAACTCGTTTTCCAGATGGCTCTGTACATCAACCTCGATGATTGGTCAAATGAGATCCTTGACCAGGTAAGCGTTGATTTAAAGGGGCTCCGAAGCCTGATCTACGGTCCCCAGCGTTGAATCCTGGCCAATAGCCAGATGCGAAGGCAATGCAACCGCATGCCCCCCCCCCCCCCCCCCCTTGTCCCTGTTTGGACGTGAAATGCTTGAATTTTAAAATTCGGACGCTATTTCGGGAATACTCACCGAATCTTGATCATTGATGATCATTCTAGACGTTTAAATTATGAAAATTAAGCAGGGTAACGCTGAGCGAGAGATTGTGTGCCATACATGGCATTACGACATGTAATAGCCGTGCGCTCTATCGTTTTCGCCCCGAGAACATTTCGGTTTTACTCTAACTCTCGGTTTTTCACTACGACCCGACCCCAGCTTGGAGCGCACCTAGAATTCGAAGGGCCATTGGCACGGCATACCAAAGGCACAGGCAGGTACTATCGGCCGCGGCGTAATTTATTAAGAAACACTACTTAATAAACGTCTTATAATTTTATTTAAGCGTTTTAATATACTATAATATTTTCTACATATTTATAGGGCTTAGTTATATAGTTTTTATATAAATTATTTGCAAATACAAAAAGAGTGCTTATGAGCACCCGCGGCCGATAGTACCTGCCTGTGCTTTTGGTATGCAGTGCCATTGGCAGGCCTGCGCCGGGGGTGCTGTCGCTGGCGCGCGTTTTAGGCGACGAACCGCCGCAATTGCACCACAGCATTCCGCCCTTTACCAATTGTGTTCGTTTGACCGGGACAGGTTGGCAGGCATACAGGGGTAGGGAGAATCTGCGCTCTGGCCCCGCTCCCTGTTCTCTTCCCCCGTGCCCTATAGTCTAGTCAAACTGTTTCGCCGCCTATTCCGCGCCCCACCCCTCCCCTGTGTGTCTGCTCCCCCGCCGTCCGGCGCACTATCCGCCAGCCTACTCACGAACACCGCGGAATCATGTGGCACGTGATTTTCAGCGGAAAAGCACGTGAACCTAATAGCCCGCGTAAGCGGTTCCCGGTCGCAGCGCGACCGCGCCGCCCCGCGCACCCTTCCATTCCTATCGGGGCTTCGGGGGACGTGACTTGAAGCAACGAAATCACTTTTCTGTTAGTTTTCGGCAGTGGCCCGTTCGTTTTTTGACCAGTTCAATCCCCCGCACGCACGAATTTTAACTTCCGAGCCCCTTTAACCGCGGTAAGAAGGGTGCTGATGGAAAAGTACTCCAGCAGCAACCGCAAGGACGTTCTCTCCAACCTAATACATTTACAGATGCTGCACATTCCACAAATTGCACTTCACCACATGTTTTGGGGGTTCGCCGAATGGGAGCCGGCGATGGATGCGTTGTTGGCGTTGCTGGAGGCGCTGCTGGTTCAGGTAAGGGTGACGGTCGGGTAGACGCCGATAGCTCTGCCACCTTTCACAACGGATTATTTTAAACGTCTTGAATCCATAGTTTTGAACCTCCTGGTCGAGTTCATTCACACTGTTGCCAACAAGTAGACGTTCTTTAGTGTGGATGGCGTTTTGAGTCGAAACCAGGCCTATTTGGTGCGGAATTTTGGGCTGATTCCGAATCTGGTTTCCGTTTTTGCTAAATAGCTCGATTTAAAAAGTTACAGCCACTTTAAGCTCACTTTGGCCCAAATTGTGTGATCTTTAAGGCCCATGACGTTTGATTTTCCCGGCTGATTTTCCAAAAATCCCGCTTACTGTAACCCTCTTATGCTGACCGTGGCATTTGGTTAGGTAGATAGCACATCTTGTACAGATTTTTTGATTTTGAATCCCTTTTCGAAGGCTGCGGAACCCCTGGGGAAACAGGTTAAAAATCGATTTTAAATTTATACGAAATGGTCCACTAGGCCTCTGCGCGAGGGGGGGCTGTTTGTAAAGTACAGCCGGTACAGCGGGTACAGCCGGTACAGCCGTTTCGAGATGGTATGGAAAGGGGAGAGAGACGCAGAGAAAATGTCTGCGCTCTCTCCCTCTGCCCACTCTTGCCGGGGGGGGTTTAACCTGTTTTCGGAGGAATATCGCAACTTTTGAAAACGGATTCGGAATAGGAAAAATATCCTCACAAGACACCCAACTTCTCACATAATGAAATGCCAAGGTCACCATAGGAGGGGTACAGTTAGGTACCTTTTTAGTGCCCGCCGGCCGGAGGCATGACCCGCCTCTTGTATTATTCCTTGGACTTCATCGGAATGCCGTCACTGCATGACATGGCGGTAAGGATTGCGCTCACGTTTGCTTACACTAGTTCGGCTTCGGCATCGGCCAAACAAGCCGTGCATTCAAATTTTAGGTCGTGTTCCGGCTGCCCGAGCGACTACTCACCTACCTCGAGAGACCGGATATTCGCAGCCGTGGCGATGTACAAATTTTCTCACATGGCCGGCTGGTAAGTTATTCAACGATTGTAACGCTTGCGCTAAAAACACCATTTTGCAGAAGTTCTCCTGTCACGACACTCAAGAGAATCGTTGGAAGCAAGCCCGGTTTCTGGTGACGATCGCCCAGAATTACGGTAATCGCAGAGGGCAGCTGTATGCGGAACAACGACATCGAGCTGAGCCAAATTTCAACGAGTACACCCTGGAATGGTCAAACTACTGAAAATAACCACGCTTTGGAGCAAAGAATAGATTTTCTGTTCAATAAACGTTTTTGAAAAGAAGAATTGTGATTGTTTAAGCATGATAGTGAGACAGAGAGATGAGACAGAAACGAAAAGAGAAAGACAGACATAGAGAGAGAGTGAGTGAGGGAGAGAGAGAGAAAGAGAGATAGGCAGAGAGAGAGAGCGGGCAACCCATTAAAGTCAGATGGAAAATTATGCTTACAGTAAGGGCATTGGGCCGATCCGCAGATGTGAATCAGAAACCATGACCCCTGCCGCAGAAATCATCGATTCCTCCAGTCGTTTCTCGCATTAGCGATTATTTTCCGTTCCTTCCTATACACCTCTTATTTTCCTGGAATTTCTACGATATTTCCAGTTCTGTAAAACGCCATGACGCGCGATGCCTTCAATTTTCGCTGCTTGAACGACGTTCAAAAAAGTGCCGTCTACAGTAAACTGCAGTTTATCGAAAAGTTCGATTTGCGGAAGGTATCGAAGGTAAGGTTTATACTTAAAGAGCGAGAGAGAGAGAAAGAGAGAGAGAGAGAGAGAGAGAGAGGGAGAGAGAGAGAGAGAGAGCGGGAGGGAGAGATAAAGCCAGCTAGATATATCTGTGGTTTCCGATGCTAAATCTGCGTTCCTTTTCAGATTTTCACCAAACATTCAACGCACCAATTTACGATGACTACGCGGTTCTCCGAAATGGCCGTCCACGTTAGTTGAAAACAAAACCAGAACAATCTAATCATTCGAGATTCTGACATTCGAGAATTTTTAATTCGAGATTCTGATCGGGAATTCAGTTAATGCATGTTTATAGTTCGACTCTATATGTTCTAACAGCGCCGACATTTTCGATAGCGAAGATGGCCGAAGCGAGTTCTGGCTTCGCATCAACGAGAAGTGTCCCACTTTGGAGCTTGCGTACTTGGACACACTGGATACCTTGTCTGGCCTAAGCGGGCGCTGCTACGTAGTCAAAGTGCCAATATCGACGTCAGAATTTCTATTTGACTTTTTGAATCGATTCCTGCGGGTATTGCCAGCACAAGGTTGCGATTTTAGCGAAGACTACTGCAGGGTGCGTTTCTCGCTCTCTCTCCCTCTCTCTCGCTCTCGCACTCTCTCTCTCTCTATCTCTTTCTCTCTCCCTATCTGTCCCGAAAAATTCCCGGACTTAGGAGAATGCTCCCCGGTATGCAGCGCTGGATATCTGGCAGGGCACTTTCTCGACGTCCCTCACAATCAGCTGTGTTGGAGATAGCGCTATGTGCCAACGGCTACGGGAATCCCGCGAGCGTCCACGGCAACCGGATCGCGTAAGGGGGTTCGCTTCAATTACCAATCACCTGATCGAAAGGCACCTAATCGAAAATCTTCTAATCGAAAATTGTCTATCCGAAACCAGCTCAAAATCCAGTTGAAACACATGGTAGAAGCCCAAAAAAAAACATAAACTTTTGAGTTATTTTCGCTCAGGTGACTGCCAATCGCTGGGGTGCAATTCGAAACATATTTTCCAGATTGATCTGCGCTTCGGCGACGATCCATGGTCAAAAGAGGTCCTTGAGCAAGTAGGCATTAATTGAGCACCGTTCAATTCTTTTTTTAGACGTTGCACGTTCCTAAAATCGGGTTTCACTTTGTTTATCGGTCGGTCGGTGGATGGGGGCAGGCGATGGATTCGCTGATGGCGCTGCTGGAGGCGCTGCTGATCACGGTAGGGGTCGGCTCGAAATCGGCAGCTACGTCGGGTTATCAGTTTTTCGGCACCTTTGGCCATATTTAAGCCCAAAACGACGCTTAGAATTTTAAAGATGACCAGGGTTGAAAAGCCGCTACGCAACTTTTCAACCCTGGCACCGTCTGGGCCGTATGAAAGTTTACACTTTGCATAATTCCACCCGCATCCCATGAACGAAAAATGAGAAGCACGGCTCTCTCCCCCTTTATATAGGCTAGCGTCACTTCCGGCGTATGCTAATTGCTTCCTAACAAAGAAGCTGAGCGAAATTTTCACAAAAACCTAATTTTAATATCGAAAACAGCTGATTTTCATAAATCTGATAGGTGTGCAGTCGTGTCATGACCATTGCGGACCTAATGACGTATCATACATACCTCTAACTTCTCCCTTTATTGAGATACGACTGGAACATACGGACGGAAGTTGCATGCGAATGCACACACACACACACAAACACTATTTTTTTATATATAGTAGGATAACTTTTAGAAGTAATGATTTTCGAAGAATGGTGGGTGGCCCGGCCGTTTCCATCCCGCTTAAAGCGCACGTTCAGGGAGGGGCCGTGTACTCGTCCCAACGTGTACACCCTATGGACGTAAGGACCGCGCGCACGGCCTGCCCGTGCTGTGACAGACCATTCCCCTCCTTTGCGGCGTGGGGCGCCCCTCGCCCCCTGGCCAGGTTGTAGCTGTGGCTGACTGGTATCCATCCGCGCCTCTTGAGCGGGGGGGGCGGGTTCGACCCCCGGCCACGCCAAAATCCTTGCTTTTCAAAAAAAAAAGTCCCTGAACGAGCCCTTTAACTATGTTTTCAGTACCTGCCGGCCGACGACACGGCGCGCCTTTTTTATCATTCTTTGGGATTCGAAATGCCGTTACCCGATGAAATGGCTGTAAGTATGCCTGAGCCTCAGCCTAAGCTTAAAGCTAAGCCTGCCTAAGCCAAAGCCTAAGCCTAAGCTCAAGGTCGTAAGCCTGAGCTTGCCTAAACTAGGCCTTTGGTTAGACCAAGCCTAAGCCTAAGCAGGCGTATGTTCAGTCAGGTATAGGCTTAGGCTTCCCCAACAAATCCAAGCAGACCAGCCATTCCACTTTTAGGTCGTGTTCCGGCTGCCCGAGCGACTGCTCGCATACCTCGAGAGAGCGGATATTCGAAGCCGTGGCGATGTGCAAATTTTCTCGCATGACGGACTCGTGAGTCGTTTTCATAATACAAAGATTTCGGGCTGTGACACAAAAACTACAATTTTACAGACCTACTACTCTCGCGAAACGCAGAAGTATCGTTGGAGGGAGGTGCGCTTTTTGGTGACGATCGCCCAGAATTACGGTAATCGAAGAGGGCAACTGTATGCGGAACAACGACATCGTGCCGAGCCAGACTTCAACGAGTACACCTTGGAATGGTCAAGCTACTGAAATTAAGATCACACTTCAATAAATGTCATCATTTATCTTCAATAAATCTTTGCTAAGAATCGCTATTATCATCATCTACGGAGAGCGAGAGCGAAAGAGAGCGAGTGAGAGAGAGCGAGAGAGAGAGCGAGAGAGAGAAAGAGAGAAAGAGAAGAACAGGAGATTCTTCTCCCATTAAATTCACACCATTAAAGGGGCTACGAAATGCCAAAAATTGAGTGACGGCCCGAAAATCGGAGCCCTGTACGTCGGAGGCCTCTGTACGCCCAGGGGCGGGGAAGCTCGCAAAATTTGAAATTCCCTGTTGTCACCTCGCAATCACCTTCTCGGCTGTTTCTGGGCCAAATTTGATGATTAAAGCACCAAAACTATTTAAAATTGAGTGAGGATTTCAAAAATGGGCTCAGAATGCGCGAATTGGAGTGTTTTCACAAAGAAAACCGGGCAAAAACAACTTCGCGCAAAAATCGAAAGAGTGAGGGCTCTTGTCCCGCAGCGCCCGCTAGCAATTTGCCAGAAATCAAAGAGCCCTCCCAAAAGGGCTTGGATTTGGCAGTTCGGAGCCCCTTTAAGGTCAGCTTCCGGGAATGAGCTATGTACCCCACCCCCTAAACCATTGAATCCTAGCTTCGTTTCGGCGTAGCAAGAATTTGAGACGATTTTCCGTAACATTCCGAGTCGCGCATTGTTTTGCCCTGAATTTAACGGTCTTTTTCCGCTCTATAAAACAACAATAATGCTAGATTCCTTCATGATTCGCGACGGTACGCGTTTTTTGACGGTTTTTCCAGCCTTTAACATCCTATAACTTTCCTTTTCCGGCTTCTATCAGATTCGCCTTGTTCCGTGAAAATTTTCCTTTGTAAGAGTTACATAACGTGTTTCGAAGCGGCGCAGAAAACGCAAAAGGTCGGCAACCATGGGCGTCGAACTTACACCAATAAAGTGGGACAGACACTACATTTGCCGACCGTGCCACAACCGCCCCCGATAGGATGGGGTCGGTGGCACTCTTATAGGCGTGGCTGAGAGAAACAGGGCCCACCATAGAGACGGCAGACGAGAGAGAGAAAGAACGAGAGAGAGAAAGAACGAGAGAGAGAGAGAGAGAGAGAGAGAGAGAGCGAGAGAGAGATAGAGCGAGGAGCGTTGGACTCTTATGCCCACGAACTAGGAAGAGAGCTGGCCGTCTTTAGAGACGACAAACCATGAGAGAGAGAGCGAGAGAGCGAGAGAGAGAGAGAGAGATATACAAGCCGTTTCAAACGATCGACCCTTAGGGGAATTAAGTTAGCGCACTAGGTCGATCAGGCAGATGTCAATCAGGGACCATTGCGCTTGCAACCCCAAAAAAAAATCGACTTGCCCAGTCATTCGGTCGTGGTCCTCATTTTCCGTTACATTCCTATGCGCCTTCCTGGTTTTTGATGCGTTTTTTCAGCCACATCCGCCTTTTCGGAGTATCTACCGGACCTTAAATGATGACCGCTTGGAAGGCTTTCGATTTTGCATCCCTGACCGACACCCAAAAAACGGTCGTTTGTGAGAAGCTCGGCTTTATCGAAAAGTTCGATCTCCGACGAGTCTCGAAGGTGAGAGAGAGGGAGAGAGGGAGCGTGACAGAGGGCGAGCGAGAGAGCGAGACAGCGGGCGAGGGAGAGAGCGAGACAGAGGGAAAGGGAGAGAAAGAGCGAGCGAGAGAGAGCGAGCGAGAGAGGGATAGAGGGAGGGAGATAGTGGGAGCGAGAGAGAGAGAGAGTGCGAGAGAGGTTTAGAGAGAGAAAGAGAGGCATAGAGCTCTAAATGAATGTTTATTTTCTTTAGAATGGTGCCCTACATTTTTACAGGTATTCACCGAAAAGTCAGCCCACCATTTTTCGATGATGACACGCTTTTCGAAGATAGAAGTGAAGGTAGGTTATGCCTTTTTGGGCGTGTGGCGTGCAGCGCCACGTGGCTGTGGAGGCCTAGCCGGAATTGTGTCCAATACATTGTTTCAGCATATTGCGAAGGGAAACAACACATTGTCGATAGACGAATACAGCGACCACAATACCCTGAGCCTTTGGCTGTTTCCACCGCACGACTCTCTGGGTTTGGAATACCATAAACGTGCCGGGTATGCAGCTACACTTTTTGAGTTGAAACCGGTAGCAAGGATTGAACACATTTTAGAATCGTGCAGTACAGAGTGTCCCAATCAAAAAAACATCCCCACTAACTTGCCGCAGAAGTATCGGAGCGGAATGATAGTTACACCATTCGAAAGCCCTTGAAACGGCGAGTTTGCAACAATTTTCAAAAAACCATGTTTTTATTGAAACGCGCATTTTTACAAGCCATTTCATACAAATTTTCCGTTTTTCAAGGTTGAATACGACCTAATTTGCCTCATTTTCTCCAAGCAAAATGGCCGGAAGTAGCCGTTAATTAGATGCAGCGGCTGTTTTTTAGTGTTTTAAATGCGTTGTAAATTGGCTCGTTTAAATAAAAACATGGTTTTGAAGATTGTGACAAATTGGCCGTTTCAAGGACTTTCGAATGGCATAACTACCATTCCGATCCGATACTTTTGCGTCGGGTTAGAGGAGGTGTTTTTTATTGGGACACCCTGGGGTCGTTTATGAATCCAGGCGGTACCGTATGTGATTTCAGTCCGGAAGGTCACGCGAGAAACTACGAAGCCCAGTTGCCATTTGCATCGCCCGCGCTGATGTTCGAATTTGTGAATCGGTTCTTGCGGCTCCTGCCTCCACAGAATTGCGAATTCAGCGAGTTCCCGCTGACGCCTCATGAGGTCAGCATCCTGTAAAAAATGGCTTTCTCTCTCCTTCTCCCGCTATCTCTCTCGCTCTGGCATTCTCTCTTTCCCTCTCTCACTCACTCTCTCTCTCTCTTTCACTCTCTCACTCGCTTTCTGTCTCTCTCTGTCTCTCCCTCTCTTTCGCTGTCTCTCTCTCTCTCTCGAGCTTCCATTTTCAGGAACAAATTCGCCCCTTTGACACCTTGGACATCTTCCAACTACCATTCTCCGCTAACTACTCGTGCCAAGGGCCTGGTGAAATGGTCGCACGGCTGAAGGCCACCCGACTGCTATCGAGGCAACCAGATCAGGTGTGGATTTACGCCCGAACAGCGCTGGCTTCGATCCATACAGCCATAATGGGTATCGACGACTACCCGAAATCCAAAAAAACACCTGAAATTGGGCGTCGTTTTCCAGATGAAGTTAGTGTTCGGCAACGGGTGCCAGATAGAACCTGAACCCGAGGACGGAAGCCCCGGCTATGGTCGTGTTTTGGAAGAGGTTCGTATTCAGCAGCGGCTTGCGAATTTTGTCTCGTGCAGGTGTTACACATCCCGCGTGTCAACTTCAGCCTATTATACTGGAGAACCGATGCCTGGGAAGAAGCTATTGATACGCTGCTGGTGTTGCTTGACGCGGCACTGGTAAAGGTAGGGTTCATGGCGTTTACTCGAGTCGGTAAAACAGCCCTCTACCGTACCCATTTAGCACCGCCCAATCGGCGAAGCGGCTCGCCTCTTGCACATTTCCATCGAGTTCCCCTCGTTTGACCTGCCAGATTTGTTGGTAAGTACCATGTTCTCTCCCTTTGAGTCATTCAATTTCCAGGCAAAATTCAAGCTTCCCGACCGACTGTTCGCCTACCTTCAGCGCCCAGATATTCCCAGCCGTGGCGTTGTGCAAATTTTGTCGTGCGATGATACAACTGTAGGTCATAATTGTGGTTCTACGCCACGGGCCTCGCCAGCCCGCTGCACTCCTAAATTGTATCAAACCGCCTTCGGTGAAAAAGCTGTTACAGGTTCCCGGCATCAGGTTTGTCCAGTTTCTGGTGACAGTCGCCCAAAACTACGCTGGCGGCACCGCGCAGATGTTTGCGGAGCGACCATCACAACAGCACAATGACGACGAAGAATATGTGCTGGAGTGGCCAACTGGTGGAAACTAGCAATGCACTATGCCAGCTAATTTTTTGTAATAAATTTCTTTCGTATATTTCAAAACACACACAGACGTGAAACCGAGGTGTCAAAAAAGATGATATGGGCCTTCCGCGGTCATGAAGATTGGTAGAGAAAGAAAAAACGCAAGAAGAAAAGAGTGTGCAGCGATGGGAGTCGAACCCTCATCTATATAAATAGGAACAGACACTACATAACGACTGCGCCATGGCTGCCCTTGGCGGCTCCGAGGAGAAGGGGTCCTTTACACCCCCAAGCGGTCAGAGAGAGACGCAGCGGTCGTTGGAGACGACAGACGAGAGGAGAGAGTAGAGAGAGAGAGAGCGAGAGAGAGAGAGAGAGGGGGAGAGAGAGAGGGGAGAGAGGGTGAGAGGGGGAGAGAGAGAGAGAGAGAGAGAGAGAGAGAGAGAGAGTGAGCCATTCGCTCGAGATAACAGATGCTGAGAAAGAGAGATCACGTCGTTAAAAATTATGCCCGTTGAGAATTAGAAAAATCAGAAGCGTTTATTACTCTTGAAATTGGATAAGCTGATCAGTTCTCATTCTGCACGGGCCATTTCTGATCCCACAAAGTGACGTCGCGGCGCTCGACCCCTCTCTGCACCCCTCGAAATTCTCCGAGCCGCCCACCGTAATTCTGGGCGACGAAAATGTAGTAGGTTGGCCAACTGTATTCCTAGAAATTCGGCAAATTAAAACGCATTGGGATTGGGGGATAATTGCGGCGCGAGTGCTACTTTACCCCGGTAACGCGGTAGATGGTCACCGCGTCGTTGAGGCCGCTCCTGGAGCTCAGCAAATTCGTCAGGCGTGCCGGCAAACAAGAATCCGGCTGAATACGAGCGTTAGCTAATGCAGTTATGGAGGGGCAGTCCGAAATTGGTAGTAAGGGTATAAGCGGCACTCCGCTTAAGCTACTTAGTTTTTGGCTTGAGCCTAGGCTTAACTTAGCTTTAACTATGCTTAGCCGAGGCTTAGACTTAAGCTTTAGCCCAAGCTAAGCTTATCTTTAGCTTTAAAGGCCTTACGAGGTCAAAATGGGGTCATTTAGTGGTTAACTTATGCTTGTTAAGCTTGGCTTGGCCGAAGCTAAGCTCTGGCTTGGTTTGTATGAAGCAAAGCCTAAGCTTAAGCTTCGTTTTCGTTATTTCAACGGCTTAGTATCTAAAAACGGCATTTGGAGCGTCTCGTAGGCAAAATCCAGACCGCCCCCCTAAGTGCACTAGAACCGCGATTTAAAATGATTATGAAATCTTGTATAGCCGCTCTCGGAGAAGATAGGGGGCCAACCTGGACGTCATCTTCCGGCCTGAAAACGAGCCGGATCCGAAGATATCGTCCCGCACAATCGATCGGGCGATGCTAAAAATATGCGAATGAATCTTGGCATAGAATTATAAAGCGCGAACCAGGATAAATTTACTAATACCTTAACGATGGCGGCCTCCAGGATGACGGCAATCACTTCCCAGCCCATCTTCCAATACCCAGGATTCTCGTAGCGTACCGTCAGGCAGATAATTGGAATGTGAGCCAGCTGCAAACAGCAATGTGGGAAATGCCGAACATGGACGCGTTAAAACTCTCGCCTCGCCCTCTCGCCCACCGACCTGCTCGAACATGTCGGCATATGAGGGTTGAGCTGTTGGTATGCAAGTACCGCTGACCAAATGAAACTGAAAACGCTGCTTTTCCAGGAAGTGCCAGACTCGTAAAAAAAATTATAAAAAGCATACGATATTTGGTTGTCGGGTGAGCAGCCGTTCTGCCTTCAGCATGGGCAGCGTCGCTGCAGCATCAGAATCCCAGTGTAGCACGAGGAATGATCCGCTTAATAGGCCCAACAAGCTTCGTGCCAGACCACCGCCCTAAAAAAATGGGTTCGGAATCGGAGTCGAACTCGCTTGGTCAGCTATCAAAGGTTACGCGGCGCGCAGAATGGGCCTCATGGCTCGATTCGAGTTCCTTTAACGACTTACCAGATCCCGATAGCCATTATACATGAAGTAAACTTGGTGCTGGGGCAACCCTTTAGTCAGTCGATTCAAGAAATCAATCCGCTCGGGCTCGCCTCGAATTCTTTTCGTGGCCACGTGGCACATGCCTGGGCTTAAACAAAGACAAGCTGTTGCCAACTGTAATTTCCATACAAAAACCAAAATTGAAGGTGTCATTCTGACAAATTTTTTGACGTTTGATGCATACAAGCAGAACCTCGATAAAACGCAAAAAATCCAAAAAGATTCCATTTTCCGGACCTGCGTGGGGGGCTGACTGACCCCGTGCCCCTTACAGATCTCTCTCTCTCTATCTCTCTCTGTCTCTCTCTCTCTCTCTCTCGCTCTCTCGCTCTCTCTGCCATACTCTCGCACTCCGTCGCTGTCTCGCCCTCTCTCGCCCTCTCTCGCCCTCTCTCGCCCTCTCTCGCTCTCTGTCTTTCTCCCTCACTCTCTCGCTCCCTTTATCTCTCTCACTCTCTACCTCTTGCCCTTTCTATACATAGACATTAAAATTTGCAGCCGATCCACACTTACCGGTGCAGATCGAGAACGGTGGTCCGTTTCCCGTTCCCGAGTTGGACCATAAGAAGTTCCGAAGAACCCGCTTGGCTCACGCGAAATTCGTTCCTCGTCCGTATCGGCTCCTGAGAGAAGAACTGGGGTGAGTGCTTCACTTCAAATAACTGGCAGCACGCTGACCTTCCGCAAAAAATATCGTTACCCTGCGCTCTTTCCACACTGCCACCTTCGAAAATCGGGTCGTCATCAGGAAGCGATGGAGAGGTTTTTCGGAGAATAACTGCAAGTTAAATATAGGGAGTGCCTCAACAAAGCGCCCAAATTTGTCACCAAATTTCTATCCTGACTGGAACCCCACCGCCAAAACAACGCAAGACAACAGCTGACGTTTTTGCGGAACCGTATTCAAGCGTAGCTTGTATGGATATGTCGTCGGAAAAACAAATCTTTTTAATGCCTATTCCTGGCACATTAAAAGCATTTCGGTATGGTAAAGCATGGTGAAAGATCAATTCTTTTCGACGTATTTGGGGAAAACTTGGGCACTTTTTGGACATGCTGTATATAGATTAAAGGAGCCCGGATTTTAGGAGCCCTTTTACGAATATTAATCCTACCCGACTTTACGCGCGTAAAAATTTACCTCGGCAACACCTCGGAGCTGCAGCTTTTGGAAAAATCCGAGGTTGCGGTAGATGGCGTCTTTTTGCGGCTCGGCAAGCTTGACGAAATTGAAGCGATCGAGGGATGACATCCTGAATGTCAAGGCTCTGCAAACGGCACCGTGGCTGTATATTGAAAGGGCTAGAGCGAAAGAGAGCGAGAGAGAGAGAGGGGGGAGAGAGACACAGAGACAAAGAGAGGGGGGAAATAGAGAGAGAGAGAGAGAGAGAGAGAGAGAGAGAGAGAGAGAGAGAGAGAGAGAGAGAGAGAGAGAGAGAGAGAGAGAGAGAGAGAGAGAGAGAGAGAGAGAGAGAGAGAGAGAGAGAGAGAGAGAGAGAGAGAGAGAGAGAGAGAGAGAGGAAGGGAGAGCGGGGGAGAGAATGAGGGAGAGTGATGGGCAGAGAAGCCGATCCAAATGATACACCAACGATGTCATCGGGAATTAAGCTAGCGCAACAGATCGATCGCGCAGATGCGTTTGCCGCCAAATTCCTCGTTCTAGAGTCATCATTTCATTCGGCAAACCATTTACGTCAGTTTCCAAAGCACAGCGCATTTTTTCCTCTCTGATCTGAGTTTTCAACTTCAGGAGCTTTTCAGAAAATCGTCGGCCCATAATGGTGATCGAGCGGTTCAATTTCCCTACGCTGCACCATACTCAAAAAATGGCCGTTTACCGCAAACTCGGGTTCATCGAAAAGTTCGATCTACGGCAAGCCTCGAAGGTGAGAGAGAGAGAGAGATTGAAGATGAGGCTGAAATCACGTGCACGATTTTTGCGGTACCTACTGAACTTGTTGCAGATGTTTACGGAAGGGCCAACGCATCAGTTTATGATGACTACAGTTTTTTCGCGCGTTGAGGTTGATGTACGTTAGGATTTTCTCTTTTCATCTTTTCATCATTTCTTTTCTCTTCTCATACTTCGTCCATTCGTTGTGTATCGACAGTCAAGCGACGTGCTTTTTTTGGGTCCTAACAGGTGTCGGATAACGAAACAAGCTTGAAAGTAGGCTTTTGAACGCGTGACTGTCGATATCTAGTCGATGAGAAGGATCAGTCTCGGGAAAACATCAAAATCCCGACAACCCAAAATCCGGAATCGCAAAAAAGGGGACATGAAGTGAAGCTCAAGTCTGAATTTTGGAATTCGACAGCCTTTGTTGCCTAGGATTTTGGGGGTTTCGCTGGGAAATTTGCCTAAGTAATTTCGACATTCTGAAATGTCTACGTTCGGTAGTTTTAACCAGGCATGGCAATCGGACCGGCCGATCGGCTTTTTCGGCCGAAATTTGAATTTCGGCCGCTTAGAATTCGGCTTGGCCGACAATTTCCGAAATCGGCCCTGTTAGGGCCGATTTTTTCGGCTTCAGTCGGCCCGGCCGATCGGCCGCGTGAGGCCGACACATCCGACTTCCACATATAACACAGTGTTAATTGCGCAAGATGATGCGTTCTCTTTGGTGCTTTTACCGATTACCTCCAAATCAATTAGGTTTGGGGTGATTAGTCAAGAAGATCAAGGTAATTTTTGAGGTGAAATGATCACCATATTATTAATGGATCAAGTCAGCTAACCTCTCAAAGAGTGGAACGAGAAGTAGATGACCAACATCTTCGAACAGTTATTACCGTTCGTTCGAACGGTTAACCGAATTTGGCGCTACACTAAGATCATCATATCCCATGTGAAGTTGAGTATTCTAGACAGTCAAGGATTTCATTGGAAAGAGCGCGAAAAGCTCCATTTGATTCCCATGTGGCAGCTGTTGTGCTGCCTTGAACAGGCTGCTTAGGCCCTTGCAGTAAAACGTCACGAAATCGTTCGTAGATCTGAAAAATCTTGAAGGAACGTTAACAAAAAACCTTCAAATGAGTAGCGGGCTGATTGGCTTCTAAAGGCACGGGGTTTTTTTAATTTTGACATATGGTCGGCCGGGCCGAATCGGCCCGGCCGATTCCCCCAAAAGTCGGCCGGGCCGAAAAAATTAACATAGGAAAATCGGCCCGGAAGTGGCCGATTCAGTCGGCTTTCGGCCCGGCCGATCGAATTTGCCATGCCTGGTTTTAACATTGTTATTATTATTTTCGTCACCCCTTAATGTATAAGTTTTAGTATAGCGGCGTTGGAAGCAGCAATTTGTCGATGAGTGAGCTCAGTAACGACAGTAAGATGTCGCTTTCGATTACTCAAGGTCACCCCAGTCTGCTTCTGAAATACGACGAATATGTTGGGTAGGTCGCATCGCACACCTGGTGCTTGCAGCCTCAGACCATCCACTTTTTTAAAGGATCAGGAAGCATCCATTTCCGCTGTAATTTCAGCCCGGAAGACGACCTTGCGCGCAGCTACGAAGCCGAGGTGCCGATCCCTTCGCCGGAATTTTTGTTCGATTTTTTGAATCGGCTCACGCGACCCCTACCTCCACAGGCTTACGAAGTTAAGGAATACGCTCATACACTTCGTCCGGTAAGCATTCTGCCGTTTGGATTTTGGACATTTTCGAAATAATGGGTTTTCAAAATAGTGATTTACCTCGATACGAGCTGCCGGGAAGGGGAACCGTATTTTCTTACCTATAGTTTCTCGATTTTTTATTATTTACCATCTTTAGTAAATCTGCTTAAGCGGAAAACTTAGAAAATGCTCAAAAACTTCAGATTTTGATCGAAAACGACCGGTTTTCGGTCAAAAACAAAATCGTGTTTTTTCTTTTGATAGAAAATTGTAGTGTTCCGTTTAGGAACAGTAAAAAAGAGAGTTAAAAAGCTTGCTCTATGGATAAAAACCGCATTCTAAAGGAAAAGCCCCCCCCCCCCCGCGATAACCCTAAAGAGCCCGCTTTTGATACTAAATAAGAAAAGGCTTACATTTACAGGGCGGAGCTCGGCCGCTGGAGGCGTTGGACATATTTCGAGGCTCTTTCTACACGGAATACTCGCACACAGGTCCTAGCGAAATGGTTCCGCGCCTGCAGGCCGCCCGTCTGCGTCCTAGGCAGCCCGACCGCGTGAGTTCAAATCTAAAACTTTTTTTCTCTAAAAATTGTGCAAAATATTGGTTCCCCACGAAAACGGAAGAACCGAGGCATTAAAGACCTTTTCAGATCAAGTTAATGTTCGGCAACGGGCGCCAGATAGAAGCTGAACCCGAGGACGGAAGCCCCGGCTATGGTCGTGTTTTGGAAGAGGTTTGGATTGATCCGGGGATTGAGAATTTTCTCGTACAGGTGTTACACATCCCGCGTGTCAACTTGAGCCTATATTACTGGAGAACCGATGCCTGGGAAGAAGCTATTGATACACTGCTGGTGTTGCTCGACGCGGCACTGGTAAAGGTAGAGTTCGTGACGTTTACTCGATTCGGTAAAACAGCCCTTCTACCGTACCCATTTAGCACCGCCCAATCGGCGAAGCGGCTCGCTTCTTGCACATTTCCATCGAGTTTGCCTCGTTTGACCCGCCAGGTTTGTTGGTAAGCACCATCACGGAACAGAATAGCCGCGACTGGTAGGCACGGCGCTTGCGCTAGCCGTGCACGGCCCGTGCGCTAGCCGCGAACGGCGCGCGCCCGCGACGGAGCCGTGGACTAGCCGTGGAGTAGCCGTGCGCGCGCCGTGCACGGCTAGCGCCAGGCCCGGTGGCTGAGTGGCCGTTGGGGCGCCGCGCGCGCGCCGTGCGGGGGCCGCGCACGGGCCGTGCACGGCCTTGTCACGGCTAACGTCGATAGTACAAAACGTCGAGACGGGGAAACAGAAACATCCGCGTTTATGCAAGTAAAAGTTTAAAGGTTTTAATTATTTAATTAATATTTTCTCATACGATCCATGTCAAAACCAAGCATTTTTGCATTGGGATAATTTCACATTTGGATTTGTGAAGATAAACTTTTTCGGAGGGTTAATTGGTGTCTTGTCCCTGGGTGTTATCTGCGGCAAAGGCCTACGGGTCTTTTCTTATTTCCTTTCTGCTTAGCCCTTTTCTATCAATTTCATAGAATGTTTTCCGCTGCTAACTCACTACAATGAATCTGTTGCAGGGATGCCGAGGAAACGGGCAAGACCTTGGGAGGCACAAGGGCACGACTTGGTAGAAGTTGCTGAACGTTCAGGTAATTTTCTTTGTTTTTCCGGAATCAGAGTTTTAGGTGACTCCGACTTGACAACATATGTGGTGGCGCCTACACTCTTGCCTGGACAGTTATCTCCTGTGGCAAAAGGTAAAGTGTTTGATAAATTTTACAAAGAAAAATAGATGGCAGAGTGTTGACCGTCGAGGAACCGGAAAGCCATGAGCCCGATGACGAATCGGCTACGCCGTCGCCCAGGGTATACGCCTCGGAAGCTGGTCAGTATTTTTTTACTATATGAGTAGGGAACATTGGCGGGGCTTGCAGCCACGTTGATGGTATAACCTGATAGGTGGTATGATCGTTGATTTAGGTGCTTCGAGCCAGGCGACGGAAGGTGGCTTATTCGAAGTCGGGGGCGCAGAAGACCCAACAACGATGCAGATTCGTCCGCCAAGGGATATCACCTGGGATAAAGGTGAATTATTATTCTGATTATTTGTGAATGTATGATTTCCAGGTGCATCGAGCCAGGCGGGCAGAATGGCTGCAAAGTTGGGTTTGGACCTGCGCACATACGAGACCACATTGCTGTTTATGTCGGCGAAGCTTGAACATGGGATGACTTTGTCTGCGATGGAGACGATAGGATTACTGAGTGAGCTTGTAGATAGCGACATAGGAATCAATTATTATTTAGTGAATGCCTCGTCGTCAGGAGCGCCGCCAACCTCCGTGGTATTACACAATCGTCTACGCGAAGAATATTTGTCGATTTATCGGTAAGCAATAGGGTATATTGGGATGAATTTCTTGGGTTCAGGCTGACCTCCTACCATATATGTACGAAGATGGGCCACAATGGCCAAATTTTCCCCCCGGATACGAGTTGCGTGAATTGTCTAGCCATCGGGTTAGTCTATTCGAGGTTGTCTTAAATAAGCTTTTAGACTCGACACGACACGACTCCGGAAAAGTACCAGCGAATCGCCGGCTAGCGGATTGAAGATCGCGATACGGCCTCAGTTGCAAGCGATCATCGAGAGGAATTTTGCTACGATTATGTTAGTTTTAAATTGACCTTCGGATCCTAGGTAGATTTTGGGAAATGAAGACCCAATATTTTAGGTCACTCCATGAATGCCGGCATACTCGTCCGGCCGAAGAGTGGCCCACCGACACGAGGGCCGGCGCGCGCTTTGGTAGAAGCATGGAGACTGGCTTGGACTTCCTTGCCCGGCGAGTGGTGCGGCTGCAATTTGTGCTCAATACGGATGGAGTAAACATGGAGCCGCAGATGAGGTGAGTTGTTATGGTGATAGATACCCAACTTCGATTTTGCTAGCGGTTCTATGTGGCCGTATTACCTGTGCTTGTGGGACCTTCCACCAAACTTGCGCTATTCCCCTGCGAATCGTATTGTGGCGGGTGTATGTTCCTGTCCTGCAACAAGTGGTTGTAGCCCCGAGCTCTTGGACACCGTGTCTGGCATCGTATTGGAAGAGGTATCATCTACTTTGATTAATTAACGCAAACATAGTGGGCAATTGCTACGACAACTCCGTTGAAAATTCAGTATGCGGGCACCCAATGGAAAGTTGTATGCTCAATCACCCTAGGGGTTCTGGATGCAGAGGTAATTGCTACGGAGCCAGGGATAACCCATATTTAGGCAATCAAAAAACTTTATCGGGTGCCCAGCTGGGCCTCGATTGGCGGCTTTTGTCCGGTTTGTCGGCTCGTCGTCGTCGATCAGTCTGGAGCAGAAGTCTCGTTGGTGAAACGCGAGTTGAACCGGACAACGTTTGTGGTCAAGTCCTTTGTTAGCCGATTTGTTTTAGGTATGGCCTAAAAAGCGGCATCGTGAGGGGCTCACCTGAAGAAGGGTCCTTGGGTGGAGAGCTGCTAGGTAACTCCATCAGGCTAGATCTAAATAGGTTTGAACTGTTTAGCGAAGACGTCATTTCAATCCTTGTTGCCCATGGGCGGCCTTGTCTTCGATATGCTCCACACGTCAATGTTGGGGTTTTTTAAAAGAATCGATCGAGGTGTGTGGGTACTTCTTGTTTCTGAAACTGGTTTTAGTATTACGCGGTCACACGGAATTTGGACTCACCGGGTTGACACCATCCCAGCGCCACAGATTTGACGGGTTAGACAGCAGAACGCTTCTCCCCACTTACTACCCCACGGCACTCCGGCCGCTCAGCTACCCGGAGAAGAATGCGAAAGAAAGCTACCTGGTATCTTAACCTGGTTTTCGGAATAATGCTACCTAGGCGGTACATGTTTTTGGGATTTTATCTTATCTTTTATGTTTTTAGGAACCCCCTCATCATTCACCACGCCACCAATTCTCGCCAAAGGCCCCCAATGTCGCCTTTTCCGGAATGGGCAGCAATTATACGGATACAATGCCGTCTCCTCGTATGTATATCGAATCGCAGGTATCATGAATTTTCTCTTGCGTATTCGGCATCCTTTAGCCGAACTGGGAAAGTCAGCACTTCGGCCGCACCCGTAACCGTAGCTCCGACCCGATCGTCGATCAAGTTGAATCAGCAGTCCAGCGATCGGATTACACGGTATTTATGCGCATTTATGCTTTTATTTTTTAGGATATCCCAGACACAGCCGCCGTCGGACTGCTTCGTACACGCGAAGTACCAAAGCCAGTACGAATTGCCGGAATTGCTTTCGAGCTCAAGGTATCTACTCAATTAGATTCCTATAACAAAACTTTTCCCGTTGGCCGATGCCTTGCGGCGTATCTCTGACCTGGAACAGCGGCGTGAAGAAGACGCTGACCTCATCATATCACTGCGAGACGAGATCGCGTCTCTCAAATCCGGCAATTACCGGAAACGCGCCCCGCCCATTGAACAGGATGCTTTCCTCACCTGCTCGATCCGCCTTGGCCTCACCCCGAAGAAGTGGGAAGATTTATGCTGGAGCCCCGCATCCGACAAGCTGCGCTCTTTCAACTTCGCGCTCTGTGTCTCGGTAACCTTTTTTTTAAATCCAACTATCGTCGTTCTTAGAAGGCTATCAATCTGCACCGTGCCTCTAGTTCATCTGCTGCCGGACATTTCAAAGAACAGCTACACGAAATGGCTGCTTATTCCATCAAACTGGTATTGGTCATCGGACCTAATTCTCTACTTTCCTCTAGATCATTCCTCCCGGCGTCAAAAACGTGTTCCTGGCCTCTTCAGACGGTGATGTCGAGAAGAACAAGGATCATATCTACATACACCCTTCAGAAGGAGCACGCTTGACAGGTAAATTTTCCTTTGCTCCGGTGTATCCGCTTTCTAGAGTTGGCCATGTATTTTATCGAATGTCAAGCCGAACACTGGGGTGCCTTGGCCCAGCAATTTCACATCAATATTCTCGCCAGCTTGTAAGTATCGGTCTCCTTTCAAAACCGCCCATGTTTAGGAATAACGCGCGACGCACTGACCGAAAGTATGCCTTCATCGACGCCGCCGCTGTCGAGGTCGAGCACCAGCGGATCCGCCATTGGTACGAGCGCCAGCGCCCCAGCTACACACCGAAAATACTGAAACCTGATTTTGACTAGAGTTTAGAGAGCAAGCACGAAGGAAGGCAGGTTTGATACAAAATTGCCTTATTTATTGGTCAGGTTAAGCTTTCAAAATTTCTGGGGTTTTTAAGCCTCTCGGTAACTATTTTCAGTTTTTTGCCCCGATGGTAATCATGATTTGATACTGGGACTCCTTAGTTTTTCACGTTGATCACTTAACTTTTGGCTAAAATTCGTAAAAAAAATTCCGGAAATTCAGTTAAATTCTTATCAAAATGTCTATTTAGTCTATTAAGATCCAAATGTTAAATTCGTGACCGTAACTTGTAGGCAGGTCGACTTGATTAGATGGTGATTAGGTAACAAGTTTTTAGGTCCTATTGATCATTTGTTGTATTGTTTCACCCCTTCCCCTTGATTGTTGTTTCCCCTTGTCACCATACCGAATTGTACCGTTATAACCTTGCCAATAAATCTTTTGGCCGTTTGTTTTCAGTCTGCACAATACCCAACACAAGCCCGCAGCTGGCAGCACACTAAAAGCCTACACAAACTACACAATACAAATTTTAAAGCAAAAGGACGAATATTGATAGTAAAAGCCGTGAACCACGCGTGCACGGGCCGTGCGGAAGCCGCGCACGGGCCGTGCGCTAGCCGTGCGCGCGCCGCGAAATTTAGCGCGCGCCGTGCAACAGCCGTGCACGCGCCGTGCGGAAGCCGCGCATGCGCCGGTACCGGCGCATGCGCGGCCCCCGCACGGCGCGCGCGCGGCCTCCGCACGGCGCGCGTCGCGGCTATTCTGTTCCGTGATGTTCTCTCCCTTTCAGTGATTCAATTTTTAGGCAAAGTTCAAGCTTCCCGATCGACTGTTCGCCTACCTTCAGCGCCCAGATATTCCCAGCCGTGGCGTTGTGCGAATTTCGTCCGGCGATGATATAATTGTAGGTCATAATTGTGGTTCTACGCCACGGCCCTCGCCGGCCCGCTGCACGCCCAAATCGTATTAAACCGCCTTCGGTGAAAAAGCTGTTACAGGTTCCCGATTCGGATACGCGGGTTGTCCAATTTCTGGTGACAGTGGCCCAGAATAGTGGCGACACGCAGCTGCATGCAGAGTTACCACCTCCATGGATCTATGAAGACCTAGATTATAAGCTGGAATGGCCAACTGGTGGAAACTAGCAACGTACCACCCTAGCAGCATTCCTTTCAATAAATGTTTGAATGGTCGGAAGCAGCGGCTTTGCGTTTACCTTCAGCAAGAAACCATAGATAACCCTTCATGCCATTTCTCTGCACGCAAATTCACGATGAATCTTTATTTCAACAAAAAGCGGGATGGCCGACGGGATCGGTTTAAGTTGTAATAGTTTATTCAACCAACTCACCGAAAAAAATAACGGGTATATCAAAGAGCGACATTATAATCACGTGCAAAAAATAACAACGTATCGTTCATTGATCCTTGGGCATATTCTTGAATCCCATAACGGCCTCCTCACCACAAGCAGAGAACACGGTAACCTGGAAAAACAAAATTACAGATGGAAGGGCAAGAAATGAGCAGCACCAACAATGTGCACAACTGGGTAGCACGGGGCGACGAAAGCATCCGCCAGACACCGAGAAGTCAAAACTCACGTTGATTCCACCATCGTCCTTCTCGAAAGCTTCGCGGATCTGCTGGGCAAGAGTCGAGTCTTCGGGCATCTTGAGATCGTCCTTGCTCTCGCACGATTCTGGGTCCATCAGGCTGAGGAAACCATCACCGCCGATATCCATGAGCTAAAAAGCGTATATAGGTCAAAAAGTGAATATTTTTGTGTGCCGAGTGCCTAGCTAACAGTTTCAGTTGTCAAGATATACCCGCAAAAAGTATTCCCAAGGTGGGGGTGCACAAAATTACAACTTTGGCAAATTTGGCCCGTTTTTCACTGTTAATCAAGCGCTATACTCTACTCAGAAGCTAAGCTAAGCCGAAACTCAGTTAAATTCTGTGAAAGGCTAAATTAAGGCAACGGTACCTCACGCCGCCCAATAAGCAAAGCCAGAGCCCAAACTAAGCTAAGCCTAAGCGCAAAGAAAAACCAATAAGAATGATCGAAAATGATCCAAATATCTTGATTCCCCTAACTTGCTTAGTCTCATATATAAAATCACACAAGCAAGACATGTGCCCCGAATACAAAAGCGAAGCGTAACAAATTACGACTCAAAATCCCGAATGCCTAGCTAACAGTTTCAGTTGTCAAGATATACCCACCACGGCGGGTATTTCGCAACAAGTAAAGTAAAAAGACTTACCAGGAATTCGCGCTTCTTGACGATCGGGACATCCATGTTGTGGGTTGAAGGGCAGATATCTTCGAGCTTCTTGCCGGTGAAGATGTCGATGGCGACCATGTGAACCTTGGCGTGACCGTGCTTGCCAGTCTTCGAGGTGGACATCTCGACGATCTTGCATGGGCGTCCCTTGATCATGACGTGCTCGTTCTTGCGCAGGGCCGAGCACTGCTTCGGGAAGGTGGTGGCGGCGCCCGAGTCGGCATTCTCGAAGTGATGGTCCTCCTCGTGATCCGACATCGTACCCACTAAACTGAACAAGATATAATTGCCAAATGCAGAAAGGAAAGACATAGAATCCCAAAATAAACGTAGAAAGCCTTGACGGTGAAAGCGAGGGTTCCTCGCAAGATTCAGAGGGTTTCGCGCAAAAAATTGAAACGCCTAGCAGCTAGAGCGTAAAAACTATGGAAATTGTTTTAGAACGTCAAAAAGCAAAAAGTGTCAACAAATTGCGAAACAATGATCTTTATAAACCCCGGATTGACGAGAATTTGGCAACGAAAAATGGGAGCAGCCTATGGTACCTCTCAGGGTCACGTTGGCGGGAGTTTCAAACGGGGGGCGCGCTGCGGTTTAGCGGGCCAGCCGGTGATTGGGGCGCGGGAAGGGCGAGGGCGCAAATCGGGGTAAAATCGGGCATGAAGGGTGCCACAAGGTGTTAGAAATGGACGAAAATCCGGGAACACGCGTTTTGGATGGCGGCGGCCCGCGTGGCCGTTACGGTAGAAAAATGGTGCGTGGCGGGACGCGGACTGTTTGCGCGGTTTAGCGTGCAATCAATCAGAGCTCCGGCCGGCCGCCGCGGGGAATGTTTGGACAAAAAAAAAAAACAGAGGGGAAAAGAAGCAAAACAAAAAAATGCATTTTGTTTTGAGCCTGAAAACTTTGTATTTTGTGCTGTACAAGACGCCTTTGTTGATCTTTTATAGTCCGGGCGGTCGGTGCCTCAAATTTGCAAATCTTGTGCAATTTGTGGCGTTCGCTGGGAAAGCTTGGGAAATGAAAGGCACCCCTGAATTCTAGTTTGCTGTTTGTGTTGCCGCACAGTATTGCTCAACGGAGAAGATAAGGAAATGTTACGATAAAAAGTGTGTTGCGCAACAAAATCGCAAACTTCTTGAAATCCCATTGAAAACTAGCGATGCCGTTTAGGTATTACGATTTTCTGCGCGTTTTTTAAAGAAGGTGTTTATTAGTTAAGTTAATAATAATTAACAGTCAATATTTAGTGCATTTTCCGAAAGAAAATCCCAAAACTTGTTGAAACCCTGGAGCAAAATAAAAGTAGAGTTCTAGCCGTTCTGAACTGTCATTTTTGCGCTGTTTCTTCTTTTTTGACCTGCTTTTGAAAAAATCTAATTGCCAAATAAATATTTATTAACGGCCAATAAATTATTATACTTTTATGATTATTATCAGTAAGTAACGCCGATACGGCCTAGCCACCAACTATTAGCAGGCAGCGGCGGCGGCTTTGTGAGGGACTCTCGAACCCGGGATCGCACAAAAACGAACAAATAAATGGTGAATTTTTGGGGGAAAATCCGTGTTCATCGTCTCCTCTTCCGGCAGCACTGCTTCTCGCCGCAGCTCGAGAACCCCTTGGCGCATTTGCAGACCCCGGAGCGCTTTTGGCGACAGGGGCGTACCTGGAAAGTGAGTTTTAGGTTTAGTTGTTTCTTTTAATGATTGATTGAGTTCTAAGTGCAATTAAACTATTTTTAAAGCTGAAAAACAATTAAAAAAATTTAGAAAATTGAATTTTATTAAATTTTCGGCCATTTTTGTCGGAAATATCGGTACTGTTTGTGTTTGTTTTCTAATGGAAATTTCTAACTTTTTACGTTAGGAATAGAAAAAAAAAGAAAAATTGTTAGAAACACTCCATATACCACTTTTATTAAAAAAAATGTGATCCTTATAATGGCAGTTATTTAGCTTCATTTTGCTTTCCTTGCTTGTTTGCTTTTAAATTAGTTCAAACATTATCTTCTAGTTTTTTATAGTTAAAATTAGACTTATCGAAAGGATACCTCTAACGGGCATCGATCCTTGCACGTCTTGGCGCAAATGGGCGCGCATTGCGCTTCGGTTCCGCGCTGGCTACGGCATTGTCGCACACACTCCTGCGCACATTCGTTTTCACAACTGGCGTTTTCGGCCATCGGCTCGTCGAGTGTGATTTCGATCTGGTGGAGGTCTTTTATTTTAGGATACTTTTCGTTGGGTATTCTTGGCGCGTAGCTGTCGAGACCCAGGCTATGGAAGGGGTCGATGCGCGCGCTTCCCGGTACCCTTTAAAATGATTCGTGAGTCGGCCCACCTTTAGCTCCTGATTCTGGCACTGCGGGCACGTGCGACTGTCCGTGCACTGCGTGTTGCAGAAGCCCGAGCAACTGCTGAAAGAATTTTAGATGATTGAGGCCGAACTAAGCCTAATGTTAAGCCTAGCCTAAGCTCAAGCCAAGCCTAAGTCTAATTCTAAGCCTAAGCCTAAGCCTAAGCCTAAGCCTAAGCCTAAGCCGAAGCCTAAGCCTAAGCCTAAGCCTAAGCCCAAGCCGAAGGCTAAGCGAAGCCTAAGCCTAAGCCTAATCCTAAGCCCAAGCCAAGCCCAAGTCTAATTCTAAGCCTAGGCCTAAAACCAAGCCCAAGCAAAGCCTATGCCTAATCAGAAAGCTCAGAAAAATAAGATACCATACCGCATGCAGTCATTTTGGGTTGCCACCCCACGCTGGACACAGTTCGTCGCGCAGCCCTGCTCACATGGCAGCATGCAGCGCTCATCGGCCTGAATGAATGGTATAATTGGGGCCAGAGAGAGCGCGCGAAAGAGAGAGAGAGAGACAGCGAGAGAGAGAGACAGAGAGCTTGTTTTTCGTATTTCTCTGTTGTTGCTAAATTGCTTGCCTGCGGAACGGTTATCTCAAACTGATAGTCGCGCGTGCAGCTGTCCAGACAGGCCGGCTGGCAATTCTTCGCACAGCCCTGCTGACGGGTGGGGATCGAGATCTGAAAGTTCAAAATTTTCAAAAATCCATTGTTTTAAAGATTATGGACTTGGTTAAGCTTAGGTTAAACTTAGGCTTAGGCTTGGCTTAGGCTTAGGGTTAGGCCTAGGCATCGTCTCTTGGAAATCACGCTCCCTAAATTGGGCAGTAACCCACCACATTCATTGGATTCCTTTGTACACAATCCGCCTGGCAAGCCGGCTGACAGATCGGGGCGCATTGTGGTCGGACCGGAAGTAGAGACTAAAAAAATAAACTATCTATTGATCTCTCTCTCTCTCTCTCTCTCTCTCTCTCTCTCTCTCTCTTCCTGATACCGTAATCTGGATGTCGACGCACAGCGGGTCACAACCCGGCATGCAAGCCGAGGCACAAGTCCGTTGCTCGGGGTTGGAGACGACGGCCTGGAATCGGTTACGATACTTTTAAGGGGACGGGAAAGCCGGGGAATCGACCCCTTCGGTTACACCTAAGTGCGTGTTTCGGACACTCCAAAATACAAACTTAGGTAGAGGACTGGGCTTAGGTTGGTTTAGGCTTAGGCTTTGCTGGACTTAGATTAAGAAGCTTACATGGGCGTCGAGATGCTGATTGTTCTGGATGCAGTCGGGCTCGCAGGCCGGCTGGCAGATCGGGTCACAGCGGATTTGCGGGGAAAGGCTGGTCTGGAACGGCAAATGATCTCTGCTAGAATGCCAGAGAGAGAGAGAGAGAGAGAGAGAGAGAGAGAGAGAGCGAGAGAGAGATAGCAAGCTATAACCCTACCTGCTCTACCTCGATCGTGAAGATGCGACTGATGCATGCCGGGTTGCAGGTCGGCTGACAAGCCGGTGGGCATTCGCGCGCCGCTCCCCCGTACACACTACCGTACGGGTTGCTAGGCGTAGTGAAGGTGAAGGAAGGGATCGAGCCCGAATCTGCTTCGCTTTCTTGGGTACCGTAGGTCACCATCGAGATCTTGATGCGCTGGAACGAATGGATCTCTGCTAGCCGGCCCCTTCCATTCCCAAATGATCTCTGCTAGCCTGGTCCTTCTTTTCCAAATGATCTCTGCTAGCCTGCCCATTCCATTCCCAAATGATCTCTGCTAGCCTGCCCCCTCCATTCCCAAATGATCTCTGCTAGCCTGCCCCTTCCATTCCCAAATTATCTCTGCTAGCCTGCCCCTTCCATTCCCAAATGATCTCTGCTAGCCTGCCCCTTCCATTCCCAAATGATCTCTGCTAGCCTGCCCCCTCCATTCCCAAATGATCTCTGCTAGCTACCTTTGTTGCACCGCTCGGCGTCGTCGAGAAGCGCTGCGTACAAGCCGACAAACAGGCCGGCTGGCATATCGGGACGCAATTCCTTGCCGAAGTCGTCGAGGGCGATGTCTAAGGTTTTCGTGAAAGCCAGAGAGAGAGAGAGAGAGAGAGAGAGAGAGAGAGAGAGCGAGAGAGAGAGAGAGATGCCTACCGTTACGGCCTCCACCCGAACCTCATAGCTCGTGATACACTGTTGATCGCACAGAGGTTGACAGGCCGGAACACAGTTCCTAGAAGATTACGGTAGCTGGAAACGAGCTTACTTAGGCGTTGTCGTGGTGGTAGACGCTTGAAGCTTGAGCTCAAAGTTTTTCACGCATGTCTGCTCACAGGCCGGTTGACAGGCCGGAGTACAGGGACTCGATGTCGACGGTTTTTGAGTGGTCGTAGCGTGCTAAAAATAGAAATAGGGGCAGGCTAGCAGAGATCATTTGGGAATGGAAGGGGCAGGCTAGCAGAGATCATTTGGGAATGGAAGGGGCAGGCTAGCAGAGATCATTTGGGAATGGAAGGGGCAGGCTAGCAGAGATCATTTGGGAATGGAAGGGGCAGGCTAGCAGAGATCATTTGGGAATGGAAGGGGCAGGCTAGCAGAGATCATTTGGGAATAGAAGGGACAGGCTAGCGGAGATCACTGACTGACTCACTGTTGAGTCTACCTGACTAATGCATTGGCTCGAGCAGCTGGGCCTACATTCCGGGATACACCTCGGGACGGGGATGGTCACGTGCAGGATGATACCATCAATGCAACTCGACAGGCATCCGGGCCGGCAGTTCGAAGGGCACGGGCGTGCTGGAAAACGAAACATTTTGACTTGACCTTTGACCCTTAAAGGCAAGCTAGCAACCACCCTTTACCCACCTGTCTGCACCGAAGTCGTTGTCGTGGTCGTCGTGGTGGTCGACGTGGTCTGCAATCTCATCTGCGCCTCGATTTGGATGCTAATGATGCATCGATTGTCGCATCCAGGCCAGCATCTTGGCGAACATGTTGCGACAGCTGGAGATGTCGTCGTTGTGCTGGGGAGGGTCGTGGTGGTGATCATCATTGTGGTCGTCGTGGTCGTAGTTGGTCTTGGCGTCGTGGACGTAGTTGTGGTGGTGGGTTGAGCCGTGGTGAAGGTGAAGACGCGTGGGGTCTGAATTTGATGGATAGAGAGTGAGAGAGAGGGAGTGAGAGTGGGAGAGCGAGAGCGCGAGAGAGAAAGAGAGAGCGAGAGAGATCTAAAACGAGCCAGAGAGAGCGAGAGAGGGAGAGAGAGTGAGAGAGAGAGCCTGATAGAGAGAGAGCGAAAGAGCTACCTACCGTAGTGTATCCATACAATACGCGATAGATGCAGCTCTCCAAACACAGCGGCCGGCACTCATCTGGGCAAATGAAAGGCGGCTCCTTCTGATTATTACTAGTGGTCGGTATCGACAAGCTGAACGTCACCATCCGGTCGCCCAGCTGAAAACACAATTTTTAAATTATAAATACTGAAAATTACCGTAGTTCCAGTGGGCTGAGCTCCTTGAGTTGTCGGGAATTGAAGCCCGAAGGAATTGACGATGCACGTCGCCTCACAGCTTGGCTGACACATCTGAAAGAATCTGAGTCTGCTGACTTGCTGGCTCTATCCCTTTAAAGTGCATGAGACATTGCCAATTCCCAAAAGATCTTCGCTAGCCTGCTTCGTCAGGTCGGCAAGGTCATTGCCGAGACCTAGTCTGTAGCAGTACTCACCGAGGTGCAGTACAGCTGGCTGGTTGGCGGGGCCTGGGTGGTGGTGGTTGTCGAAATGGCTGATTGCTGCACCGAAAGCAGAAAGTCGAACGTTTTCAAGCAGCTCGCGTGGCAATTTGGGCCACAAGCTTCGACTGGGCAACTCTGCTTCAGAGGTGGCTGCGTCGTGAAGTCGCGCGTCACCTGGGAAGGTTCAGTTGAGAGAGAGGGCGGGAGAGAGCGAGAGAGAGAAAGATAGCGCCAAAGAGACAGAGAGAGAAAGAGAGAGAGACAGGCAGGGGGAGAGAGACAGAGATAGAGAGAGGAAGAGAGAGAGCGAGAGAGTGAAGGAGATATAGAGAGAGACAGTGAGCGCGAGAAAAATCCTCCCCCACCTGATCATATGTATGAACACAATCCGGCAGACATGCCGGTTGGCAAGCCGGCGCACAGCTCGTCAACTTGGGGCGGAACGAGATTTCCAGCGTATTCACGCAGGAGGGCTCGCAACCGGGCTAAAAACTGCGCTTAAAGAGAGCGGCAAGCGGGCCAACCTGGCATTCCGGGGCGCAGTTGCCCTGATATGGCATCAGAATCGGGCTTGGGTTCTCCTTGGCGAAGGAGCGGTGCTCGAAGGTGACCTGGAAATTTCCGTTTATCGCGATTTCAAGCACAGCCTAAGCCTTGACTTAAGCCTAACTGAGCCTGAGCCTAAGCCTAAGCCTGAACAACTCTCTCACCTCAATCTGGGCTGCTCGATTACATCCATAAGGCCCCTCGCAATTCGCCAAACGTCGAAGACACGACGGCTCGCACGTCGCTACGCACATTGAGTGACAGTCGGGAGCCGGCGACTTCTGAAGGGAGCGTGACATCTGGATTTTCGAATCAAACCTGTGAGGTGCACGATGCTGTACACGCATCAGCACAGACCGGACTGCACTTCCGCGGGTCGGACTGTTGATTGATGACCACGTCTACAGGCTCGCTGCGTACCGCCTGAATTTGTGGTTTAGGAAGCGCGATATATAAGCCGACCCCTTCCGATAGATAAGCCTCTCGTATTTCAAAATCACGCTCATTCTCTCTATCGCTCTCTCTCTCTCTCTCGCTCTCTCTCTCGCTCTCTCGCTCTCTCTCTCTCTCGCTCTCTCTCTCTCCCTCTCTCACCTGACAAGTCGACGAGCACGTAAATTTACACGTGTGCTCGCAGGCCGGCTTCGGGTTGTCGGCCGTTGTGCAGCTGCTGACGCAAGTCGATTCGCAGGACGGTTCGCAGACAGATTGACGCGCCTTTAAAACAGGTTTAGGCTCAGACTTCACTTGGGCTTAGGCTTAAGCTAAAAACAAACCTGCGCCGCGCACGGACACTCGAGCTCATCGGCCAGAGTTGGTGCTGTACAGGTACACGTCTGTGCCGGCGAGACGACGTTCGTCGGATCGGTCGGCCGACACACACAACGCGAGCGCGTCAGCGCGGCGCAAGGGCAAGAACGTCTGGCTCGCTGGAGGGCTACCTGTTAAAGGGAGCGTGACAGGTTTAAGATTTTGCTAGCTTCAGGTTCCTAAGATTCTCTGATAGCCTGCCCCTTCCATTCCCAAATGATCTCTGCTAGCCTGCCCCTTCGATTCCTAAATGATCTCTGCTAGCCTGCCCCTTCCATTCCCAAATAATCTCTGCTAGCCTGCCCCTTCCATTCCAAAATAATCTCTGCTAGCCTGCCCCTTCCATTCCCAAATGATCTCTGCTAGTCACCCACCTCCTCCACATTCCTTCCGACCAGCTTCGTTCGTTCGGGTAATCGTCGGGCGGCCCCGGCAGCCGCCAGGGCCAGAATTAACAGGATTAGTAACCGCATCCCAGATTTCGAATTAGACTACAAAATACACCAACCAACGTTGCGCGAAAGAAAGTTGGTAGCGGAATGGCGGTCGCGCTGTCCGGGTGGGGCCAAGGGCAGAAGCAGGGCTTCTCCTTTTTTCGCGCGCGCCCAGGCCCAGGGTGGAAAGCCGATTCCGCGCCGCCCCAAAAGACGCGCAGCCCCAGTTTCCCTCCCGTTCACACAATCGCTAAAGCGTGGACCGTTGACTGGATTATGACACTTGGGCAGCGTTTTTTAAAGTCGGTGTCCGGGGGGGGGAACGCATCGGAAAGTAGGAAAATCATGGAAATTCAGAGTAGCCTAGGTTCGTTAAGGATCTCTGCTAGTCTCCCGGCAAAAATTTTAGCTGTTTCTGGTCTAAAGGGACGGGCAAGTGCAAGCCACCCCGCTAACAGTCCAGTGCCGGATTTTCTTTCTCTGTCACTCTCTCTCTCTCTCTCTCTCTCTCTCTCTCTCTCTCTCTCTCTCTCTCTCTCTCCGTCTCCCTCTCTAGATCTCCTTTTCGCTCTACCACTCTCCGTCACCCTCGCTCCCTCTCTCTCTCTCTCTCTCTCTCTCTCTCTCTCTCTCTCTCTCTCTCTCTCTCTCTCTCTCTCTTCCTCTCTTTGTATCTTTTTCATTCTACCTCTTTCCGTCACCCTCCCTCCCCTCCCTCCCTCCCTCCCTCTCTCTCTCCCTCTCTCTCTCTCTCTCTCTCTCTCTCTCTCTCTCTCTCTCTCTCTCTCTCTCTCTCTCTCTCTCTCTTTCTCCCTCACTTCAAACGTGTTACATTTCGAACCCATCATCTCCCGGAAAACCCGGAAAAACCGGAATCATCCCCCCGCGCGCAGAGCCGGCAACACAAAACCCCGGGTGCTACAGGAGGACCATTGTTTCCGCGTGTGGCCCTCTCTCCCCTTCCGACGCTGTGTACGCGCCGCGCCAAAACACTGCGGCTTATCAATGGGGCGGAAACAGCACCCGGTGCCCACCTCCTGAATACCCGCTAGCAGCCGGGGCCACAGTCCACGAACACTGGGTGTTAATAGGATTCCAGGTAAAATCATGGAAATCTCTAAGTTTCGCAAAAAAATAATTCCGTTACTCAGGGTTAGAGTGAGGGAGCGGCAGGCCTCCTCAGGGGGTTAATGTCATAATGCCGATTTACATAATGCCGATTTTCATAATGCCGATTATTATAATGCCGATTTTTCATAATGCCGATTTTCATAATGCCGATTTTTCATAATGCCGATTTTCATAATGCCGATTTTCATAATGCCGATTTTACAGAATGCCGATTTTACAGAATGCCGATTTTCATAATGCCGATTTTCATAATGCCGATTTTCATAATGCCGATTTTCATAATGCCGATTATTATAATGCCGATTCTCATAATGCCGATTTTCATAATGCCGATTTTCATAATGCCGATTTTACATAGGGCTGATTTTGCATTAAAAGCCCGATTTACCCCAGACCGCGATAAATGAACATTCTTCAACCGTCGAAATTATTTAATAATTTTTCGACATTTTTTAATTAATACCGTCATCATAATACTGTAGTTTAACGGGGACTTGCAGATTCTTGAGATCTGCGGGATTGGCCGGGTAATCCTGAACTCGAGCTCTTCGTCCGACTTGTTCCAGGCTTTGGATAGTAGGGCGAATGACGCTGTCGTCATGGTGAGCCAGGACGGGTGCGACGAGAGCGCCAACAGATTGCCCGTAATCGGAAGTCACCATCTCCCGAACACGGTTCCGAGCCTTGGTATGCGCGTTCTAAACGTTTGCGGCTGAATCTGGAGGTTTGAATTATGAGAATTATGAGAATAGAAAATTATGAGAATCGGCATTATAATAATCGGGATCATGAGAATCGGGATTATAATACTCGGCATTATGAGAATCGGCATTATAATACTCGGCATTATGAAAATCGGCATTATGAAAATCGGCATTATGAGAATCGGCATTATAATAATCGGCATTATGAAAATCGGCATTATGAAAATCGGCATTATGAAAATCGGCATTATGAAAATCGGCATTCTGTAAAATCGGCATTCTGTAAAATCGGCATTATGAAAATCGGCATTATGAAAATCGGCATTATGAAAAATCGGCATTATGAAAATCGGCATTATGAAAAATCGGCATTATAATAATCGGCATTATGAAAATCGGCATTATGAAAATCGGCATTATGAATGTAATTCTTTTTATGCAATGCGTAAAAACATGTTAATCTGGTTACTGCATCTAAAACCTTGGTAGCTTTGACGCAATAACAAATTACTAGGATGCCGAAGGTGGGAAAACTATAGGCGAGATGTCAGGAGAAGGCAATTGCATCCCCCGCCGGTTCGAACCGACCCTTGGCTTTTGTGTATCCGCGTGCTATTAACGTATCGTGCCGTAAGGTTTGTCAAAAACAGTAACCTAACTTTATAGAATATACTTGAACCCAATACAGCTGTTCGACCCACCGGAAGTTTAAAAGAATTCCTTATTTGTTCGGCAAAACTTCGAATATTCTACGACTTTACATAAAATTCCCCGATAAAGCCTGACTAATTAGAGGTCAGGCGTACTTTGCATAGCCCAGGCTCAGCCTAGGCGATGCGAATTAGAAAAGCCTGAGGAAGCCTAGGCAAGCCTAGGCTTTAGCCTAGGCCTCCCTCACTCTACTCAGGGTGACTGTTGGCTGGCATTTTGAGGATCGTCGCTTTATGCAAATTTTGCCTTCGTGCTCCCTTTAAAGAGTAGAAGTTTGGATTTTTTGCTCTTTTTGAGCAGGGAATCTAGCAACGAACATCGTGGACAAGAGATACCAAGAAAGCGACCAAGCGAGAGGGCGAAAGAGAGCGAGAAAGACAGAGCGAGAGAGAGCGAGAAAGACAGAGCGAGAGAGAGAAACAAAGAGAGAGAGAGAGAGAGAGAGAGAGAGAGAGAGAGAGAGAGACATGCCCCCTTTGGCCAGATGCCAAGAAAATTGGGCGGGAATTTGGGAATCTGGTGGGCTGGCAGAGAGAATTTAGGATCGGAAATCCCGTTTTCAGGGTGGTGGCCCGGTTCGTGATACGCTGAAAATATTAAGCGGATCGTTTACTGTACACCATAGGGTGGCTGACTCCGACGATGGTGTAGCGATTTTGCGGGAAGAACGACTGTTGACCCGCCAGTCAAATATCGTAGGATTTTCTATGGTGCTCATGCAACTATGCAACTTCTGGTTCACAACCTCGGCTTCCCGAAATTCGAACCCGTTTTAGTTGCATCTGCACCTCGGTGATTGCCCGGCTATCCCCGAAGCATCTTATTCCACCGTGTTTGAGCAGGTCAGCCGGGTTAGGACAGGCTAGCAGAGATCATTTGGGAATGGAAGGGCAGGTTAGCAGAGCTCATTTGGGAATGGAAGGGGCAGGCTAGCAGAGATCATTTGGGAATGGAAGGGACAGGCTAGCAGAGATCATTTGGGAATGGAAGGGGCAGGCTAGCAGAGATCATTTGGGAATGGAAGGGGCAGGCTAGCAGAGATCATTTGGGAATGGAAGAGGCAGGCTAGCAGAGATCATTTGGGAATGGAAGGGCAGGTTAGCAGAGCTCATTTGGGAATGGAAGGGGCAGGCTAGCAGAGATCATTTGGGAATGGAAGAGGCAGGCTAGCAGAGATCATTTGGGAATGGAAGGGCAGGTTAGCAGAGCTCATTTGGGAATGGAAGGGGCAGGCTAGCAGAGATCATTTGGGAATGGAAGGGGCAGGCTAGCAGAGATCATTTGGGAATGGAAGGGGCAGGCTAGCAGAGATCATTTGGGAATGGAAGGGGCAGGCTAGCAGAGATCATTTGGGAATGGAAGGGGCAGGCTAGCAGAGATCATTTGGGAATGGAAGGGGCAGGCTAGCAGAGATCATTTGGGAATGGAAGGGGCAGGCTAGCAGAGATCATTTGGGAATGGAAGGGGCAGGCTAGCAGAGATCATTTGGGAATGGAAGGGGCAGGCTAGCAGAGATCATTTGGGAATGGAAGGGGCAGGCTAGCAGAGATCATTTGGGAATGGAAGGGGCAGGCTAGCAGAGATCATTTGGGAATGGAAGGGGCAGGCTAGCAGAGATCATTTGGGAATGGAAGGGGCAGGCTAGCAGAGATCATTTGGGAATGGAAGGGCAGGCTAGCAGAGATCATTTGGGAATGGAAGGGGCAGGCTAGCAGAGATCATTTGGGAATGGAAGGGGCAGGCTAGCAGAGATCATTTCAGATTGCCCACATTCCGATCATCTGCCTGACAATGGAGTACGATAGCCCGAAATCGTGGCAAACGGCGTGGAGCGTAGTGGTGGCGTTTCTCGAAGCGGCGCTGGACAAGGTAGCAGAGTGGTTCAGTGATAATCGAGTGGTTTTTAGCATCGACCTATTGGCCTCGCAACGCGCTATATCCAGATCGGGATGGTTTTTGAGGCGGATGCCGACCTTCATGTAGGTGTGCGATAGCCATTAAAAAATTCCACAATCACCAGAAAACGGTTACAGTTAGGGGAATCTCTCTCTCTCTCTCTCTCTCTCTCTCTGTCTCGCTCTCTCTCTCTCGCTGTCTCTCTGACCTACTCGAACATGACGGAGTGGCCAGGCTCGTCAGCCCCACTCCAAAAAAAAATCCGTTTAGTGGGAAGACTATCTACCAGCGCATTTGATCCGTTACATTGCCTCAAGAGACGGGTTCGACGACATGGTGACGATCTTCCAGGGTGGGGAGGTAGTGCTAGCGGCCCGTTAACATGTTTTTGCTTTATTCGGTTAACTGAAAAATTTTCCGTTTCAGGGATCTGACGACACCGGAGACATTTGTTTCTCGGTGGTTGTCGCCCAGAACTACGCCGGCCGCATGCCCGAACCTCGAGCTGTGCAGAGACGGATGAATGGCAATAAAATGAATTCCTGGCAGCAGAAATGGCCAGCCCGATAAAAGCATGAAGCATTTCTTTGATAGTTAATGGATATAGCAATATGTAACGGCATGACTGCACAAAAACCATACCCATACCACAAGCCCAAAGTTTAAACTTTTGAATTTTGACAAACAGATTGGAACAGTTTTTTCCCCGACCCCTATTTTTAGTTGTCATCTGATAGAGCATTGTGGAAATAGAGGAATCGCAGTAATTTCGGATTTTTGTAAGTACGCTTTCCTGGTCAAACCGGGTTAAAGTTGACGTCGAAAATCTTTCTATACGTTTACCAGACAGAATTTTGGTCGAAACTTCGTGAATAGGCGTAATTTGGAATGGGGATAATTTTTCTAATACGTCGCGAAGCACGAAAATCAGCAGAACCTAGTTAAATTCCATACCTACAACAGTTTTGGTGGGATCTCGAATTAAGGACGAGTCGGCCGCCACCTGAAACTGGGCTAGAAAGATGCGCAAAATTTTTCTGCATCGGTTGATGTATCATTTAGGTGGCGGCCAAGTCGCCGTTTTCTCAAAAATAGCTTTTTGTTGTTGAAAAATTGACCAAAAACCTGCGATTGGTCTAATTTGTTCAGGCTTTATCAGATGACATCAAAAATTTGGGGTAGAAAAAACTGTTCCAAGCCGTTTTTCGGGTGAGCCTTCCAAGCCTTTTCTTAAATTTTAAGTTTTTAAAATTTAAAAATCTTGGAAAACGAAACCCGTTTAGCACATTTGTACTTTGTCTGGCCTAGACAGGAGGGCAGACACGCAGGGGAAGGGAGACCCTTGCTCTGGCCCCGCCTCCCGTGCCCTTCGTCCCGCGTATCCTATACTCTAGTCGATACTCCTATTCCACCTATTTTTTTTCTATTCCTTTCCAAATCGAAAATTACGGGATACCCACAAATTCAGAATGTCGCCCGTCACGCGTTTTGACTTCATGAGGCTTGCCGAGCCCCAGAGAGTGGCAGTCTACCATCATCTAGGCTTTTTTCAAAAATTGGCGCTACGTCGGGTTTCCAAGGTAATTTTTCGATTTTTAAGGGCCCTGAAGGCGAAGCTAGGCGAGAGGCTCGATTCCGACAATTCATACAGGGTGTGCAAAAAAAAGACCACAGTTTGGGTCGAAATAACTCGCGAACGGTAGAGAATCGAAGGTGCGTTACCATGCCAGAATGCTTAAATATGCTGGGTATGAAGATTTAACACAAGTTGATTTTTTCGATTTTTGGCTACGTACCCATACAAATGACACCCGAAAACTGTGCGTTCGGGGAAACTTCATTTGTATTTTTCTCAGTTTCCTGTGGTGGCTGGCATCTAATTTTTATTAATTAAGTTAATATAGGCAGCAGATATATACCTACAAAATTTAAGAATTTTTGAGGGTCTGGTTGAAAAGTTATAGAGGAACGAAATTTTGTATGGAGAAATTTCGTAAATTTTTAATATTGGAAAAACCTATGGCGAAAACCTCAAAATCAGTTGTTGTGGAATACCTACAGGCTTGACACAATCGCATATACATATTAAAGAATTTTTTGAGATCGACGAATTTTCGAGTTTTTCAACGACCCCCTGGTCATGGATTTTTCGAGGTCTCGAAGCCCAACTTTGGAAAAATATTTCTAGATTGCCAAAGGGGCCTCAGCTGTTTTCTTTGCTTAGTTATGTAGTTTTGGGGTTGATCTATTATCTACAAAATTTCGAGCCACCGTACCCCTTTGGAAGGGCGTCTTTTAGGGCCTCCAAAGCAGTTCGTTCGTGCTTTTTTCCAAACCTTGTCACCATTTTATAACATTTAGTAGCGCCTTGAAAATTATCGTTTTATCTGTATCTGATACCATTTAAATAGCGCATGCTAAAGCTTTATTCATAAATTTTTTTAACCTGCCGTTGTTGGCGCCAAGAAAATTCATCAAAACCCGAAATAAACCGAATTGGAGGTTGCGTAAAAAAATTTTTGAAAGTGGAGGCGTAGGGATATTTTGAGCAATAAGTCAGTGCCATCAGTTGAATAAAACTATGCAAAGATTAAAGAAATTTCGCGTCGCAAAAATTTTAAGAAGATTTTTAAACTTCGATTTTGCAATAGGGTGATCTTCGATTTTGAGCTGAAAGTCACCATGATCATGAATCAGATTGCCCCCAAATTTGACGAGCGTAGATAATACCATCAAAGCTATAATCGTATCCATAAGACCCAGCCGGTTTGTTTATTTTTAAAAATTCGAAAATTGACCCCGGCTACTCGGACCAAAAATCGGCTCTCTGGCCTTGTTTTGCACTTGGCCTCGAGCCTCGGCCATGTTATTTACCACCCAAAATCAGTAGTTTTTGACAGGCTATCTTACAATCACTTCTAGAAGGCCCTCGGATTGAAAAATCGTCAATTTATGGAATTTTCTGATGGTATGCTAAAACGCGCTCCACCGGGGTTACGGTAGAAAACCAAAAATTGCTATTTTCGTGGCGTTTTTGCCATGGAATCGCTTCGATCTACCGGTAAAAGCAATAGTAACAGTTTTTCGTACAAATGACCAAAAAATTTACAAAATTCTGTGGCTGAACTAGAAAATCAGTTTTTGGTCTTTTTCCTGAACGTTTGTGGATAGTACGTTCTCGTATTCGGCAGTAAGGTGCCACAACTCATTGCCTAACCACCCTGAAAATTTTAGTCGGATCGAAGCTAGGGGAGCCGAGAAAAGCGGGAAAAACGAGTTTCAGCTTTTGAGCAGCTTTGCCGAGCCTGCTAGGGCGGTTGGAAAAAAGCGTCTCGAAATTGTCCGCCGCCTTCAACAACTTCGAAGGAATGCTACCAAACGACCCCCAAATGAGTTGCGAGCGGTTTGGCGTCGAGTTGTTCGAACTGCTCGAAGATGATGTTCATCTTCTGATTTGGTCAAAAAAGCCTAGTCATATACTGCCGAAAAGCACCCCAGACAGCGCCTCGAAAGACACCCCAAAAGCCACCACGGGCTGATTTCTGATTTACATAGCATTTGTCATTAACATATAAGAACTTCCGACGAGTCAGAACGGCAAACGAATCAACTCGTGGACGAATCGATATGTTCTGAACGAGTCAAATTCGCTACGAGTCAAATCGCGATCGAATCAACTCGCTGGCGAATTAAATCGACAAAATTTCCATTCGCCGGTTGCGAATCGGGACTTTTTCGAATAAACTCGCTGGCGAATCAACTCGTATAACAACCCTAAATATGGCGAAATGCGGGAGGGGTGTTTTTTTATGGGACCCCTGTATAGTTAACCTTGAAATTAAAAATTCAGAATGCGGCCCCTCGACCGTTTTGATTTCATAAAGCTCGCCATCTCCAAAAAGTCGCCGTAGACCAGAATTCAGGCTTTTTCCGAATGCGGAATCCGTGCCGGGTTTCCCAAGTATATCTTCGCATCATTACCCGGCCAGGAACGGTAATAACCAGGGCTGTTCACGGACGGGCCGGGCCAGCCCGGGACGGGCCGGACGGGCTGATTACCCAATTTGCATAAAATTAGCGGACGGGCTGGGACGGGCTGGGGAGCGGGCTGGACGGGCCGGGCTGAGCGGGCTGGAGCGGGCTGGGGTTATGCAAATCTGCTATGTTAATCATCCCGGGGTAAATTAACACATAGAAGGCAATGTGATCAGATGGCGTTTTATGCCCTTGTTTAATAAAGATTTATGAGATGTTTATTGTTTTCAGGTTAGTAGGACTCTCATTTTCGTGTTGTGGGGGGAGAGAGCCAAGTTTTATTTTTATTTTTATTTCATTGATCTGTTAAAGATACAGGTGTATTGTTACACTAATTTTAGTAGTTTTTGATTGCTCAAACTAACAACAACAATCGTACAAATTTTTGAAAATTGGCTGATTTAGACTTTTTTGGCAATTTTTCGTAGTTTTTGACCGAGATAAATCCAAAATTTTCGAAAATTTGATAATTTTTTGCCGCAGGGGTATATTTAGAAAGTGTACAATACTATGAAAAAAGTTTCTATTTCCCCGCGCTAGGCTCTTGCCTCATCCTTGGATGTAATTTACATAGCAGATTTGCCTAACCCCAGCCCGCTCCAGCCCGCTCAGCCCGGCCCGTCCAGCCCGCTCCCCAGCCCGTCCCAGCCCGTCCGCCAATTTTATGCAAATTGGGTCGTCAGCCCGTCCGGCCCGTCCAGCCCCGGACGCCCGCGGGCCGGGCTCGAAATGACCAACCCTGGTAATAACCAAGCCACGGCCTCGGCCTCGACTGGCCCGGACGGGGTGCGATAGCTGCAAGGCACGCCAAAATCACAATCAAGTTTATTGCCACGATTGTGAGACGGGTGAAAACACGTGAAATGAGGATAATTGTCGACATCAATACATGATGAATATGCATCGGTATTCCATCAGGCGTTATTGTTAAAGTCCTCAGGATCGTCGACGTCGGCGACGTGGTCCATCTGGCCGCCGTCCTCCGCGTCGTAGTGGAAGAGCCGCTCGACGACGTCGACGGTGGCGTTGAGGTTTGGGGGACCGGCCAGAATGACGAGCAGTTCGCCGCGGCGCTCCCCGAGGAAATCGTGGACGGCTTGGAGCTGCTCTGAATCTCAGGTGAGCATCTGAGGCCAAGGACCGTTCGTACCTCGCAGCACTGCGTCGGGCATCGTCTGGCAAATGCGCCATAGCTCGTCAAGAAGTGCTTCACTGAGGCGATCCATGATGACTGAGGCGAGGAGGGTGGCGATAAAGGCAAAAGCAAAGAAGGCTTCTGATATACCCAAAAACATATGCAGATCATCATGGAAATAAGTTGGTCGTATGGTATTGGAACTGGTTCCGGATGCTCATAGCAGGGATGCAAATGTCGAGAAATTTCATGGCGTACTGCTGAAAATAACCTGCCAGGACTGCCCGTGACGTGAACCCTCATGGTTGCACCGCATGCTTTATCGCAAAGTTAGCCGCGTAACCTAGCGAATTAGACAAACCATCTCAAGCTTGCGCCGCAAGCTCAAAATTTTAGCTTAAACGTAAATTTCGACATTCTGACATTACGACATTATGAAATTTCGACATTATGCTTTTCGACATTTTGAAAATAAGCCGATATGGCGAAATGCCGGAGGGGTGCGATTTTTTGGGACACCCTGTATGTTAGTTATGGAAGCCTTTGGCAAAAAACCGTGCAAACAAATTTTCGCTCGGTTCAGGAGAAAAGAAATTAGAAGTATTTTACTTGGCATAATTTCTCATTCGCAGCGTCATTAAATACAAAAATTAAGATATATTCAGTTAGTATTCTACTATATTCCAATCGTTTTTGCTTCTTATTAGTGCGATCATTTGACCCGGGCCATTTTTCCCGAGAAAAATATTGTTAGCAGATGTTTAGATCTGTCTCACCCAGGACAGAGTCAGGCACGATTGGCGTTGTCCTCGCGTTCCGTCTGATGATACGGCTTCCAGATGCCTCTTCTCGTCGGCGGGCATAATCTCTTGGGCGAGCACATCTGCATAATTTTGACCTGCCCTAAAAATCGATTGAGTTTAAGGCGCCTGTTTTGTTCCCGTGTCTTCCAAAACCAAATCTCACGGAGTTTTTTTAAGTAATCGGCAATCCCTTTCGGGGCCGAGCTCATTCGATAGAGAATTTAATTTTGAACAAGCTCCGGTTGTTCAGTTTTTATTTTTAATGTTTTAGTGTTTTAATTTTGTAAAATCGGAGACAACCATTGCGCAAAAATGAACAACCGGAATCTGTTCAGAATTCAATTCTATATCGAATAAGCTAGGTCACGAAGGGTTTTGCCGATGGCTCAAAAAAAGCACTCCTTGTCAGGACACCGGTAATTGAGCATGCCGCCCATCACGCGCTTCGACTTCATGAAGCTTGCCGAGCCCCAAAGAGTAGCCGTCTTTCATAATCTAGGCTTTTTTCAAAAATGGAACCTTCGCCGAGTCTCCAAGGTAAGTCATTGAGTAATTATTATAGTTGTTTTGCTCTGGCGATACAATCGGATTGACGCTTGGGTGGGCGTGTCTCCTAGCTTTTGATGCTGACAAGGGAACCACCTAAGGTCGAGGTGGCGTTTCGTTATGGGACCCAGCTCATTTTGTGCAGAATTTTTTGCTGATTCCGAACCCGCTTTCAATTTTTGCCAAATAGCCCGATTTAAAAAGTTACGGCGATTTTAAGATCATATTTGAGCCCGAGGGTGTCATCTGTCACGATGCCCAACATTTTTGTTTTAATATGCCAATCTATTTTAAACAGCCTATCTTGTAGAGAATTTTTTTGATTCGAATGGTATATTTGATTACTGCGCTACTGCCTATCGATGATCACTGATGGGAGTGTGAAATAGCCTGTTTTTCACCATTTCCCATACAAAAAACGAAGTCCATACCAAGTATCGTCGATTTTTTCGATTTCCAACAATTTTGAGTTAAATAGCTCATTCGATAGAGAAAAATTTTCTGAATATGATGGCGATATTTGTTTTTGATGGATCATCCGGGAAGTGCAAAATAAATGGCTTTGAAGTTGTCAAATTTGGGAAAAAATAAAACTTTGAAGCGCTATAACTTTTTAAAACGAGCTATTTGGCAAAAATGAGCAGCGGATTCGGAATCAGCGAAAAATTCTGCGCAAAATGGGCTGGGTCCCATAACGAAACGCCACCTCGACCTTAGGTGGTTCCCTTGTGAGTCGAAAACCCCTCCTAATGTTAGACTCAGGTTTTTGCGGAAAAGCCGGTCCGCCTGTTCCTGATGGCCACACGATTCTCACGCATTTTAGTCAGCAATTGGAATAAGGTATCGACGTCTTTTTGATTCCAGTTTAGGCGCGAACTGAGAGTGAGAGAGTGAGTGAGAGATCTAGTGAGAGAGAGCGAGGTGGAGAGAGATGGCACGGGAGAAACCACCAATATTTTTCAGAGAGTGAATCGTCGGCCCTGCGAAATTCACATAATGGTAGGCGATGACAACAAACGGGAAGCGCTCAACATAAGCATCAGGAATTGGGAGTGCGGCCTTCAGCTGCAGCTCGTTGGGCTCCGCTCCGCTAGGTTGGTATATGGTATATAGGGATAAAAAGCCCCCCGTAGCGGCTTTTCAACCCTGGTCACAGATCAAAGCATATTTAGCCTGAAAAAACGCTACCAAGCCCGGATGGAGATAAAAGGCTGCGCAGCCCAATGCGCCATGATAAATCGGGTCACGGCAGGCATACTGCCGCACCAAGTCTCATTTTCCTACGAAGAGGCAGAGCTGGTAAGCTAGCACGGGTCGCTCAGGAATCGAAATTTGGTTTTCTAGGGCGGCGGTCCGGCGCGTGATGGGCTGAACGTCTTGCGCGGGCCGTTTTCCCTATACCAGAATGCTACTGTATCACAGTTGAGGGATGAGCGCATGTTGGCCCGGCAGCCCAATATTGTATGCTTTTTCTTTCCTTCGTCGCATGCGGTTTATGGGCGACGGAATTTACCACATACAACGAAATTTTCGATTTTTTAGTACTACCTGTCCTTCCGGGATTGCCCAGCCGTGTCGGAGCCTTGTCACTCGGTCATGTTCGAGCAGGTCTGTGAGAGACAGAGCGAGCCAGAAAAGGGAGAGAGGGAAAGAGAGAGAGAGAGAGACAGACAGAGAGAGAGAGAGATAGAGAGACAGAGCGTGAAAAAGCGAAATGGAAAAAGATATAAAACTCCTATCAAGCTGCTCAGGTTGCTCACATCCCGATCATTTGTCTATCGATGTTCTACAGTACCCCAGAGTATTGGGAAACCGCATGGGATGTCGTAGCTGCGTTTTTCGACTCCGCCCTAGAGACGGTATCGATGATATCGACTTAATTTCGAAATGATGGGTTCTTCTGGTGCGTTAGCGGGGGAGGGGCATTTTTGTCAAGAACTTAAATACAAGTATTTTGAGCTGTATCTACAACTCATAATCTTTTTTTTTGCTCTATCGAATAGCGTCGATGTCGAAAACAAATGAAAATCCCGAAAAGTAGCTAACCAGCCCGATCGTCAGGGCTATTTTTGCCTTAGTTCTAGCTTTCTGAAAGGGATAACGACGGCATGAGTCAATCGGTTACGCACTGGAAAGAAAATGTCTCTACGCCTCTGCCCAGGGCGCGCTCTCTGCCCTTTTGGCTAGTTGCCAAAAACAATTTCATCTCCCCGCCTCCCCCCCCCCCCGCTAACGGATCAGAACCAAAAGAACGAGAAGGAAATGCATATCCATTAAAGACATTTTAGCATCGACCCGTCAGCCAGGCTACGCGCTGCCTCAAAATCAGGCTGATTTTCGGGCCGCAAAAAGGTCTTCGGGTAGGTAGTTTTGTTCTTTTCGATCCAAGTCGTTGTGACTTGAATTAAATCTTCAGTCCGAATACCGTCTTCCGGAAAAGATGGTCAAATACTTGGACTCGAAGCTCGGGCTCAACGACTTGGCGACGATCTATCGCAGTGATGTGGTAAGCATTCAATCGTTGCGAAAAGTCCCCCATTTTGAAAACTCCTGAATATTTTAGGGGTGTTTTCGCTCCGACGAGACTTGTTTCATCGCGTTTCTCGGGCAGAACTACGCGGGGCGAGATGTGGAATTTCGGGCGTTGCAGCAGCGGCTCGAACCCCGGGGCGCCGATTCGTGGCAGCAGAGGTGGCCGGAAGGGGCGGAAGCTAAAAATGTGGAGGAAGCCGGCAACCAATCGAACTTTGAAGGCTCATAAACGACTTTTAAACAGATCACAAACAAAATGAAATTTGCCCTAAAATTTCTGTGATCCGAAAAACGTTGCGTAACGGTCCAACAAGCCCCAAACCCTGGCTCAGAATAAATATTTACCTTCTAAACTGAGTTTTGAGATTCTGCATTTTTTTACTGTATCGAATCAGGCCATGTGCATACTTTGGCGCTAGGCAATCTGGGATTACAGAAAGTTCAGGATGGCATCAAGCGACCGTTTTGACTTCATGAGGCTTGCCGAGACGCAAAAAGTGGCCGTCTACCATAATCTGGGCTTTTTGCAAAAACTCGTGCTCCGCCGGGTGACAAAGGTGACTTTTGGTTTTTAAGGGATGCGAGAGAATCGACCAGGCTGGGTCTCGACGGCTTTGCGGCACGCCAAACACGCATAGAGAATTTCTAGTTTTGCTGCAATTTTTTCCCTTTATGGGCCATAAAAACAAGTTAAGGCTTTATTTTTTATGTCACCGTCACAAAGTTGTCGTGCGCCAACGGTTTCATTTCTTTGCGGAGAAGCCGATGCGCCCCTTCCTGATGAGCACCCGCTTCTCGGCCGTCGAGGTCAGGAAGAGGTCGACGGTATCGATTTTTCCTTTAGATGGACGAGAGAGAGAGAGAGAGAGCGAGAGAGCGAGAGAGAGTGAGAGAGGAGAGAGTGGAAGAGAACGAGAGAGGGCAAGATAGAGAGGGAAAGAGAGAAAGAGAGAGAAAGAGAGAGGCATAGAGAGAGAGGGGAGAGAGAAAACGAGTGTGAGAGAACAAGTGAAGGACCGTCTATTTTTAGAGAGTAGATACTCTTCCGTGCGTATTTCGCATCATGGGAGGATACCGTAGCGAACGAGAAACCATTTTCATCAGCCTCAGAAATTGGCGGCGTGGTATGCAGTTGAAGATTTGCGGATTGTAAGTGCTATACCTTATAACTACGAGCGGCACATATTCTTTGAAAATTAGTAGGCGGATTTCTAAGCAACGAATACTTTTAGTCCGATCCCCACCTACCAAGTCTCGGAAAGACTGCAAGGAGGTACAGCGCAATTTGCCCTGCTCAATCGACTAACCGAGGGGATGCTCCGGCACCAAGTCCCGTTTTACTACGACGAGCACGAGCTGGTAGTCTTGCAGAGATCATTCAGGATCGAGGGTCCCATTTTCAGGGCGGTGGCCCGGCACGCGATGCGTTGGATATATTAGGCGGATTATTTACCGTATCCCGGCGGTGTGGTGGGTTCGAGGATACGGCCGCGTTGTTAAGGGAGGAACGCTTTCTGCGCAGACAGCCAAACATTGTAGGTGATTTTTGGCAGTGTCTTTACTATAGTCTTTCCGCGGATATAAATATCCATATAAAAATGTCTAAAAATTTGGACATTGAAAAAATTTTATCTTTTTGGGTCTGTTTTATACATTTTTAGCTAAAAAGGCAAAACAAATTGATGTTGTTTTTAGGTTTGGTGTTCTCTCTCCCTCTCTCGCTCTCCCCCCCTCTCTCTCTCTCTCTCTCTCTCTCTCTCTCTCTCTCTCTCTCTCTCTCTCTCTCTCTCTCTCTCTCTCTCTCTCTCTCTTGCTCTCTCTATCTCTCTACGCCTCCTCTCTTTCTCTCTCAGACTGTCCCTTGTCTTCAAAAAACCAAAAACCGTGTAAAATGCTATAAAAATGGTTTAGTGTATGTTATAGCCGTACGAGATTACGAGAAAAAAATCAACTTTTCGCTGGCAAAAATCCGCGACCCCCCTGTTAACAGCCCAGTGCCCTGAAAACTACAAAAAATAAGATGCCCAAAAATCAGCCATCTAAAATAACCACTATCAAAATTGCTAAAAAATGCATCCATTTTTAGATCAATCTCTCCTTCAATTTTCCGGCAACGTCGGGAGTCTCTCATGTCAACTTGTTCGAGCAGGTCAGCCGGAAGGGACGGCTAACAGTCTGAGAGAGTGCGAGAGAGAGAGAGAGAGAAAGAGAAAGAGAAAGAATCCAGATTTGCTATTTGTGAAACAACCTTCTCGCGCCTTCACAAACCCGCTTTTCAGATTGCCCATATTCCAATAATCTGCCTTTCGATGCACTACAGTACCCCAGAATACTGGGAAACCGCATCGGAGATGATGACCGCCTTCTTCGACGCGGCCCTTGTGACGGTAGGGGCAGATTTCGTCGAAAAGTTGAAGCCATCAAAGCGAATAAAACGTGTTCAGCATCGTCCGGCTGGGGACGCAGGTCGCTGCCTCAAAATCAGACTTGTCTTCGGGCCGACAGCCGAGCCGCAGGTTGTCAATTTTGAGCAGGCGCGTATCAGGATTTTTGAAGGGGGCTGTTGGCTTCGCTAAAAAACCCGAAATTTGCAGACAGAATACCGTCTTCCGGAAAATTTGGTCAAATATTTGGACTCGAAGCTCGGGCTCAACGACGTGGCGACAATCTACCGCAGCAACGTGGTAGGCAATGAATGCGAAAACGCCAAAATCCCGACAGCCAGAAACCCCCGATTTTAGAACCATTTATGAGTTGATAGCATGACCGGAAATACCACATTTTGGCTTTCGGGATTTTAGCTGTCGGAATTTCGACTGTCGCGATTTGGGCTGGAATTCCAATGCGTATTTGCGGAGAATTTCGAGAACAAAAACCCTCAATAATTCTAGGGGTGTTTTCGCGTCGGCGAGACGTGTGTCATCGCGTTTCTCGGGCAGAACTACGCGGGGCGAGATGTGGAATTTCGGGCGTTGCAGAAACGGCTCGAACACCGGAGCGCCGATTCGTGGCAGCAAAAGTGGCCCAAAGAGGCGGAAGCTCAAAATGTGAAGGAAACCGGCAAACAATCGAACCATGAAGGCGCATAAACGACTTTTAATCACGTCTAAAACCACTGCAATTTGTCTTAATATGCACTTCATGCCATTTTTCGCATTTCTCAACGCGAGCAAATTGAGAATAAATATTTATTCTCTTTTTTTACTGTATGCTTCAAATGTTTTCATCATATTTTTTACACTTTCCTTGGCTTATTTCTTCTTTCCGTAGCAGCCACCGCCACCGTAGCCCATGCAGCCCATGCCGAGACCTGGAAATAGATCGAAAAATAATAGAGAAGCGAGAGAGAAAGAGAGGGAGAGAGAGAGAGAGAGAGAGAGAGAGAGAGAGATAGAGAGAGACAGCAAGATAAAGAACCCACCATAACCTCCAAAACCGCCGAATCCGCCTCCCATCAGCCCGTATCCACCGTAGCCGCCGTAGCCTCCGTATCCCCCGCCAAAGCCCATCATATCGTAGCTGAAAATTCGGGAAGACTAGCAGTGATTTTTTGAGAAAGATCCGCGAAAATTCCGGGAAAACTAGCAAAGTTCCCGGAAAAATTGACCCACCCTCCTCCACAGCCTCCGAATCCCAGGCCCCAGCCGCCGAACGAACCCAGGCACGCCTCACTTTGCTGGAAAATAGTTTTTTAGACTCTTAGGGATGGGATAGCTGATCAGAAGCTTTATATAGGCTATTTCTAGTTTATAACTTTTCTTTAAAACCTCTAAATTAATTTATAACCTTTTTAACGCCGAATTTCCTTTCCTACAAAACTACAACCTTTACACAAAAATTGAGCAAATTTAGCCTTCTTTCACTTCATTGTCAGCTTTTATTCAAACCCGGCTTGCAAAATAAGTTTAAACAACGTTGTTTTATAATAAGAAACGGTGAAATTCACAATTTTTGTTGTTGAAAAGAAAAACAATGTTTTAAAATGCCAAAGGGTTTATTTATGTTAGCTAAGCTAAAATTCGACGAATTTCTTCCTTATCGAAGGCAATTTCGCTTTAACAACTGGATCGCAAATCCAATCTTTCAAAAGTAAAGCAAAATAAAACAAGAAATGAAAGTAAAAAACAAAATTATTAACAAAACTAAAGCTATCGAGCATACCTGAAGGAAGACGGCGACGAGGACAAGGACAAAGCCAAGCCGGGCAGTGAAATTGGCAATTCGGGCCATTTCCAAGATTCCGAGTTTCGAAAGGTAATTAAAATAGCCTTCAAACTCTCCGCTCGTCTCCAATAAACGCGCTTCCCTACCAGGAACCTGGGCCCGCATAAATACCCGGATTTTGAAGTACCCTCGGGCCACGCGGTAGTCACCGGGCGCGCCATTCCCCCCGAGTGTTTCCGCTCCGACTCCGCACTTGACGTCGTTGGGCGGCCGAAAAAACTTGCGAAAACGCGGGATGCGCATTCCGTCCAACGAAACATCCCCCCGATAATGCGAAAGAACCGAATTCGTAAAAAACACTGGCAGGTCGCTTGGCCAATTTACCAGTTTCAAAATTCCGAAAGAATCTGCGCTAGATTTCCTCGCCAGAGCGCCTCAAAATCGGAGTTCCTCAAGAATCAACGTCGGATTGCCCGACCAGAGTTTCCTACATCTTCTCAGAAAAACACTGCTCGCCCGCCTCGTTAGTTTGTCGCATTAGAATTCCTAAATAATCACCGTTAGTTCGCTGGTTGATCCCGCGAGTGGTTAGAATGATAATTTTTGAAAAATGATTGCCTGATCGGGTGGCCAGTTTTTTATAATAGAGTTACGCAAGGCCAGAATTCCTAAAAATCACCGCCAGTTCGCCCGGCTACGGTTGCGTTTACGCTTGCCGCACCACAGCATTGAGCACGATCGCACGGGCCACGACCCTGTAAAAATAGTTGTTAAATCGTCTGCTAAATGCAAGGAAACTTAAGAAATTCGCTGACCACCGCGAGCAAATGTTATTCTTTATCACGTCAATAGCCGGGCAATCGGATGGAGAGCAAAAACAACTCATGGGAAAGGGCGAGGCGAACCGTCAAGGAATAGATGGTAGTAGAATAGCAAAAACCAGGAAGAAGACGGCGAAGAGCGAAGGCGCGTTGGGTACACACGGCAGGGTGGGTGGAGGGGGTGGCTGGGAATTTCATGACCTAATGACTTAGTATCTCAATTTGTGGGTGGGGGCAGCTGCTACACGTTTTACAAGCCGGATGGGTACGGTATCTCACAATAGGGCGGGCCGAAAGAAACAAAGACACTCAAAAACAACAATGGGCATCACACTTAGTGGCTACGCGGGAGGGAGGAGGGTCAAAAGAAAACGGCCAAAATACCGACAGCCAAAATGTCGACATTCAAAAACCGGAGGCCAACATCCCGACAGGAAAATGGTAGTCTAAAAGACATTCCAGGCGACGCTCAGCAAATTTTGGCCCGTCAGGATCGGCTGTCGGGATTTGCGCTCGTCGGGATTCTAAAACATCGACATTCAAAACACCGATCGCCAAAATATCGACATCCGACAGCGATAATCGCGACATGAAAAAACGCCGTTTAAAGTAACTTTTAAGAGGCGCACGGCCAATTTTGGCCTGTCGGGATTTTTGCTGTCTAGATTTACGCTTGCCGGCATCGTACGAGTTACCTTAAAAATCCCGACCCAAAAAAAAAACCGGTTCAAAAGATGGCGGCATTTTCAGAAGTCTAAGTTGAGAATCGAAAGAGGAGCCAAGCCGGCTACGCTGGGGAAAATTCTTGCTGTCGGTATTTCGTCTTGTCAGGATTTTCCGGCAATCAAAAATTCAGTGGCTCCTTTGGAAAAATTTTTAGACCCCCAGTAAAATGCCACGTTCCTTTAAACGGCAATTTTGCATCGGGGATTTCGATTTTCGGGATTTTGGCCCGCCGACATTTCGGCTGTCGGGATTTTGAGTTGCAGATATTCGATTTTCGGGATTTTGGGCCGCCGACATTTCGGCTGTCGGGATTTTGACTTGTCGAAATCTTGGCTGTCGGGATTATGACCTAAATTCGGGGAGGGCGGGAAGGGACAATGCTGAGCAACAGGAATACAGCGCAGAATTTGCAGACGACGACGACGCCATCAACAACAACCCGAACCAATTTTTCAGAATCTAGGGGTGGGGCGGGGGAATAAATTATGAATACACAACACAAGCTACGAATAGGAAAGGAGGAGATCTTATTGCTACAGTAGACAAAAGCCAAAAATACACACACGCCTCAATTTACAGCTATGCAAAAAAATCCGGGGGGATACATTACATTATCCTACAGGGGGGTGGGGAAACCTAATTCTTAGGGGGTGGGGGAACGGAATAACAATTAGAGGGGGCGGGGGACCCAAAAAAACCTAAACCCTCAGACCGGCATGGCTTCCAACGATGAGAACAGACAATAATTTGGAGCAAGTGTGGAGCGGGATGTTGAGACGGCGTTTCTCATCAGCCGTACAGCTTGACAAAGTCGCGCAGCACGCCCACCACCAGACGCGCGTCACCGCCGCCCCTGGAAAAGGTAGATTTTTTAAAATTTAAACCTTGAAACCCGAAATAAAATGGCTAATTCTCGTTTAGCGCCAATAACCAAAAATTAAATATTTTTCTACACACTTTAACGTCCTTTTTCCGTCTAAAAATCCAATAAAACTCGAAATAATTCGATAAATTTGGTTTTCTGATCGGAAATTAATGAAAAACATTGCAAAAGATTTTTTTCGTGAAAATAAAAACTTTTAGCTATTTGCTACCACGAAAAACACAAAAATACACGTTATTTTATCCAATTTATGCATACAAGAACTATCAAAAAAGTTTCAAACTTGGTAAAATTTTTTAAAAATGGCAAAAAACCTTCCGAAAAACCGGTTCAAAATTGAAGCTACTAAACGCCACTAAAAACACGCTACTGATCCAATTTATAAAAAATTAACCTTAGCCAGAAAACTCACCAAAAAAATTAAATTTAATTTTGCGCGGTCTAAAACGCACCTGCAGATGTCAGCGTGCGCGGCGGCGAGCTGGGCTTCGGTGGCAGGGCCCCGGGGCAACTGTCCGAGCGCGTGGCTGAGGGCTCTCGCTTGTAGCTGGGCGTCGTACTTGCCGAGGCCGGCGATGATCTCGGCAAAGTCTCGGAGCAGCTTGCTCGACACGTCGAAGAGACCGGCCCTAGGGAAATTTTCAATAATTCGCTATTTTACTCACTTCAACGCGTGCTCCAGCAACCGCCCGGCGTTGGTGCGCATCAGCTCGTCGGCGGCTTTCACGCCTGCGTCTTCGTATTGCATCTAGAAAAATGGAGTTGACAGGGACCAAAAAAACATATAGAAAAACGTTCTAAAGAAAACCTAAAGACTTGTTAAAATTTAAGTTGAAACAGCTACAAAATGCCCAAAAAACTCACCCTGCGCGCCGTCACGAGCTGGTTGAGCATCTCGTTGCAGTACTTCGTCACCGAGCGGCTCGCCTCGGTGTGGTCGACGTGCAGGGCGTGGAGGCAGCACTCGAACAGCGGCTGGCAGATCGGGTGCACGAAGAAGGAGGACGGGCACCGGGTTATGTAGCTGAAAAAGGGAGACTAAATAATCAGAAACTGAGCTAACCGGTGGGCCAGCCGGAAGAGGTCGTCGACGGTGTCGGGGTGGTTGCGGAAGCCGTGCTCCTGGTCGAGCACCGGGAACGTGTTCACCGCCAGGCTCCTGAGCATCTCCATCAGCCCATCGCGCAAATTTTCGGTGGCCCCGTACTCGTCGACGAGGATGGAGGCGAGGTAGAGGATGCAAGAGTGGCGGTGCCGACTGTAGATGTCCATCAACTAAATTTACAGATGATTAAAAAATTAGTTTCCCAGATTTTGGATTCTTTGCATTATCGGGGGGGGGGGGGGGGGGGAGCGTTTCTAAACTCTTAGATGTAAAAACATTAAAATTTGCCTTCACCAGACAAAAAATTTCTCGATTTTTTGACCAAAATTTCCACTAAAAAAATTCTTTAGGTTTTTCATCGTTTTCCAGTTGAAAAACTGTTAAATCTTACTAAAAAACCTATTATTAATTATCGCAGCGATACCTGAAGAATGAGTGGCTGCACGAACGGCTCCGAGTGGGTGCCGAGCGAGCGGACGACGTGGCGGATGGCCCTGAACCAAAAATATCAAATTTTACAACCAAAAAACCTGCAGGTGTGCTCAACGAGACGGTCATTCGCTTGGTACTTCTGGAGGCAACGCGAGGTGGCCTGCCAGGTGTTTCCGGCCACCTCGAGCCATGGCGGCTTGCTGAGGTCGTAGGCGCCTTTCTAAAAAAAACGAAAATTTTATTTTTATTAAAAAACGGCATTTTTGGGTGCAATCTCGCAACGAAGACGCAATGATCACCTCCGTGTGGTAGGGCTTGATCACGCGAAAGATGGCCGCCAGGCGGTCGATCCAAATTATGGGCCGGTGGGCCATTTGTATCCACCCGTCGCCCTTGTTCTCGTCGGCGGCCGCTGGAATGTCGGCATCGAGGATCTGCAAAAAAAAACAGGATTGTGATGATTGTTTTATTTTTCTTTTATAGTCCCTGAATATCTGGAAAACACACCAGCTGCAGCTTCATCAATATCGGGTCGCACAGGGCGCGCAGCCGCAACGTCAACTCCTCGCGGTCCAGGTGGTTGCACAGCGTGGCGGCGGCTGGAAGGGAAGTATTTTTTTCGCATTAATTCCGGCCCAAATTGTTACTCCCATGAGCTCAAAAAGGCATAAAAACGCGAGAAAAATTTAGTGACTTTGATAAGATTTGGCAGAAAATCGATTTCTTTTGCATTTTTTCATCAAAACGCCATAAACTTTTTTTAATAACTCCGATGAGACCTAATTCGCCCAAAAACGTGACAAAAATTCTAAAAACTTTTTAGTAAAATTTAACTATATTTAAAATCGCAAACTATCTGTAAAATTCCAAATTTCGAACAAAATGCCGTTTTTCGTCGAAATGTTTGCATCTTTTAATAAAAACTATTATTACGTATTTCTTAATTGGAATAACAATCCCCTCGTTATATTGGAAAAACACCGGAACCCAGGAAAAGGAATAAAACTACCTTTAGTGAGGTCCTGGGCGGCCTTCTCGACGTTCTTCCCATTCGTGGTGATCGCCTCGAGGCGGTCGATGGCGGTGATGAGCGCTGGTACGTAGTGGACGACCGGAGCATGGTCGCAAATCTGAAAATTTTAGATGAAGCCTGGAGACCGGTAAATACCTGCTCAATGCTACCGGATGCCGTCGTGACAAAGACCGGGCTCTCGAGGTAGTGGAAGAGCCATTGCATTACGCGATCTAAACAACGAAATTGATAATGGAGGACGAAAAAACGGACCGATCAGTGCCGGATGTTTGGCGAGCCACTCGGAGCACCCGCCCATGAACTGGATGGCCGTCATGATCAAGCAGGGGTGTCCGGTGGCCGGGGTGAGCTGCACGAGCTGGTTGATCAGCTCCGGCACCACGGAGTCTTCTTCACTACAAAAAAAAACAATGAGATGAAAAGCGCCGAAAACGCACGGCAACAGGTTCTCGATGACATTCGACGAGATGAAGAGTGCGGCCTCCGTCTTCTCCCACGTCTCCTTGTTCTTCGCCGCCTCGGCCATGTTGTTGAACATCTAAAAAAGTGGTGCTTAAAAAAATCGGGTATTTTTTACCAGCTTGATACATTCGTCGGTGCCGACGATGAACGCGACGTCCTTGACGGTCTCGCGCACCTGGAAAGCATATTAGCGCTCGAAAGTCCCGGTGATACCTTTCGGCGGAAATCGTTGAAGTCAGAGTCCTGGTCGGGCAGTCCGGCCTCGTCGACGTCGAATTGAGAGTGCTTGGCGAGGGCTTGTAGGTAGCTAAAAAGCAGGGGTCAGGGAAGTCAGGGAGAGAGGAGAGAAGGTGAGAGAAAGAGAGAAAGAGAGAAAGAGAGAGAGAGAGAGAGAGAGAGAGAGAGAGAGAGAGAGAGAGAGAGAGAGAGAGAAAACTCCTAACCGCACGACGAACGGCTTGAACTGGCCCACGTGGTCGTTGTCGTCGATCATGAACAGGGCCTCAGAGATCCGGTACCACACGTTGAACGTCATTTCGATCAGCTAAACAACTAATTAAACGCGGATTGTTGTAAAAAAAAAACTATCAGGGACCTATTTTCCCCACCGATAATCATCAAGAACCAAAACCGTACCGCATAATCAAAGTGCTCGGCGGCCAGGATCAGGAACTCGAAGATGGCAATGTCTTGAAGCGGTGTGGCATCCTAAAATCAGAATTTTGGACGAAATTCGCGGAGCCCGTACCCGATCCTGGTTGACGACCGGCTCGATGAGGCTCTCGGTCAGCTCGACAAACACGCGTGTGAAGTTTTGCAATCTAAAGAAACATCTACACGGAAAGACCCTATTTTCATACCGGTCCGTGTCCTCTTGATTGGTGGCGGTCCAGACGGGGCGAAGGGCGAAGATGGCCCGGTGCAGGATGACGGCGAGCTCCTTGTGCTTGTGGAAGTCCTCGATGCGCAACAGGCCCGCGACAATGCACTCGGTGGCCGCGTCGTGCAGGGGGTGGCTGACCGCGGGGGCTGACTGAAAAGCGGATCTCACATAACGGTCTTTCGCTCGAAAACTCGATATTTGTGGATTATGTGCGTTTTACTAGTGTTTTAGTGACCTGAAAGATATTTTAAATCAAAAAACAATCCAAATGATGGGAAAAAGTTTTAACCCGAATTTTGGTCGAAAAATCGATGATTGGTGTTTTTTTTACGCAGAATTTGTAGTTTTTACGTTTATTAATTACAAAAAAGTGCTTATAAAGATTCCGCTATTTATATTAGAAAAATTGGCTCGTAAGGTCCTAAGGACCCCCAGGACTCAAAGAATCAAAAAATTTTAATAATGCAAACGTTTGATCGAAAAATCCATTTTTTCGAGTAAAAAACATAGCGCTAAACTACAAGCTCTCAAAAACGAACCAGAATCTGGAAGACGAAGCCGATCAGGTCGGACCGCGCGATGTTATTCGTCTCGATGCTGGGGTTCTGCAGCAAGGCGGCGAGGCACTGGACGACCTGAAAAGCAAAGTTGAATCAAGAAAATGTCGTCGTCGATACCTTCTTGATCAAGTCCTCCTCGGCCGGGCGCTTCTGGAGGGCTGCCTCGAGCACTGTGCGCTAAACAAAAATGCTCAAACTCTACTCGTTACATTACCAGATATAGGATGACGCTGTCGGCGCTCATCGCCAACTCTTGGCGAATGGCTTCCCGGCGATTTTCCCCGACGCACGACGTCTCGACTTCTTCGGGAAATACCTAAAAAGCGCTGTTTAAATCTAGAATCTAACAAAAACCTTGAGGAGCGTCAAGAGCATCTTTGTGCGATCTCCGCTGAGCGCGGTGAACCGGTTGAGCAGCTGGGCGATGAAGTTGGTCCATACGGGCACCTGAAAAAGGTAAAAAAAAAGCAAAGAAAGCACACCTGTATGTAGAGATTTGCCACCGCGAGACACAACTGCGTAGATGTGGCCTCAGATGTCTGGTCGACTACGTGGATCTGCCTAAAAATCAGGGTTTTGGTGACGAAAAAAGGCCGGACGTCAGGTGGTTGATGATGGACTCGCGCAGTGACTCAAGGCTGGCCTCGGGCACCTCCTTCAGGTTCTTGACAATCTTCTGCCGGAGCGTCTGGGCGGCAAAGTAGCTGAAAATAAAGAATTAGGAAAGAGGATTGGCTTCACCAGGCAACGGGGTCCTTGCGCTCGGCCAGAATCTGGTCGCAGGCCATCCACGCGTCCGTCTGGAAATGTCTTTGGTTTGGAAAATCTTAAACAAGATCCGTGAAGACTTTATTAGCATAAAAGCCAAGTACTAGGTTAAAAAAAAGCCACTTTAAACCCACCGATTTGGTGAACGCGTTTATCCATTGTTGTGCCTCGGCGTTGTTCGTGCCCGAATACAGTACCTAAAGCACGGAAATTAGCAGATAAATTTCGATTTACCTGTATTGCATTGTAGACGATGGCAAGGTTTTCTTGCATACCTGAAAATGCGCTAAATTACGGGCAAAGAGAACAGGATAAGGAGGGCAGAAGCGTAATTTTAAAAGGAGCGCTAATCCAGAATTTAAAGAGGTTATTGAGAAAGTTTGAAGCAGAAAAAGCCTTGAAATTTACACGTCTTATGCGGTCTCCGCTTTTACTTTTCTTTTCAAAAAATTTATTGGGATTGAAAGCAGAGGGGGCACAGGGAAGGGGTGTCGGGCGTAGCGTTTCGTACTGACCAACCGGATGGTTTGTAAACTTGCAAAAACACGACAAATTAATAAAATTATGTAACTGCCCTAAAAAGCAGATTATAATCTATTTTAGAAGCTGCTGAATAACAAGGCGTCTTTTTTCAAGGAACAACGAGCCAAAAAGTGCTTATAATTCGCGGGAAATACAAGGAAATATAAAATTAAATAGGAAAGCCAATTTGCATCGGTTTTTGCACCTAAGGTTGGTGAAAAAATTGGCGAGAATAATCGCATTCCTCAAAATGACGGACAAGGAACGTTTCACTTATATCGGTAAGTGGGGGGTCCTAATTTTTCGAAATGAAGCACGGAAACAACGTAAAAAACGTAGACTTTCAGGCTTTCAGGAGAAGCAGGGGACAAGCGCGGAAAATTCGGAAATATGCAAAAAATAAAGCTATTTCTAGCCGTGGGCCCGCCGAACGACCTACGCATACAGTGGCTGGCCGTCTTTTTCACGATATGTTTCGTGACGTTCACGATTCTGGTGTTCTACGCCTGGTAAGGTAGTCATTGGCTTTCTGCGCAATTCAAGACAAAAAGAAACAAAGAAATCAGCAGGTTTAATCTTAACAAAAATTACCGTTGCTTTTCTCCAGGTTCCCGGCCCTGAGCAACGCCTGCCGGCGTCTTTTGTGGCAATGGAGCCGGAAGCGGGCCAAGGTTGGGCTTGAGGCTTGGCTTAGGCTTGGCTTAGGCTTGGCTTTGGCTTGGCTTATGCTTGGCTTAAGCTTGGCTTAGGCTTGGCTTAGACTTGGCTTAGGCTTGGCTTAGGCTTGGCTTAGGCTTGGCTTAGGCTTGGCTTATGCTTGGCTTAAGCTTGGCTTATGCTTGGCTTAGGCTTGGCTTAAGCGTGGCTTAGGCTTGGCTTAGGCTTGGCTTAGGCTTGGCCGAGGCTTGGCTTGGGCTTAGACTTGAGCTCCACCTCCGTTCAGGCTGGAAAAATCGACTGGCGCCGCTACCATCTGCTGCTCGACGACTGCGAGGCCAAGGGGATCACACCTCTGAAGGTCTGGAAAGGGCTTTAAAGGGAGTGGGGAGTCAGAGCTGCTGAGGCAGGCTAGCAGCGGTCCTTGAGGAAAATCGGATTCTGTTTTTAGCCCGACGAGTACCCGCGGGCCACGTCCGTCCTTGTCTACTTCCTTGAGCAGCACCAGAAGCTGCAGTTTCAGGTGAATAGATCGGCCTCTCCCTCTCTCTCTCTCTCTCTCTCTCTCCCTCTCTCTCTCGCTTTATTTAGCGCTCTCTATTTATTTGTATAACTTTATTTTCAGCATAATTCTAGCCGAAAGAAAGGCAGCCCGGAGTCGCACCCGCTGAAGACGACGCTCAACTCGATCGAGGACCCGAAGGAGGCCAGCAAGGAGAGCCTTTTCCGGAGCCGCGAATTCGCCCAGCTCGACACCGCGCCGCCGCCGGAAGCGCAGGTCTCTCGCGCCCTCTCGCTCACTCTCGCTCTCGCTTTCTCGTCCTCTCTCTCGCTCTCTCCGTTTCTAGCTGCTCATTTCAGGCAGCCGCCGCTCGCGAGTCGGCCGGCCAAGCGGAGGCGGATGCGCGCTGGCGCGAAGCTGAGGCTATGAGGTAATTTTGAAGAGAAAGAGAGAGAGAGAGAGAGAGAGAGAGAGAGAGAGAGAGAAAGGGCAGAAAATCGACGACATTGTAGGTACGACCAGCGGCTGCACCAGAAGATGAACGCGACCGCGATGCTGGTCCGTCGCCATGGGTTGGTTTCTCTCTCTCACACTCTCTCTCTCTCTCTCTCTCTCTCTCTCGCTTTCTCACACTCTCTCTCTCTCTTTCTCTCTCTCTCTCTCGTTTCCAGCTGGGAGCGATTTGCGTTGTCGCATCTGAAGGAGAGCGCGAAGAACCGCGCCCAGATGCCCAACCCCGAGGAGTACCGCCGGCGCAGCCTTCGCCTCACCGATCCCGTCAAGAATCGCATCGTAAGGCTTCGTCCTTTTGATGTTAAAGGCCATGAAAAGCGCGAGAATCGACTCCTACCCTCCCCCAGGTCTCGACAGCTACACGACACGCTAAAATACGCGTTGATCTCATGTTAAGAAGGCTTAGGACGACACTTTAAAGGGACGGCGACACACGGTGTTTTCTTTCAGCGTCACCGCGGTACGGGTCGACGTGCGTCGCGCACACGCGTCGCGTCCCGCGCCTCATCCGGCAACGAAAAATGAGCTGCCGGTTACGACATTTAATTCTGTCTTATCGATTCTTGTGTTCACTTTTATCCATTCCGTGCTTGACTATGAATAAATGATCTCTGCTAGCTTGCCCTGCTTGAGAAATATTATTGTTTATTTTTGCCTATTAACGAATTATCAACAAAACTACAGTATACCAACGTTGTTCTTTGCATATAAATTTCATTTTTACATAAATTTTGCGGTGCTTTGGCATTATCGGAGGAGGGGAGAGATTTTCTACTGTTTGCAATCGCAAAAACTGTACAAAGGGTATTCGGAAATTCCAAAATATCGATTTTTCGCCCCAAAATAGCTGTTTTTCGGTCAAGATGTCGACTTTTTAATGTTTTTAAGTTTTTAAATAGTTTTTTGTAGTTAACATATGGCTAATTTTGGTATATCCGTTAACCCCCCCGATAATGCATAAGCACGCGTTTTTCGAGTGATATTTATCCGGTAATATCGGCGACGCCGGGGAATTTGATGCCCAGCCCGAGGCCCACGCCCACACCCGCCATCGGCACGCCTACACCGAAATTGGTGTTGACCTGGAAGTAGGAGATTTTCTCGCTGCCTCTCTTCCTTTGTCCCTCTCTCTCTCTCTCTCTCTCTCTCTCTCTCTCTCGCTCCCGCTCACTTTCTCGCACTCACATTTCCACCCAGCGGATCGACGCCGACATGTTGATTCTGCTGGTAGTACGGCCCGACGCCGCCCCCAACGTCGACCCCGATCGGCTTCCCGAGTTCACCCTCTTTGATGGGGACAGATACCTTGAAAAATTGGATATATATATATTCCTACCGTAACCTACCGTAGCATGGGACTCGCCTTCCACGCCGAGACTCTGTACGAGGGGCACGCTCCAGCCAGAACGATAGCCGTACTTTCCGTCATACCTAAAAGGGCAGGCTAGCAGAGATCATTTGGGAATGGAAGGGGCAGGCTAGCAGAGATCATTTGGGAATGGAAGGGGCAGGCTAGCAGAGATCATTTGGGAATGGAAGGGGCAGGCTAGCAGAGATCATTTGGGAATGGAAGGGGCAGGCTAGCAGAGATCATTTGGGAATGGAAGGGGCAGGCTAGCAGAGATCATTTGGGAATGGAAGGGGCAGGCTAGCAGAGATCATTTGGGAATGGAAGGGGCAGGCTAGCAGAGATCATTTGGGAATGGAAGGGGCAGGCTAGCAGAGATCATTTGGGAATGGAAGGGGCAGGCTAGCAGAGATCATTTGGGAATGGAAGGGGCAGGCTAGCAGAGATCATTTGGGAATGGAAGGGGCAGGCTAGCAGAGATCATTTGGGAATGGAAGGGGCAGGCTAGCAGAGATCATTTGGGAATGGAAGGGGCAGGCTAGCAGAGATCATTTGGGAATGGAAGGGGCAGGCTAGCAGAGATTATTTGGGAATGGAAGGGGCAGGCTAGCAGAGATCATTTGGGAATGGAAGGGGCAGGCTAGCAGAGATCATTTGGGAATGGAAGGGGCAGGCTAGCAGAGATCATTTGGGAATGGAAGGGGCAGGCTAGCAGAGATCATTTGGGAATGGAAGGGGCAGGCTAGCAGAGATCATTTGGGAATGGAAGGGGCAGGCTAGCAGAGATCATTTGGGAATGGAAGGGGCAGGCTAGCAGAGATCATTTGGGAATGGAAGGGGCAGGCTAGCAGAGATCATTTGGGAATGGAAGGGGCAGGCTAGCAGAGATCATTTGGGAATGGAAGGGGCAGGCTAGCAGAGATCATTTGGGAATGGAAGGGGCAGGCTAGCAGAGATCATTTGGGAATGGAAGGGGCAGGCTAGCAGAGATCATTTGGGAATGGAAGGGGCAGGCTAGCAGAGATCATTTGGGAATGGAAGGGGCAGGCTAGCAGAGATCATTTGGGAATGGAAGGGGCAGGCTAGCAGAGATTATTTGGGAATGGAAGGGGCAGGCTAGCAGAGATCATTTGGGAATGGAAGGGGCAGGCTAGCAGAGATCATTTGGGAATGGAAGGGGCAGGCTAGCAGAGATCATTTGGGAATGGAAGGGGCAGGCTAGCAGAGATCATTTGGGAATGGAAGGGGCAGGCTAGCAGAGATCATTTGGGAATGGAAGGGGCAGGCTAGCAGAGATCATTTGGGAATGGAAGGGGCAGGCTAGCAGAGATCATTTGGGAATGGAAGGGGCAGGCTAGCAGAGATCATTTGGGAATGGAAGGGGCAGGCTAGCAGAGATCATTTGGGAATGGAAGGGGCAGGCTAGCAGAGATCATTTGGGAATGGAAGGGGCAGGCTAGCAGAGATCATTTGGGAATGGAAGGGGCAGGCTAGCAGAGATCATTTGGGAATGGAAGGGGCAGGCTAGCAGAGATCATTTGGGAATGGAAGGGGCAGGCTAGCAGAGATCATTTGGGAATGGAAGGCGCAGGCTAGTAGAGATCATTTGCGAAGCACGAGGCGAGCTAGCCTGGATTCTTTGGGAATGCGTCTAAAAAACCCACCAATTCGCTCCAATCTCGGTGTACTGAGACCAGTAGTCACTAGAAAAAATTAGGAATCAACGAATTCCATATAGTAATCGATTACCGTACACCGATGTGGTCCGAGTAGCCGCCACCCCACGACCCGAACGGGATGTTCATCAATCGGCCGGCACCAATGGCACCTGGAAAAGATAGACTCTGTCGCTCTCTCTCTATCTCTATCTCTCGCTCTCTCTCTCACCTTCTTCATTCACCGGATAGTACGGTATCCCCTTAACGGCCCAGCTGCCGAGGTTCAGGCCGACACCTAAATTGTTGCGGTGTTTCCTAAATTATCTCTGCTAGCCTGCAACTTACCCGAATCAAACGAGTGTGCAATAGCGTACAAAGAATCTCCGCGGCGTATGTATTGTTGACAATCCTAAAAAAAATAAAATATACTTCAAAATTCCGAAACCGTACGCGATAGTACGCCTCGCAACGTGGACGGTACTTGGCTTCGATTTGGTTCGCCGGACAGTGCAGACGGACGGTGGGAAGGTATCTGGAAACCGTGTAGGAATGATACTATCGAAGGTTTTCTCCTCAAAGAGCTCTGCTGGCTTGCCCCAATTCCCAAACGATCGCCTCTAGCCTGTCCGCCTCGTAAAACATGCCTCTGGCAAAGCTTCTGCAGCGCTTCCGGCTTTAGGTGAGTGGGCGGGCCTGGACTTGGTCGAGTTGGCGGGCTTGCCGCAGCCTCACTGGCCTAAAGCTGCTATTATTAGCGTCGGGCAAGCGGGTGGCTCTCTCTCTCTCTCTCTCTCTCTCTCTCTCTCTCGCTCTCTGCGTGATCACGTGCTTTTTCTAAGCCGTCCGAAGATTTAAAGCTTTATCATTAAAGGGAGTGCGACAGGTATGAATTAAAGGGATATCGACAGGAATGAGAAAAATTCTATGAAAATTGGCCGACCCGGCTTCGTTGACTTCCGGTGGTTCCTGGGTTCGCTGGGCCAAATGGATCGATTGGCTTCTCGGGTAGTTCGTCCTGGAAAGGCATGTAGAATAAGTCAGGCTCAGCATTGGCTTAGGCTTAGGCTTAGGATTAAGCTTAGGCGCAGATTGAGGCTTAGGTTAGTTTTAGGCTTAGGCTTAGGTCTAGGCTTAAGCTTAGGCTTAGGTTAGGCTTAGGTTTAGGCTTAGGCTTAGGCTTAGGTTTAGGCTTAGGCTTCGGCTTAGGTTTAGGCTTAGGCTTAGGCTTAGGCTTAGGCTTAGGCTTAGGCGTAGCATCCCCCTCTCACCTCCCCATCCGGCACCCCATCCGGATGCCAATCCCGCATGCTTTTCTGCAGTTGCTGTCGTTCTTGAGCCTGTTTTTGGAGAAGTTGGTTGTATCTAAAAAAGGTTTTTGAAGCCTAGCTTCCCTTTGAAGCTTTGTAGGTCTTGTCACCTTTAAAATCACTAATGACAACCTGAAAAGACCTGAAAAAGCCACCAACCTTTGCTCGGAAACGACTTTCCCGTACTGTTTCATCCGTTCAAAGTATTCAGCGTAGTAACGATCTCGTTCGGCTTTTCTTTGCCTAAGACTACGTTTTAAAGATACAGGAAATGAGCCAGAATCGACCCCTGCATTCGACTAGGTCTAGACAGATACAGGAGAAGCCAAATGAGGCATCTAGGCCCCTTTTTTCTTCCATTCGTACTCGCTAGTGCTATGAAAATGCATAAGCAATGTGGGATTTGCCGTGTCGCGTGGCTGTCTAGACCTAGTAGGTAGAAAGGGTCCAATCTCGCGCTTCCTAGTCCCTTTGGAGCAAATTTCCAAACCTCTGATCAGCCTCTCTCTGCCGGGCCAGCAAATCCATCCGGTGGATGTAGGCTTTGAGCTCCATTTTTCGCAACTGGTCGCTGGATTCGTGGCCGGAGAGGTGGCGGTCGCTGAAATTTTTATTTCTTTTGCCCTCTCTCTCTCGCACTCACTGACTCTCTCGCTGAGTCCAATGTCACTTACTTGCTAGTATCGCCGTCCTGTAGAAAATAATCCTGAGCCTGGGCCGTCAGGAAAATGGCGAAAATCAGGAATATGGAACGCATCTGAAAAATTGGAATAAGCGAGGGTGAGAGAGAGGCAAGAGAGAGAGAGAGAGAGAGAGAGAGAGAGTGAGAGAGAACTAAACCCAATCGAAACCTCAAAAACCGGGCACAAAACACGACACATAATCGACTGGTGCCCGGGTTCAAAACGGTTTTCTCCCTGCCCCCTGCCAAAAGAAATTTATCATTTTTCTCAGGACCCTTCAAGGTCACCCTTCCCGGAAAGCCAAACCCCATTAGGAAATCGGGATTAGAGCAAAAAAATGATTATGGTGGGCTATTTTTACGCGCCGCGTAGCTGTCGGGACCCAGTCAATGGAGGCGTCGATTCTGGAGCTCCCCGACCCTTAAAACGGGTCTTTTTGCCAATAATTTCCATTTTTTTGCATTTAAAGTGTCCACTTCAATTAATTTATACAATTATACAATCATAAATACGTTGGAAAATACAGGAAACGCATATCACACGCATTAACGGGCATTTCATATGTAATTCGATACTTTTCGGGTGGCCTGGACGTCGATTCTGAGGCTTCCACGACGGGCTGGGGTTGAGTGACGTCTATAAATTGGCTTTAAAGGGACCGGCAAGGCAGGAGAGAGATAGAGAGAGCGAGGGAGAGAGCGAGAGAGAGCGAGAGAGAGCGACAGAGAGAGCAGAGCAAGCAAGCTAACTCTCACCTTTCGATGTCGTCAAAATAGCGGGCATGCGTGTTGTTGAGGGAATTCTTGCGTCGCTCGAGTCTAAATTGAGGATGATTTATTATGTATAGTTCTCTCTCTCTCTCTCTCTCTCTCTCTCTCTCTCTCTCTCACCTCGCCTCCTCCTCAAATCCATCTCGCAAATAGTCGATGAAAGAGGAGATCAACTGACGCCAGGCGCGACTAAATTTGCCCTTTAAAGGGGGTTGACAAATTTTTCTTACCTGCACTCCTTGCTCTCGCGGATACCGTCCAACTTCGAGAAGACGTCGACGAACACCTGAAAAATTCGGGAGTTTTAGGGATCAGGATTTCCTAGATTCGCTAATTTCTCTGCTAGTCTGTCCCTTCCATTCCCCAATGATCTCTGCTAGCCTGCCCTTTCCATTCCCAAATGATCTCTGCCAGCCTGCCCCTTCCATTCCCAAATGATCTCTGCTAGCCTGCCCATTCCATTCCCAAATGATCTCTGCTAGCCTGCCCATTCCATTCCCAAATGATCTCTGCTAGCCTGCCCCAAAATCCTGGCCCAGCTACCGTACCTCCCCAAATTTCTCGAGCTGTCGCGACCCGAAACCCGTCTCCCCGTTCAGGCTGACGTGACGACCACCGATTCTTCGAAGATAGTCGACAACTGACTGCAAAAAAACGATTGATTTTTCGATTAAAGGGACGAGAAACCGCCCAGATTGACCCTACCGGCGACTAGGTCTCGACAACTACTTTTAAACGTGTGATTAAAACGGATAAATCGACGTAGGCTTAGACTTAGGCTAACCAGACAGACCAAAACGGAAAACGACACGCGGAGCGTTACGTATTTGTCGAGACCTACTCAACAGAAGGAGTCGATTTTGGGGCGTCCGTCCCATTTAACTGAAACTTACCGGATCACCATCAACGACTCTCTGTAGCAGATGTACCAAGAAGACAGAGTGATCCCACAGATTCCGCACGCATCCGCCCATCGAGGTGGAAGCGGCGTCAGAGATTCGGCGACTAAAATTAGAGATTTTCCTCGCTCTCTATCTCTCTCTCTCTCTCTCTCTCCCTTTCCCTTTAACCCAACCTGGGCGAGATCGAGTTCGGCGAGTTCGGGGAGCTGCTATTATGGGGCGACGGTGTGGACAGTTGAGAGCCAGAGCCGGAAGCCGCACAGTATGCAAACGTCTGGGCCACGATCGGGCAAAAGGATTCCGTCTAAATTCAGAATTCTCTCTTTCTCTGTCTGCCTCTCTCTCCCTCCCTCCCTCCCTCCCTCTCTCTCTCTCTCTCTCTCTCTCTCTCTCTCTCTCTCTCTCTCTCTCTCTCTCTCTCTCTCTCTCTCTCGCTCTATCTCACCTTTTGAAAAATGCGCCTAAAGACGCTGACCAGCCCTTTGGTGTTGATGTGGCGCCAGGCTTTTCGGACGATGTAGACCTGAAAGAAAATGAATCAAATCGATCTTTCCCTCTCACTCTTGCGCGCTCTCTCTCTCTCGCTTGCCCTCATTCTCTCTCGCTCTCTCTCTCTCTCTCTCTCTCTCTCTCTCTCTCTCTCTCCCCTCACCTGCGATGGTGTCAACTGTGGACATAGTGGAATCTGGCTCTGCCGCGCCAACGATATCGATTCCCGCCGCGACTCTTTTTGGCTATCTGAAACAAGAAATTAAAGCCATGATTAGGCCCCGAATCGACCCATTGCATCGACCAGGTCTAGACAGCTGCGCAACCCACCAAAACACGTATAATTCTCATTTTCACACTTTTAAGAACTTAGTTTTCACGTGTTTTAGGGCGTTACGTATCTATCAAGGTCTAGCAGATCGCTTGGGTCGATTCTCCGGCTTTCTAGACCCTTTAAAACTCAAAATTTGGACGAAACCTTGAACAAATCACAAACTGAACAGTACGGTACGAAAAGAAAAGGGAAGTTATGAGGTATCATTTCCGGAAAAAATTTACTGAATATCGAGCCGCGTCGTGGTTCCGGTTGGTCGTCTTAAAAAAGTGATATAGCGAGAGAGAGAGAGAGAGAGAGAGAGAGAGAGAGAGAGAAAGGGAAAGAAAGAGACACTAAAATTTCTCACCTCGATCTGATGCGCATCTGGCAAGGTTGACCACCGGCGAGCTTTTCCGGGGAGAAGGCGATAAACTCCTTGAAGGCCTCGGAATTAACAGCAAATCGGCCATTCCGGCCTCCAGGTGGTCCATTATACGGGCCCTATAATTGTCATTTTTCATCATTTTTGGTGAGCAAGAGAAGGCAGGCTAGCAGAGATTCTTGGGAAATCGAATCTTGGAAAATTTGGATAGAAAATTTGAAGGCAAGCGAGCGGAAATTCCTTGCGGATTCGAATGCCGATAAGCTGGCGGAGGTCGTCAAAACGCTTACATTCCGCCCCAAATGACGATTCCGTTCGTCTTTTAAAAGGTAAAGAAATTGTTGGAAATTCGAGATCTACCCCTTTTGTTTTGTCGTCAGCAAAAAAACGACCAGATTACTGAATTAATTGACTAAGAATACCGCGGCTAGAATGCTAGAATTACAAGGTATCTCAGCCGGATCTAGTTTCCGTGGTACGGTACTTTTTCTCAGACGCACTAATGACAGTCGAGAGCGTGGGAGAGAGAGAGAGAGAGAGAGGGAGGGAGAGATAGAGAGAGATCATGCTAAAGATCAACGCCAAGTAGATATCTGCGGAACTCCTGTTAAATTAGGGCCGCAAATTTTCCGGGATTTTCCGCAAACTTTTGCAACTTGTAGCGGGTTGGAATTTTCGAATCGGGTTGTCCGGGACGATGTGAAATACTAGCGACTTTTCAAGTTGCAATGCGGTTTTTTAATTTTGAGACAGAGGGAGGGAGAGAGTGAGAATGCGAGTGGGTGAGATAGAGTGAGAGAGAGAGAGAGAGTGAGAGTGAGAAAAAGATAGAGAGAGAGAGAGAGAGAGAGAGAGAGAGAGAGAGAGAGAGAGAAAGAGAGAAAGAGAGAATTTCCGGGCCACTGTAACCCGCCTCATCACAATTTGATCCCTAAAATGAAGTCGGAAGCCCAATTTTTTTAGATATCCCTAAAAGTCGCGAGCGCACGTTTTTCGGCCCCTAAAACACACTCCAAAATTCCCTGAATTTCCCGGAGAAAAACGGAATTGAGAAATCGTGGAGAAATCTCGGGGAAATGTCGTGACTTTCCGGGAGTGGAGCGGATGAGAGAAATAAAGAGAGCAAAGAGATAGAGAGAGAGTGAGCGAGAGTGAGAGAGAGAGCAAGAGAAAAAGATGAAGCCAAAAAATTAGGGTCCCGGTCATGGGGAAATATTCCCCCTGCGGGAATACCCAAGCCCACCAGATGAATAGGTCATCATCGGGGGGTGCAGCAAAAATTTTTGCGCTGATTTTATCGTGACAGGGACAATTTTTAGAACGCTGTGGAAACGTCAACAAGTTTTTGCTTGGAAACCAGATGATCCGAGGCTTCTGAGCTTCTTTAAGGAACTAGGAAACGTAAAAATCGACCCCTGGCGTCCACTAGGTCTAGACAGCTGCGCCAGACTAAAAGTTACGGGTCTATATTATTTTAGAGCCGGTTTAAAGACCGAAAGGACCTGAGCTGAGGCTTATTAGGCTTAGGCTTAGGCTTCGGCTAAGCCTGAGACTTAGGCTTAGGCTTAGGCTTAGGCTTAGGCTTAGGCTTAGGCTTAGGCTTAGGCTTGGGCTTAGGCTTAGGCTTAGGCTTAGGCTTAGGCTTAGGCTTGGACTTAGGTATGGGCTTAGGCTTAGGTATGGGCTTAGGCTTAGAATTAGGTTGGCTTCGCTTGGATTTCGGCTTAGGATACTAGAAATCCTCCTCCTTCCCTGCTCCTTTAAACCTTAACCCAGCCGCCAAAAGATTATGATAAACAGTTGATCAGCGTGGATTCGAGGAAAGTGGTGTCTAGCGGAATTGGTCGCCCCTTGGCGGGATCCCCGCCAAGAAATGGGGGCAAACGGGGTGCGCGTCATCAATTTCTAATTCATGCGATTCTCACCTCGTCGGCTTTTCCTTCTTAAAAGAATAACAAACGGAGAGAAAGAGAGAGAGAGAGAGAGAGAGAGAGAGAGAGAGAGTGAGAGAGAGAGACGAAAAGCCAGCCAGACTCCTTAACATGCCATTTTTGAGGATGTGGGAACCAGGAAGCGAGAGGTGTTCCCCGCTTTCCCCCGTTTAATTACGTGATATGCATTTGACTTCCGGGGCAAGCGTTCTCTCGCTCTCTCGCTCTCTCTCTCTCTCTCTCTCTCTCTCTCTCTTTCTCTGTCTCTTCTGTGTCTTCTCTCTTGCCCGTACTTTTTACTTTCAAGCAACTATCGAGCTAAAGGTATGATTTCTACTTTTAATTTGGTAAAAACTCAAGCTTCAAGTCGCGGTAGATGCTCCAGTTCCCATTAAAGGAACTAGAACACCCGAAAATCGACCTCCGAATCGACTAGGTCTAGACAGCTACACGACACGCCAGATGACGCGCGCCATTATGTTGGTTTTTCAAAAATCTGTGCTCTGCTTATGAAAATGAGATTTTCCCGAGTTCGGAGTGTCGTGTAGCTTAACGCGTATCGTGCCATCGTATTAGGGCGTATCGTCGCGTAGCTGTCTGGACCTAGTCGGTTCGGTCGGGGTCGATTCTCGTGCTTCCCGGTCACTTGAAAGGCACATGGGATCCAATTTCAAACCTGGCGAACGCAGACAGAATAATTTCCATTGAATAGAAATCCAGAGGAACACCTCAATTATAAACCGAAGCGCAAAGATCCGACACTAATTATCGAGCCAAACTTGCCCGGCGAGGGAGAGAAAGAGAGAGAGAGAGAGCGATAGAGAGAGGGAGAAAGCGAGAGAGAGCTGGAGAGAGAGCGATATCACGAATTTTGGAGCAAAAATAACCTCGAAAAATAGCCCAGTAGACGTGCCGAATCGACAGTTGACTTCTGAAGCGCACGACCATGCAAATGTGGGGTGCTTAACGGGGTGGTGGCGGTGAGCAAAATGTGCGGGGATCATGGGGTCCAAAAATAGGGGGTTGGGTAGGAGAGAGAGAGAGAGAGAGAGTGAGAGAGTGAGAGAGAAAGAAAGAGAGATAGACGTCGAAAAAGCCAAATGGAATTAATGAGTGCACACTGGCTGGGGGGTGGGATGAGAAGACGCGCCTCATTTCATTTTCACCCCCCTCATTCCGAATCACCGACGACGGAAGGAGGAGGAGGAGCAAGGGAGGTACGTCTCAATCTTGGACACGCACCCACACACAGCACATTATATGGAATTACCCTTTTAAGGGGACGCGCAAGGATTCAGGATCCAGAATTGGCAAATACCCGATTCAGAAAGGGAAATACCGGATGAGAGTCTCAAAAATTCCTCCCCCATTCCATTCCCCAATGATCTCTGCTAGCCTGCCCAGGCTTTAAGCAGCTTTGTCACCATGTGGCCGTGTTTTGGATGGTGTCGGATTTTTCAAAAAAAAAAAAAAATAGGCTCCGCCTGGAGGATGCAAATTGCCGGTCGCCCGCCGTTTTGACAGGTGTGGGCCCATTTTGAAGCCGACGAAAATAAGTGCCGGCTTTTCACCCGGGGCGACAGAGAGAGAGAGACATCTGGATATCGAAAAATAGAAAATACTCCCCCATCATTTTTTGCTTGCTTTTTGATGCCCCCCAGCCGAGGACTCGTCATTTTCAGCCCATTTTCTGTGCCTCTCATTTCGCTGCGGGCCCCAAGCTGATGGAAATCCGCCATTTTAGCAAAAAACCATTAATATTCATGTCCGAGCGGATTTTCATTTAAATTAGAATTTTTCCGGCATAATCAGATTTTTGGTCGCGGTCGAGTTAAAGGGATGGTGTCAGCAAGAGATCGCTGAAATGGAGGGCAGGCTAGCAGAGATCATTTGGGAATGGTAGGGGCAGGCTAGCAGAGATCATTTGGGAATGGAACGGGCAGGCTGGCAAAGATTATTTGGGACTAAAAAGGCCACCGACTGCCTATGGATGATGTGGCCAAAAGTGCGATCCGCAAATTCTGCAGTCCCCTTTTTGAGCCCCCCGATTTTTTGCCGTGTCCAAAAGCTGGGGATCGCGTTATCGGGTGCAACTAGTGGCGAGACGACCACACTTCTCCCGTGCTACGCTCCGCTCCTTTAGGCGGACGACAAAAACGGAAGAAAGCGGAGCCCCGCGGAACCTCTTGAATCGGACAACGAAAATCGGATTTATTTTCCTTTCCTTGTTCGGATTTTTTTGTGGGTTTTTTGTGGATAAGAGACGGGGGGATCAAGAAGACAATGGGACAGCCGGGCCGAGACTTCCGGGAAAAGGGCCCGAGAGTGGAGAGGGTCGAGAGTGAGAAAGAAAGAGAGAGAGAAAGAGAGAGAGAGTGAGAAGAGACGTTACGGTAGCGAAATGATAAGTTGCTGTAAAATACACAAAAAAATGTATTTTTAATGATTCCGACTACACCTCTGTACAAACTACATCTAAATTTACAAAATATACGGTACAATATAGTGGGGGGAGTATAAAAACGTCAATTATGAGTGATTAAAATTGATTTCTGACAAGTCGAGCTTAGGCCTGGGTTTGGGGTTAGGCTTGGCTTATGCTTGACTTGGGCTCAGATTTAGGCTTAGGTTAGTGTAGACATAGGCTTAGGCTTAGGCTTCGGCTTAGGTGAGGCTTAGGTTATGCTTAGGCTTAGGCTTAGGCTTCGGCTTAGGTGAGGCTTAGGTTATGCTTAGGCTTAGGCTTAGGCTTCGGCTTAGGTGAGGCTTAGGTTATGCTTAGGCTTCGGCTTAGGTTTAGGCTTAGGCTTACGCTGTGCTTACGCTTCGGCTTAGGCTTCGGTTTAGGTTTAGGCTTAGGCCTACACCCCTGCACCAATGGTCATCTACAAAATGAAGATGCTAGTGCCTCCGTAAGAAATGATAAGCCGGGGGGCATCCCCCTGGGAACTCCGGAAAATGATCTCACCATAAAAATTGGGGGGTGCCCCCGGAAAAAGGAGACAGAAGAACGAGAGAAAGAAGTGTGTGCATGTCGTCGTGGGGGGAGTATCCCATTTCGGCTACTCTACTCACCACCAGAAAAACGGATAAAAAATGAGGAGAGAGAGAGAAAGAAAGAGAGAGAGAGAGAGAGAGAGTGGCAGAAGAAGCAGAAGCTTAGCGACGGGATTCCACGATGCTGCTCGGGACGCGCGGAATCGAATTCCGCTGCCGTCGGGAGGAGCGGCTCGGAAAGTTCCGGGGATCCGGATCGGTGTCCCGGGAAATTGTCTTGCTCTCTCTCTCCCTTTCTCCCTCTCTCGCCTCTTATCTCCAGCACCTCTTAAGGAACTTCTGACGCCATTTCCGTCATCTGAAAGGGATGAGGAGACGCCACTTCTGGGCGGATATTTTCGACTTCTCCATCTTGAGACCATGAAAATAGTGTTTATAACCGGCTTCTCGTAATTAAAGGGATTAAGAAGTGGCCCAGATCGAAGAGACGAGACGAATTCGGTGATATCACCTCGGCAAAGGCCTCGGCTAGCCTGTCCCTTCCATTCCCAAATGATCTCTGCTAGCATGCCCCTTCCATTCCCAAATGATCTCTGCTAGCCTGCCCCTTCCATTCCCAAATGATCTCTGCTAGCCTGCCCCTTCCATTCCCAAATGATCTCTGCTAGCCTGCCCCTTCCATTCCCAAATGATCTCTGCTAGCCTGCCCCTTCCATTCCCAAATGATCTCTGCTAGCCTGCCCCTTCCATTCCCAAATGATCTCTGCTAGCCTGCCCCTTCCATTCCCAAATGATCTCTGCTAGCCTGCCCCTTCCATTCCCAAATGATCTCTGCTAGCCTGCCCCTTCCATTCCCAAATGATCTCTGCTAGCCCACCCAATACAAATCTCATCAGAAAAAGGACAAACATGACTTCTGAAAATAGCCGGGGTCGCCCAAAATCGGATATTGTTGAGGCGACGTGCCGAGGGCCATGGGAGGGGGGAAGGCCGGCTAAAGATGCCAAAAACAGGGCTTTTTGGTGGGGCGAGACGGCCGCTCGTAATTGTTTAGAGGAGCGTCCCGTAGTCGTCTCGGATTTCCGCGTATTCATAACTTACGGATGGACGGGTGGGAAAACGTAATTTCGGATTGTCGGAAAAGCGGCTCTCTCTCTCTCTCTTTTTCTCTCTCTCTCTCTCTCTCTCTCTCTCTTCCGCCTGGGCTCCTCAAGGTTTTTTAAAGGACTTGGCATGTAAATATTTGGAAAGAGGTCTGAACTTGGCTTAGGCGTAGGCTTAGGCATAGGCTTGGCTTAGGCATAGGCTTGGCTTAGGCTTGGGCTTAGGCTTAGGCTTAGGCTTGGGCTTAGGCTTAGGCTTAGGCTTGGGCTTTGGCTTAGGCTTAGGCTTGGGCTTAGGCTTAGGCTTAGGCTTGGGCTTACATGCTTGTTAGGCTTGTTAGGCTTGATCTTACGCCTAGCCTTCAGCCTAGGCTTATTCTTCAATATTAAAAATCATTTTATTAATTACGATATGGTACAAGAGAAAAGCCAAAAATTCGGTCCCATCACGATGTTCATCTACTCGAGCAGCTGCTTGTCGCCTTTCTGAAAAAATTAGGCAATAACAGACTTTTTAAAAAGCGTTATACGGTAGCTACAGTACCCCAAAATTATAAAAATTGCGTTTCTGCTATTTTTTGTATAAAAAGTAGCGCATTAGGGCGATTACAGTACCCAAAAACCCACATAAATTGTGCAGAAATTGCGCAGCTGCGTGCAGAGTACAGTCCCGTACACCATGTGGTCATGTGGGGCCAGAATTTTGGCGGCAGCTAGCGCGGCCTCATCGGCGCCAAGGGCAGTGGTACAGCCGAGTCCTAAAAACCCAAGTTTACTGTAGTTTATAGAGACTTGGGGGTTTCCCAAACAATCTCTGCTAGCCTGCCCCGGATCGGAAAGCCTTCCCAAAGAAACTCTGCTAGTTATCCCGGCATGGAACACGATTATCCAGCTCTCAAAATATTTCTGCTAGCTTGCCCGAGGCCCGAAAAATCTTAAAGAACCTCTGCTAGCTTGCCCTGTCTGAGGCAAGGTTAGGCGTTCCTAATAGATCTCTGCTAGCTTGCCGTCACCTAGAAAAGGTGCAAGTGCCTCTGAAAGGTCTCCGCCAGCTTGCCCAAAAATCAAAATGGCTTCCCAAATAATCTCTGCTAGCCTGCCATTGACTATCTAGAAATCCAGCTCCCTAAGAACCTCTGCTAGACTGCCCATCTTTTTTCTCGAAGTGAATCCGTACTTAAAGAACCTCTGCTAGTGTGCCTGCCCTCTCTAGAAGCCTTCCCAAATGATCTCTGCTAGCCCGCCAACCTGAAGGAGTATGCAGAGATGACCAAATGTCCTGTCCAATCCATTCTGGGCCTCCCGGCGGTGCATTTATGACCTAGAAAATTCAAGAAATTCTGTAACTTCTTTTGAACATACCGGCAACGTCGAATTTCCAGCAATGACCGGCCCCAAACCGTTTGAGCGTCCCGCCACGGCGATGACGACGGTGGGCACACCGTCACCCTCGTACTCGCCGACAAGATCGAGCACCTCGGAGGTGGCCTTGTGCGCTGAGCAGACGCGAAGGACGGGTGTGACGGCAAGCTTTTTCAGGCTGAATAGAAGGTTTTTCTAGACTGCCCTACATTCCAAATTAATGATCCCTGCTAGCTTGCCTACATTCCTCAAGAACCACTGCTAGCCTGTCTCTCGAAAAACCCACTTCTCCGCAATTTTCTCGCAAAATCCGCGATCCGCAGCCGACCCCATGATGACGAGGGCACGACACCGCTTCTCCCTCACCCAGTCCCCGGACAGCTCCGCCACTTTTTGGTAATTTTTAACGAGGGCTTGTAGAGCTTCTGATGTCACCTCCGTCATGTCTCTAAAATTCGGCTTTTCGCTCTCTCTCTCTCTCTCTCTCTCTCTCTCTCTCTCTCTCTTTCTCTCTCTCGATCTCTCCCTCTCTCTCCCTCTCTCTCTCTCTCTCTCTCTCTCTCTCTCTCTCTCTCTCTCTCTCTCTCACTCCCTTTCGCTCTTTCCCGCTCTCAGTTTTACCCTCTCTTACCTGTAAAACTGTTTGTCGAGTTGCAGACGCTTGTCACCACCCGGCCACACGCGCCACGCGTCGTTGTCTGGAAATTGAGAACATTTGCTAGCTTGCCCTGAGATCCCAAATAGTCTCTGCTAGCCTGCCCCTTCCATTCCCAAATGATCTCTGCTAGCCTGCCCCTTTCATTCCCAAATGATCTCTGCTAGCCTGCCCCTTCCATTCCCAAATGATCTCTGCTAGCCTGCCCCTTTCATTCCCAAATGATCTCTGCTAGCCTGCCCCTTCCATTCCCAAATGATCTCTGCTAGCCTGCCCCTTTCATTCCCAAATGATCTCTGCTAGCCTGCCCCTTCCATTCCCAAATGATCTCTGCTAGCCTGCCCCTTCCATTCCCAAATGATCTCTGCTAGCCTGCCCCTTTCATTCCCAAATGATCTCTGCTAGCCTGCCCCTTCCATTCCCAAATGATCTCTGCTAGCCTGCCCCTTCCATTCCCAAATGATCTCTGCTAGCCTGCCCCTTCCATTCCCAAATGATCTCTGCTAGCCTGCCCCTTCCATTCCCAAATGATCTCTGCTAGCCTGCCCCTTCCATTCCCAAATGATCTCTGCTAGCCTGCCCCTTCCATTCCCAAATGATCTCTGCTAGCCTGCCCCTTCCATTCCCAAATGATCTCTGCTAGCCTGCCCCTTCCATTCCCAAATGATCTCTGCTAGCCTGCCACGGTTTTCCCCAAAAATCTCTGCTAGCTGTCTACCCCTCTGCTTGCTCCCTTCACTTACCAATAACATCAGCTAGCACCAGCTTCCCATCGGCGGCCACTCCAAATTCCACCTTCATGTCGATCAGCTGGCAGTCGGAGAGGGCCCAGGCCTAAAAATTGTTTTAAAGGGTTGGTCATGCCCAATTTAGTGTTCCCATCCCCTTAAAAATGGTTAGGTACGCAGCCTACCTTTTCTAATACCAAGAAAATCGTGCTCGTCTGCCTTTTCAGCACCGCAATTTCTTCACGCCCGATTTTCAGGCCGTTCACGACGAAATTGGACGTCAAAATCTGCTCATCAGAATACTGGGGGTCGTCGTTTTCGTCGTCCTAAATGGGAAGGCTGGCAGGGGTTATTGGGGAATTTTGGGTACACTATCGGATTAGCTGAAGCCTAAAGACTAAGCCTGATCTACGCCTAAGTCTAAACCTAAGCTGGCCTCCTCACCTTGAAAAACGTCTCCAGCTTGAGGTTGTTGAAGCGAAAGCCCTGGGGCACTCCGGGATTCCTGAAATTATCCATCGTCTTCTGGCTGTCCTAGCCCCTTTAGGCAACTCGGTAATCCCTAAAAATCTCTGCTAGCCTGCCCACCTCTTCAAAAACGAGCCAGTGGCCACCCTCCTCACCACCCATTCGATGGGGATCATCTCGCAGCGCCGGGCCACAAAATCGGTCTCAGAGATGCCGGCGACGAAGTGGGTTTCCATGCCTGCAAGCCGGTGAAGGTTTGGAGAGCGATAGAGAGAGAGAGAGGGAGAGAGAGAGAGCGAGAGAGAGAGAGAGAGAGAGAGAGAACGAGCTATAGAGAAAGACAGAGAGATAGCGAGAGAGAAGGACAGGGAGAAGTTGTCCAGTCCTAGCCGATGGAAAGGGGTCGATTCTGCAGGTTCCTGGCCCCCTTTAAAAAAGGTTTTTTTAAATACTTACCCAAGGCTTGCAAATACTGAAAAACATTAGTCGTCGTCCGGCAAGCAATCGCTCCCTTCCCTTCCAGCTCATCCTTTCGGGCAGCGTTGAAGGCGGTCAGCTGATTCTTGGATCTGATGAGCACGAGGTCGTCGGAGCCCTGAAAATCAGGATATTCAATGTTCATTTAGCAGGTACGAAAACTTACCTTGATGCCATAAATCTCCTTTGTCTTCCCCTCGGCGATTCGTGTCAAATTGCCGTCGGCGGCTTGTGATTTTAGCTCTTCGATAGGCGGCATTTCGTTCGACTAAAAAGTCTCAATGTGCGTGCAAGACCGTCAACAACAAAAAAATGGAGTAGCCAAAAAGATAAATCCTCTAAGCGGCAAGGCAGCAATCTTTGGTAAGTTGTAAGTCTTATTCCGGAGCGAGCTAAATAACGTATTTTTAGAAGTAAAAAAAAACGCTTCGGGATACGGTAGTATCGTAAGTACGTAAGTACTCGTAAGTACAGTACATAAATTAGAAAACCATAAAGTTCAAAAATCAATGAATAAAGCGCACAATTTTAAGTTACAAAGTTCTGCGTGACCCTAAAAATGCAAAAAATTGGTGATGTCCAAGAAAAATCAAAAAAATTCAGGTGTCAGTAGCGGAATATGGGAAATTACATCAAATTCATTATTTGCAATTAAAGATCTAATTTCTACTTAACTCGAAAAAATCAAGATTTTTAACTCCGCCCTAAAAAGTGCCCTTTGCTGGGCGCCGAAAGCCGGTATCAACGCCCGGTAATACCCAGGTTGTTGATCGGCCCCGAATAAAAGGGGGCGGTGCTAGAAATATGCTATTTTTCTCTGCGTATCTCAATCTCTCACTCTCTCTCTCTCTCTCTCTCTCTCTCTCTCTCTCTCTCTCGCTCTCTCTCTCTCGCTCTCGCTCTCTCCACCCCCAAATATCCATAATGCAAAGGTCAAGAAATCATAGGCGGGCTCCGTATGATAATATCTAGCGCCTCGGCCGTATGTCAACGCGCCCAGGGCGGATGACGATGGGAACCGGGTTGCCCTGTTCGAAACCAGAGATCAACCACGTGACCGCCCGGGGCATCGTCACTTTCAAAGGGAATAGCAAGCGCGAGAATCTACCCTTTTCCATTGACTGGAATCGGCATCCAAGAAGGAAAAGGGAAGAAGTGAAGGCGAGATTTCGAAATTTCAAAAGAAAAAAATTCGAAAAGAAAATGAGAATTTTGAGCATTTAATTTCCGTTTCAGTTTTTAAATACGTCTAAAATGAAATTCCCGTGAAATCCGTTTTTAAATTTCCATAATGGCCTTTTTTAAGAAGCTACAATTCGAAATTTCGGCCAAAAGTTGGCCATTTTTGGTATTTTTTTTAATGAAAATTTGAAGTTTTTACGATTAGGAATAGCAAAAAACAGTTGACAAGCTTACGCTGAAAGCATCAAGGATGGAGAAAAGTAACCGTCTCTCATCGCCCAACATATACACGCCAAATTAAAAAATCAATCAGTCTCCTGAAAAGGTAAAAAAATTACACAAGATTTATTTATCACCAAACAACGTTCGCAACAAGTAAAAAACGGCAAAAAATGTACAACGCCGCCGGCAGTCAAATAAAAAACACCCGCAAGACAAGGGAAAGCTTTGGAAACGGCTCCAGAACCAAATCACAATATGAAACGTTTAAATTGCCTATTTCTTGGCGCGCGGGAACTTGTAATCGGCACGGATTTGAATCTGGAACACCGGGCTGATGGTTCGCTGCTTCGGGGGGCTGGGCGCGGACTCGGGCTCACTCTCAGGCTCAGGCTCAGGCGCTGGCTCGTGCTCCGGCTCGGACTCCTCGGACAGCGACTCGGGCTCGGAGGCCGGCTCTTCGAGCTTCTCGACGACGCGCTTCAGCGCGCCGGCGACGATGTGCTCGGCCTGGCATAGCATCTTCAGCGAGCGGTATTGGCGCAGCTCCTTTTTCTCCTCCTCGATTCGGCTGAGCAGGAGAAGGCGAAGCTAAAACAACAAATTTTCCCGGTAATTCCGTACGGCCCGATAACGACATCAAAACCATTTTTCATGATTTTACGTAGCTTTCAGAGAGATAAACTTTATAAAGGTTGTAAAAAATTTCGAAAAACATTGATTTTTTTTGGTCCAAAATTTATGAAAAATGGCCTAAAAGTCGTTTTAGAATTTCAAAATTTTCTGAATATTTTAAAAACTTTCTAACAAGCAAAAACTACGAATAAATGAGGAGCAGCCTTTAAAAAACGCTCCTAGACAATCACCTCTTCCTTCTTGCGCCGTTGCTGCTCCTCGATAAGGCGCTGCTTCTCGGCCTGCTCCTCCCGCTCGGCTCGGATCACCTCCTGGAGTCGCTCGTGGATCGCCGCCTCGGTCAGGTGGCCGCAACGATCGAAGTCCACCTGAAAACGGATGAAAAAGCGCCAAATCAAGCCCACCTCGACGTCCAGCGTCCGCTCGCTCCCATCAGGCAGCACACGACTCCAGCGCTTGTTCCGGAACGACTCGATGGCGTTGACGAAGCCCTGGTAGGTCTCGAAGCGGAGGAACACGTCGCCGACCACTTCCTGACAATTAGAAGATTATAAAGTCTATATTAAAGGTTTTTAAGAATAAAAATTATGGCAAATTCTCGAATGTCTAGTTTCAAGGTCTAAGACGCGTCAAACCGTATCTATATTTCCATCCTTCCGTCCCGTATTTCCAGCATTCCTATTAAGACTGTATTTCCACATATACTACCCCGTTTTCACAAGCTAAAATGAGCAAAATCTGTACATAAATTCTCTTGTAAAGACTTCACAACTACTCAATAAATAAAAAAATACTCAAAACTCTATTTAAAACCATCACAATGTCTAAAAAAGTAAAAAAGCTAGGAGAATTTTGAGCACCCAAGCGCCGTTTATACGCTCTAAAAAGAACCAAAACGTCAACGCGGCACTATTTTAAAAGCTCTACAACAAATAAACTCCTCGAAAAAGCGCAAACCTTGTTCAACTGCTCCAGCTTCGATTTTTGCGATAATTCCATCGCGCGCCGCTTTTTCATCTGCTCAAATCCGGGCACGTGGACGGCGGTGATGTTTCTAAAATAAAGAAGGTAATTTATAGAATCCCAACGCACCCAAATTGCTGAAAACACGACTTGACAAACATCATCGACGGCGACTGCTTCTTGTCTTCCTAAATTAAAATAAATAAAGGTTACATAGCCAAAAACATACGCAAAACACATCCAAGGGCAGCCCAAAAATGTGCAGCGTGTCGGCGCGCAACCCAGGCGGCAATTTGTGATAGACATCGGTAAGTTGCCGGTCGTACTGCTTTTTCGTGGGGATCCGATCGCGGACTTTGCTGAAATGGAAAAATAAGGCTTTAAAGAGCTCTTTTTTAGTAGATAAATTGATAATTTGATAAAAAAGGTTATTTTTAAATACTTAGCTTGATTTTTAGTATCTAAATTAAAAATTCGATGGAAAAGGTTCTTTCTTAATTCCAGCACAAAAGCGCATGATTGCCGGAATCGCTGATTCAAACGAAGCTGAATCATTTTCCCCGAAATATTGGTTGCTATCGCGAAAAGTGAAGCGGCAAATCAGGTGACTTTCAAATAGTTAGAAACCCCAATTTTCTCATATTGATCTCAATTGATTAAATTCAGGTGATGAAGCTCCTTCTATTTTTCGTGCTCATGCTCCTGGCCCTCGTCGAGTGTAGGCCGCCCTGCGAAAAGCCGGACGAGCCGCAGTTTCAACTCTGTGGCTCCAAACTCATCAAGCGGGTTGAGCAGGTGAGCTTGGCTTGGGCTCATTTTTAGGCTTAGGATTAGGTTGGCCTCGGTTTAGGCTTTATTTTTAGGCTTCGGTTAGGCTTAGGCTGGGCTTCGCTAAGGCTTAGGCTTGGCTTGGGCTTGGCTGAGGCTTTGGCTTGGGAATTGAGCGTCGTACGACGTTCATCTTCAGGTCTGCGAAGGAAAGGTGGAGCCCACCCTGCGAGGCGTTGCCATCACAAAATTGTGCTGTGTCGACTCCAAGTGCACGGAATCGCTGCTCGCCTCGGTGTGCGCGGGAAATGATGAGGAAAAGCTTGACCGCTAGCCAAAGTCGTCAAACCCAATTTTCCGTTTAATGGATAAAAGTGAAAGCTGACAGATACAGAAGAAATTAAGAGGCCCAAACCTACAAATAAACGTACAGCCTCAAATAGGACGCGAAAATAACTTACGCCTACTTATAAACAGTAAAAGGCCCACAATAATTGGAAGGAGCTGAAGCTGACTCACCCACCCCCCGCGTTATTGGTATACCCTTTTTTGCGCTGGAAAAAGTTTGTTTGGAATAGCTTTTGGCCCTGGCCTATATAAACCGACGGAATAAACTGAAGTCTGCAGATCTCTTACTGTTATTCTAGAAGATCTCTAGATACGAAAAAATACCAATATCAACAATGTTATAGAATGAAGCTGCTCATCGTCTTCGCCCTTTTTGGCGTGGTCCTTGGCACTTCTCTATCGGATTCTCAAGAGACTGCAACGAAGGAACAGCGCCCTATTAGACTTTGCGGAAAGGTACTAGTCGGTGCAATCCAAAAGGTGAGCAAACTCCACCGGTTATATTTCTAGAAAGCACTAGTTTCTAGTAGAAACTGGCGAATTGGAAATTGAAAAAGCCTCATCAAAACGATTAATTTAAAAGAAACTAGCAAATTACCAATCCCATGAGCAAAACAAATTCAGATTTGTACCAACGGTACGAAGACTACCACCAAGGATGCCCTACAAAACACGAATCTCAATGAAGAATGTTGCGTCAAAGGTGTCTGCACACATGCTCTGCTCCGGTCCATGTGTGCTGAATAGCCATGTTTGGATTGGCCAATAAACGTATAAAAATGCAAACCCCGGTCAATACTAAAATATCGCATTGCAATCTAAAATCAAGCTAATCGATTTTCAGCCGATTGATGAAATGATGCACAGCGTCCTGTGTCTTGAAACTCAAACTGTTAATAAAGCCAAAAAAAGCGAGTTTGGAAGAAACGCTACGTAAACTTCAGAGATCCGATGCGGTGTTAATGCACTTAGGGGGCAGGCCGGATTTTTACTACGAGACGCTCCAAATGCCGTTTTTCAACTCCAAGTTTCTGGAAAAGCAAAGCTAAGCCTAAGCTTAGGCTTGACTTCATAAAAACGAAGCCAGACCCAGGCCTGAGCCAAGCTAAGATTAGCTCTATAAACCCACTTGACTTTAAAGCTGTACGCAGAGGAGCAGCCGGAAAATTTTTGCGAATGATTGTCGAGCGTCTTCAGCACCTAAAAGAAAAATAATAAAAATTATTCCCAATATCACACCTTATTCGCCGTTTCCTCGTCAAATAGATCGAAGGCGTATTGCAGTTGGTTCGAGAGCAGGGCGCTGCTTTGTACGCGTTTCAGGTTGAAAGCCTAAATACAAATCTTCGTTTACAAAGTTTTCTTTACCCAAAATGGTGACAGCAGCTTCTCGACGCGCTCGTAGATTTGGCTGTGGTAGCGCTGAGGGGGCATGTCCTAAATCGGTACTAATCATATAAAAATACTTGTTAATAGTTTATTAAAACGGATATTTCCTTATTTTTACAGCTAAACAAACCTCGGGCAACAATGCGGTGATCGTCATCGCGTGCACTGGGCGCAGGACTAACGATGACGGGGTGAGCGCGATCTTACTGCCCTTGGCTTTGGCCAGCGTGTTCATCTTCGCTCTGAAATGGTATCATTAAAAAGAAACAGCGAAAGCATGCCCTAGAAGCCCTGTTTTCAGTAATTTTCAAGTTAGAGGGCCTGTTTTTTGTCATTTTTGGCGAAGGAATGGTGTATCTTTATGGTTGGATTAGTTGGACTTAAAGCTTAGGGTTAGCTAGGTTGTTTTATCTAAGGTCCTTTTCCCTTCAAAACATCCCTCCAAAGGCTTGGTGCGAGCTTAGGCTTCGAAAACAAAGTCGCCCTCGCTTAGCTTCAGTAAAACCCTGTTTTCTGTCCGCCCCAGCCCCCGACTCATCCTCCCGTCTGTAGCTCGGCAAGAAGTAATCCAGGTCGAAGCCCTTGCGATGTGGTTCTCCATGTTTGGAAATTCGCTTGACTATTCAATTTTATTCTCCACCTCGGTCTGCAATAATAAAGAACGTACAGACCAACCAGAACGTAAAGGCGGACGCGCGACAACTCGGGAAAATAACAACGATAAATGAGGATCAGGGTGTGGGCGGGCGGAAGTAAGGGGGAAGGGGAAGTGGGTTGTTGAAAAGGGTCGGACACGCGATCACAATCAATTAGGGCTTGCCGTAGAGGCGCAGCACCTTGTCGACAATCATAAATGAGGCGGCGTTGGCACCGAACTTGACGCCGTTCACCGACTGCGCCTTCTTCTCCGATGGGTCGTATTCGGCCACGATCTAAAAAGCGGGGATAATTGGGGGAGGATAAGGAAAAACGTACCTGCCATGGCTTCACATTCATAATCTTGAGATCGTTGGAGCCGATGCCGAGATACGCACCGCTATTGTCGAAGGAAAGAGATGAGATCTAAGAAAAACCGAAATTACCAAAAAACAGTAATAATGGCTTACCGTGGCAGGGCTGTCGGCAACGAAGCTGTTGAGGACGTCAAGCTTGCGCAGATCCCAAAGTTTCACCTAGAAAAAAAATTGCGAAGTTTATCTAAAATTACCGTTCCGTCCTCGGATCCGGTGGCGAGGTGGTAGCCGATCTCGGAGAAGGTCAGGCACTTGATCGGTGACGAGTGGCCCGGGAAGTTGGCAGCGTTCAGCTGTTGGCGCAGATCCCAAATTCGGACAACGCTATCCTCGGTACCAGTGCCGAAGATTAGACCTGAAACGCGTACAATAGTTTTATCGCGACAAAAAGCCTTAAAATACATGTAACAATCGCATAAAAAAAATTACCATCAGGGTGGATCTCGCCGCAAAGGATTGGCTTGTCCGACTCAACTCCCTTCGGGCGATGCTGAAAAAAGGAAAATGATTACGAGCCAAACAAAATCAACGTACCGCGAATATCGTGCGCTCCTTTTCGATATCGGAGAACGCCCAGCTGCCGTCGATGGCGACGGAGAGGACGTACTCGTTGAGGGGATGGAGCGAAATGCCGGTGATCGCGGCGGCGTGAGAGTCGAGAACACAGCGGCTCTCCTGCTTCTCCGGCTGCCACACGCGGATCTGTCCATCCGCGGCCGCAGATACGACGGTGCGCTTGTCTGGGCAGAGAACAACGGTAGAAATCTGAAAGCAGGAATTTGGAAAAGACAGAAAGAGCTCATTTTTCTGCCGGAACAGATAAACCATGATCGAAACGGCTTCACCATCGAAAATTAAGACATGGACAGTAGTTTTTGCTTGCCCTTCAAAATCAATATTTTCGCCCCAACAGGTATTCATTACGAGATTATCGATTCCGATCCGGAAAATAGCTTTTTGACCATGACCTTTAAATTACACGCAAGCACCTGACACTCAAGCTAATCAAATTAATCACCTTCTTCGTGTGTCCCTTCCACGACTGGATGACATGCTCGCCCTTGGTGTCGAAAAGAACGATCTGCTTGTCGGCGCCGCCAGTGACCACGATGTCCTCTTGCGCATCCATCGACAGAATCGTCGGGTTCTCCGTCGAGTGCAGACCACCAATGTCTTTTTTCTAAAATCAGATTCAACGAAAATCAAGGCACGAAAAACCTGTTCGAAGCTGCTGAACTCCTCGGCCTTGGTGAGTCCTTCGGGCAGCTTGCGACCTCGGCTTTTTCGGAGCGCTGTGAGGGCTTTGCCCTTCTGGTCGAGCTTTTCCTTGATTGCCTCAGTGATGCCTAAAAGAACAATGAAATCGGTTTGGGAATTTTGTAAGTTGAATGTAAGCTATGCAGAAAGTTTTTGGAAAAAGAGCTCCACACGAGTTTTAAGAGCTACACAATATAGTACCTCCTTCCTCTTCCATGTCAACGTCTTGCTGGGGTGCGGCTTCTTCTCCGCGCGGCATGTTCGGCCTGAGCGTTGACAGGGCATCGCGAGCGGCGTTCAACTCTTGTCCAAGTCGAGCAATCACTCTGGCTGCTGCGTCGTTCTGAAATTAAATAAATCCCGGGGCGACAGATTCAGAAACCGAAAAGCGTAAAAGCCTTCCACTTTTTGCTAAATTTGGAGCACAATTCCCCAGACTTTGCCACAGAATAAGAAATATACCTTATAGAGCGTATCCGACAATTCTTGACGGGCGGTCATCAACTGTTGGCGCAGGGTGAAGTTGTTCAGCAGGCAGACCTCGTACTCGTCTTGCAGAGCCTTCAGCATACCGGGGACAGACGCCGTGGCGAAGGTTCGTGGAGCTGCCGAGTGTGCTCCGCCCGATAAGGAAATCAACTAAACGAAAATTAATATGAATTACTCCAGAAACTCTTACCTCATCGCCTGCGAGGGGCTTCTCATTTATCGGGTCGCAGCCGCGCTCTTCGAGATATTTGTAGATCGCCCGCTTCTCGAAGACTGTACCCGAGACTGGCGAGACGACTGGTTCCTCGCATGGGTGCCCCGTGAGAGCACAGATGAACGTCGACATGCTATACGCGAATTTGAAAAAGAGGAATGGCAATCCCTGCATAGAAGTGATTGGAGAAAACATAAATTTGACAGATAAAGTAGGGCATGAACGCCAGGAACGCAAGAAAAAGGATGGAAAGCCTCGGTACTAGTATACTTGGGAGGGGCCAAAAAAATTTTCATTTCAAAAGCCAAAATTTCTCATTTTCGACTATTTTGTTCAGTTTTTCATGCGGAATCGAATGTAAGTGCCTCCAGATTTTTTACTATTTCAACAACAACAATTCGGCCACAATTACAATTAGTCGCCGGGGTGGATCTGCCTTACATGCGACCAAAAGTTCAAGAATGGATCGTATGCTTAGGCTTAGGCTTAAGCTTTGGCTTGGGCTTAGGCTTATGCTTAGGCCGAGGTTCATGCTTCGAATCAGGCTTTGGCTTAGATGCAGGCTTATTCTTCTGGCTTCTGGAAACACCATCATTCGATTCAGCATGAAAAACTGAACAAAATAGCCGAAAATGACAAATTTTCGCCGAAAATTTTTTTGGCCCCTCCCAAGTATACTAGTACCAAAGCCTCGCTATCAAGAGAAAACTGCGAATCTTTGAACCTAACAAGGGCGAGAACACGGCTAGAATTAAACGCCGAATCCAAAATTTCCGTAACCGGGAAAACATCTGCGACCCTTCCCCACTTCGAAAATTGTGCCTGGCACACAGCTGCGCTCTAACCCGTGCACTACGGTAAACGAGACAGGGTAGAACGGCGCCCCCATCCAGATTCCCAACACCAAGTAAGAGGCTGTGTAACCGGCGCGTCGTTAGAAAAGAGGACCCATAGACAAAAACAACAATTTATGCGACAACAAAAAAAAAATTATTTCTTCTCGGCAGCCTTATCAGATTCGGACAGCTTGCGAAGGGTCTCCTGACGCTTGTTCTGGATGCGTTCCGTTCTCCTCTTGCGCGCCTCCTTGTTGCGGTCACGCCGGGCTTGGGCCTGCTCACTAAAACAAAACAAATTAATAAAAACTGTCTGAACTAAAGCGAAAACCCAAGATAAGAGTGCAAACGTACGCGAGTTGCTTGGAGCGCTTGTTCTCGACCTTGCGCTTGTGGATGAACTCGATGAGATTGCGCTTGTTCTTGAAGGAGTTACCCTTGGCCTTCAGGTACAGGTCGTGGTACAGATGTTTGTCGAGCTTCTTGGCCTCACGGTAGCGACGGAGCAGGTTGCGGAGGACGCGCATGCGTCGCATCCATAGGACCTTCTCGGGCATACGGGCATTCTTGGTACCGCGGCGCTTGCCGAGACCGGTGTGACGGCCCTTGCGGCGAGCCTCGGCGTAGACGCGAGCGCGGAAACGAGAGTGCACTGCTTCGGGCTTCTTGATGATCAGACCGTCCTTGAGGAGACGGCGGATATTCTGGCGCGAGTTGGCGTTGGAGATTTCGTGGATCTCATTCGGGTCGAGCCACACCTTGTTCTTGCCGCAGCCGAGCACTTCAGCGGCCAGGCGCTTCTGGAGACGCAGATTACTCATTGCGCGTCGGTTACCTGCAAAAAAATATTTTGACGTGAAATGGGTACTTCCCACGCACAAAGATACAAATCAAAACAAGGTACGGACATGGAGCATTCAACTCCGAATTCATAAAAACATCCGTATTGTCAAAAATTTATACAAATCAAGCGATAAATTCCGTGATGGCATCACAAAACGACAATGCAGAAATTTACGACGCGCTTGAGGCACCCGAGTATTCTTCAAGCTTCTGCGATTCCACCTTGACCTCCTCGAGCCGCCTTCGGCAACGGAATTCAGATTCAGGCCTAAGCGAAATTGCAGAACACCGGAAAAAAACTTACACCGGGGCAGCGTGGTGTCTCAAATGTTTGAGAAAGCTGCTGAGGCGATAACCCTTTTCCTAAAGAAAGGATTTCTTGCGAGGCAACTCAAGGCGTACTTGACAAATTCCGCAATATACACGCGGTTTACCAGCGGTCACGGCCTTCAACGTTCGCTTGAGGTCGATCATTGTGGATGGCGGGGACTTGTCAATCCTATAAGGAAAAAAAGATGTCCAAAATGCGAAGAGACAAAAGGGGAAACGTATTAAAAACCAACAGCTTTATTAACCGCTTCCTCGTTTTCTTCGGCTGCTCCAATGTGTGACTCATCGCCAAATGGATAAGCATATATTCGGACGGCGAGATGCATTTCGACTCAGATCTGTGGCGTAGTGTGCAACCGAAAGAACACTTGGTCACACTAAACGAATATATAGAAGCCCGCGAGCTAGATACCCAAGCTTTCCAGTCAGCCATCGTTCATCCCGATCCATATGTTCGCGAGTTGCGTGACGATAGAAATTGCTTCCATCGAACCTCGAGCGAAAGCTGCATTTCGAACATCTATAAACAAGGATGCGCGTCAGCAATGAATAGGCAAGCTCCAACCAAGACAAATTGACACCAGACATAGGCAATTCGCGGTTTGCAAAGATTTTCGGCCGAAAATTACGCGCTTATCAATTACTATTTCTTTTGGTCGACTCAAATAAGTGTTTGTCAAGAACTAATGCAAAATATACTTGGAACAAGTTAACGCCCACCGAAATAGCCTTTTTGGGCACCCCCCGTCTCATTTCACTGGCCATCTCGACCCTGCCTATAGCGGCGATAGAAGCGCTACGGACTCGGGCTCCCCTGATCGAACGAACCCCCTGCCACCAACACTTTCCGCATCTTTATATGGATTTCAAACGTTTTTAGCAGTTCAATGCCAAAATAACCATGTAAAATTAACCGTAATACCACTGATCCGGCCGCTGTAGTTGCCTCAATAGATGCTGCAACATCCAAAAACGGAAAGGCATCGACAGCTTGAATCTCTTCTCTAAACCAAGTATACTAAATTCACTAGGGGAAGCGCCTCACCCTAATTCCATGGCATATTCCGGTTGATCGCTATGGGCGATGATCAGATGGAACAAACAGCTGACCTAAACATGTTATGAAAGGCTGATATTAACCGTTACCTCGTCGGGAATCACTTGAGATCGCTTCCATTTGGTATTACATAATGAACACAGACCACGACTAAAGCGCGTTAGCGAACCAATGCCGGAATACCTGGTGCTCAATTTCTGATCAGTCTCCTTCAATATTGCCTGCTTGGCGAGTTTTTTATCCATGGCATGATCAACTATCGGGTTGCTTGCCGCGGTCGAGCGAAAGTACTAAATACACAAAGATCGCCAACGAACCGAGCAAATTACCGTTGATCCATTTCTCGTAACCACCACTTTGGGCCTGTTAGCAGACACCAGGCACGATTTCCAATGAATCATTAGGTCGCACAATGTCTTCTTTTTTATTGGTTCTGTTAAGCAGGATGAGCAGGTCAACACTTTCTAAAGTTCAAAACTAGCAGACTAATGAGATGTACCTCCCAGTGCTCGGGGATCTCCAGACGAAACGGATACGGCAGCGTGTTCGGATCATGACGACGATATAGTATGTACCTGAATTCACTATATAATTCGTAACACTCGCGAAAAAACCTTTTGTGCGCGATGACTTCTCTGGTCACATCACTCTCTGGGTGTTGCAGGAGCAAATGGGCTATGCACGCCATTTCCAATTCGTCAGCCATGCGATTTTTCGCCGAAACACGAATTCTCCTCTCAAAAAAAAATGTTTGAAAGGCAAACAGTGGTAGTACCTCACAAAACACGCAGTGGTTCCGATCGATAAATTCATTTATACACTCTATAGCCGTCTCGCTCAACGTTATGAGCCTATCGTGGGGTAAAACTTCCAAAAATTTTTTACCTGGCCGATGAATACTGCTCAAAAATCCGTTCGTAGGACGTTGCCTTCTTTTGTTCTTCCTCCTGTAGCCTTTCTTCTTTCGTCAGGAGCTTCCTTTCGGTAAACGTGACAAAAGCGGGCTGTGACGCTCGGCTAAATACAACTTTATGATAAGATGCCCAAAATCACCTTCTCACGCTTGTCGGCGAACAGGATTCGAGCTTAATGGCTTCGCTTCTCCTTGTCGTCATGAAGCGGGCCTAAAATTCGTCAACATTACGCGATGCTATGGGCGCAGAGGCAGAGAGAGACAGGCGGGAAATCGAAGAGGGGTGAGAGCACGGGGTTTGTCAGCACCGACCCCGACCGAATTTGAAAAGGCATTTTTGGAGATACATTTTTTACATCACTAAACCTTTTGCTTCTTCAAACTGAAAAAGAATAACAACAAAACGCGCGAAAATGAAATTCGAAGAAAAGTCGGAAAAATCGAAAAATCGACGAGGTGCCTAAATTCGCCGCCCTAGCAGTCGCTCTGATACCGTAACGGCTCGGACCGCGACGCAGCGTGCTGCGTTGCGGCCGCGGTTTCCCATGTTTTTCGTCGCTTTTTGAAGCTTTTTCGCGTTATTTTGCAGTGTTGAGATCTTTCTAGCTTTGGAGAACATTTGGCAGTGTTTCATCACTTTCTCGCTCATTTCTGTTGATCTTTTCTTTTTGGGAATCTAGATTGTCTTGTTTTCATCGTTCAATCGAGAACTATTGAGCCCCTTTTTCTAAGTTTCCAGAGCTTTTCCTTTATTTCTTTGGTCTCACAACATTTCGTAGGCTTTCCTCACTGTCTCTGATGCCTTTGCAACTTCGTTTCCTTGTTTTCATCTAGTGATCAAGAACCAAACCTTCATTTCCAGGATGAGTGCCCGTGTCTACGTCGGCCATCTGTCATCCCGCGCCACCGAGCGCGACATCGAGCACTTCTTCCGCGGCTATGGCCGCATCCGCGATATTGTGTTGAAGAACGGCTTCGGCTTTGTGGTACGCCCTGCGATTCCGCTGATATATTTTTGTTTATAGGAGTTCAGCGACTCTCGCGATGCTGACGACGCCATCTACGAGCTGAACGGCAAGGACCTGGTGGGAGAGCGCGTGGTGCTCGAGCTGTCGCGCCGCGGCCCCAACGACCGATTCGACCGCGGGGACCGGGACCGCTACGATGATCGTCGAGGCCGTGATGGTGGTCGTGATCGAGGAGCTTCTTCAAGGTATAAGTGACTGTTTTGTTAAATATTTGCTGTTAGGTTTGGTCCGCCGATGCAAACTCGTCATCGTCTGCTCGTCGAAAACCTCTCGTCGTCGGTGTCTTGGCAGGTCAGAAGGAGGGAGGAATGGAGTTGAAGCCCCCGGCAGCGCTAGCGGGTGCCCAGCAAATTCGATGGTGTTCTGGACGGTTGTCTTTGGCTGAAGTGTCCACGCGCAATGTGACGGGCTCTCGGGGTGGCTGATGTGTTCGTCGACACAGACGAGCTTGAGGGGGTGTTGATGCTCGGGCGAGCGCTCTGATTTTGTTGCTCGGGTGCTGGATGTTGAGGGTCTTGGCGTTTCTGCGCTCGAGCATTAGGAGTGCACGGTTGGTGCTATAACTATCAGCCAAAATTGGTTTGGTGTTTGTCTTTTTTTTTTGGAGCTTGCTTCAATGCTCTGTTTTAGGACCTGAAGGACATGATGCGCAACGCCGGCACGGAAGTCACATACGCAGACGCACACAAATCTCGCAGAAATGAAGCGTATGTGCAGTCTCCGCTTCCTAACTTTCTTTTAGGGTGGTGTGCTTCCAAACACGTTCGGATCTGAAGCGTGCCATCGATAAGTTCCAGGGCAAGGATGTGAACGGCAGGGACCTGAAGTTGACGGACGATTCGGACCGCAAGAGCCGCTCACGCAGGTATTCGGGAGTCCGCTGTTTTGTTTTACCTTCCTCTTTAGCCGCTCTCCGCGTCGTTCGCGCAGCCGCAGCCGCTCGCGTAGCCCGAAGAAGAGTCGTTCTCGCTCGCGCTCTCGTTCCAGGTCTTCAAGCCGTGGCAAGAAGTAGGTATTTTTAGTTTAGCGTCATCGATTGCCCTGGGAAGCTGTTGTAATCTTTGTTTATAGGTCGGCGTCTCGCAGCCGCTCGCGCTCGGAGGAGAGAGACAAGGCAATGGACGAAGACAAGAAGAGTCCTCGCTCCCGCTCCTCTTCGCGTGACTAACATCGAACCCATCTGAACGCCGATCCAATTTATTACGTTTGATCTCTTATTTACATTCAAATAAATTTTTCCTGTTTGATTGCATGATCGTGACTGGCTATCCACCAAAGCTTTTCCTGAGATGAATCCTTTGACTTTACTTACGCGCGCTTAGATATGGGTACTGCAGAACTGTCAGAGACTGGATTGGTTGTTGAGGACGGCTCGTCGGACAAGATTTCGGTCACGACCCCGGAGTCCAGCTCACCGTACGGAAATTCGCACTAAAAAGTTTTTATTTTTAGTGTCTCTGTGCCGGAGCTGAAGTCTGCGTCCGTGGTCAGTGGCCGTCAGTCGAAGAAGGCCGCCCTGCGCCGAGAACGCGAGAAGAAGAAAGAGGTATCTTTGTTCTGGATGTCGCTGAAATATTTTTTTAGGCTAAGAACATGAACGCAAGCTGCAAGTCGCTGAAGATCAAGCCGGTTGAAGAATGGCTCGCTGAGGTATGCTGGGCTCAACTCGATTCGTATTTCAATTTAGTTGGAGTTGGCGAAGGTGAAGAAGGATCTGCTCGAGCACTTCTCCAAGGTTCAGCACTCGCCCCCTCAGGAACAATAAGCGTTGTACAGTTCTTTTTCTACATTGTGATCCATCTCGTGCACGTCACTGTTGAAGCATTCCCATTGTCACTTTGAATGTTGTAAGCTATAAACGGGTTGTTTGCGTGGCTTTATGAAAGTTCTGCACAGGAGCACTACGCAAATTGCTTTGCATTCGCGAGGGTGGGGCATACGTATGGACGTCCTGAGCAAGGTGCATTGGCTTTGGCTAATCTGCATGCGGACCGGTACATTTCCTGCGCATTGCATGGATTCCTGGAATATAAAGAAAATCGCGGAAAGCGTCATCATCGATATTTTTTGCTATTCCTTCCTTACTGGTTGGTCGGTGGGTTTCTTTGGCGCGGTCCTCGCTCACCTGCTTTCCCCCGCATCATTCCGCCACTTCCAGACAATCTGCTACGAGATGATGGTGCGCATGGTGCTGCCGCTGATGTTGTTCGTGGGCCTCGGGATGCGAGTGGCGGACGGAGTTGGGATCGAGCCAAGCGAACAACCCCCAGCGCCAAGCGGACAACCCCCAGCGCCAAGCGGACAACCCCCAGCGCCAAGCGGACAACCCCCATCGCCCAGCGGACAGCCTCCAGCGCCCAGCGGACAGCCGACGTCGCCCGGAACATCGGTGGCAACCGAAATCACCGTTGAACCGACGGGCCCTAATGGAATCAAGTGTACGTCTCGGTTCGGTTGTCGTTGTAATGGAATGTCGGTTAAAGGCTAGCTTAGGCCCCCTAGCCCCCCGTTGATCAAGAGCCCAATTCGCCGCGGTCTCTATCTAAAACCCCTGGCATTTCGGTCGAAAAAATAGCGGGAGAGGAAAGTAATTGGGGTGAATAGTTTCTTTCTTAATTTCAGCTCCATGTCCTACTATCGGGTTGTAAAGTTGTAAAGATAGAAACGTTAGTAGCCGCATTCGGTAACCGTCCGTTCCAGATTGCGACGGGGACAAGAAGCTGCGTAGATGCCCCTCGGCAAAGGAGGAGGACAAGCTCTGCGTGCCGGCGAACCTGCTGCTCGACCCGCTCGCCACAGAGTGCAAAATGAGGCGTACGTTTTGTCGTCGCATTCATTGACGTGAACCTCACAGAGTGCGATAATTCGACCCGCTTTGCCCATATCAATTGGGGCGGGACAGACTTTTGCGTCGACTTTCACCGCCTGGGCCCGGGCCTTTTGCCCAATGATTGGATCTTTGCCGGTAGGAGCCTGAAGGCATCTAATAACTCCATTTACAGGTTGCGAAAAGCATTTCGCTGACTGCGCGGTCAACGCGCCGGTGTGCCTCTCGGTTGCCCTGGGGCTCGGCTCTTTCCGCGAAAACGGCATGTGCACCCACCAGGGTAGCCCCTGCCGTTTCGTAGCGTGTAGCTTTCCCTCTCAGAGTGCAAAGATGTGCCCGACCATCATTGGTGCCGCGACGGCACCAACGGGACCAAGTGCATCCCCTACACGAAGATCCAGGAGATCCAGCAGCCAATCCTGCCGATGGAGATCTGGAGCACGGAGAAAAATGGCCTGGTCAAGCGCACCTTTGCCGACAATTGCACCCTCACCCCCAAGGCCATCGCCGAGGCCGCCGAGGAGGCCAGAGCCGCCGGTGGGACTCCGTCGCGAAATAAAATCCCGGCAGTCATACGATCAATGTAACCTGAATTTAGCGGCGGCTGCCGCGGACAAGGGGATGAGCAAGGGCGCCGTCACGGGCCTCGTCTTCGGCATCCTCGCCATCATCATCATCATCATTATCATCATCCTGTGTGCGTAGGCTTGGGCTTGGGCTTAAGCTTGCTTAGGCTTAGGCTTGGGCTCCTCCAAATACTCGCCTCATTTAGTGCTCTTCTGCTGCTGCTGCAAGAAGAAGGAGTCCCAGACGAGCACCCAGTCGGAGAAGGAGTCTAACCGCCAAGCGCAAGCGTCCGACCGACCTGTCGGTGGCCCGGAGGCTGCTGGACTTGCCGCCGCCGGCGCCGCCACCGCCCAGTCGGAGAAGGAGACGACGCAGACGAAGAGTGGGTAGCAGAGATCATTTAGGAATGGAAGGGACAGGCTAGCAGAGATCATTTGGGTATGGAAGGGGCAGGCTAGCAGAGATCATTTGGGAATGGAAGGGGCAGGCTAGCAGAGATCATTTGGGAATGGAGGGAGCAGGAAAACAACCAATCACCCGGTAATCCATCTCAGGCGACAAGGAGCGCAAGGAGGTGGCCGTTGAGATGGAGCGCGGAGCGGCTCCGGCCCCGTCGGCCGTCGCCGAGCCCAAGCTGCCAGTGAAGACGCCCCGGGCGGCGGCGACCACCGTCAAGCCGAAGACCGTCAAGGCGGCGAAGACGCCCGCACAGAAGACAAAGAACGGCATCGACTCGGCCTACTTCCTGCAGCAGGGCGGCGGCGTCAAGAGGTACGGTTCAAATAGTACAATAGAGAAGTGTTGTTTAGGAATTGCTTTTCATATACGTAATTTAAACAAAAGTGCTAGAAAATTTACAAACTTTACTTTTTAACAAAACAACTCTACAAAACCCTTTTCAGTCGCCGCTTCAAGTAGACGAGCTGAACGTCTCGGCCTCGCCGCAACCGTGGCCACCACCATCTACACGCACCATCGAATAAGCCAGCCACCACACACCCATCTCCCCCGGGCACCCCCAGCGACTAGCAGAAACGCCGTTTTTGGCCCTTTTGGCCCTCCCTCTCTCTCTCTATCTCTCGCTGTATTTGTCTCCCCCTCGCAGCATCTCTCGCCCCTCTGATTTCTATGTGTTCTTTTCCCCTTCTCTGACCCCCTCGACGTTCTCTCTCGCCTTGTCTGGTTGGTGTGTTTCCCCGGGGATAAAGTTTTGTGGCATCTTCCAGGACTGTATTTGACAAACTGCAAACTACAGACTACAGAATACAAGCACAGGAAAGTACTACAGAGGCTGCCACCGAGGCAACTAGCAGAGCGGCTTGTGAAAAAATGGTCTCGGCGCGAACCTTCGAGAAGCAAACTCGGAGGCAAACTAGCAGAGACGATTGAGAAAATTGTCATGTGGAAGGTTTCGTACTTCGATTTGGCTTTCCGGTTCCCTGAAAAAATGACAAGCAGGCGCTGGGGGGATTTACCGAGCATTTCCGATTTGTCTAGCTTTCCAACTTTGACGAATTTGGAAATTAGGGCTTGCGATATCAGAATTTTACGCTGATTCGGAATCCGTTTTCAAAAGCTGCGAAACCGCTCTGACCAAAAAGTTAACCTTTTTTTCAATACCCAAAATGTCGATTTCCCACTTTAAAGCCTTCTAAAAATGCCATGAGATACTTTTGGGGAAAATAGGACAGTTCCCGCCACTGCCTGTCAGGGCGCGCATGGGGGTGGGGGAGGGCGTGGCCTAGTGGTCTAAGGCGCCGGTCGCAACTCCAGGCAGAGGGTTCGCTTCCTCTGACCGACAGAAGCCCGTTCGGGTTTTGCACTTTTTTCCAAAAGGTACAGAAGGGGATCCAAAACCGATCTAAAGAGAAGCCCAAGCGGAAAATAAAAAGTTTTGCTATTTCCCGGGCTCTGAAGAAGAAATTGTCTCAGATGGTGCCGATTCGCTCAATAAAGGAATATCATAATAACAAAGACATGTACTGCCCAAATTAGCCACAATTCAATGATTTCAAGCCCCTTCATCCGTACAAAGCTGAAAACTTTGACTAGCTTCAGTTGTTCAATCATTAGGATCTCTCATTCAGCACCTTTTTTACTTCCCAGGACCGCAGAAGTACCCAATTTGACAGTACCGATTCTTTTCCGATCAATATCGGTGAAAAAACCCGGAAGAATGCGGCTAAACGCAAAGTAAAACGCGGCGCACAAAGCTCGTATTTTCGCAATTTTTCCGGCTTACATCCTAGATAAATCCTTATTTTCACGTTAAATCACTCTTAAAACCCCTCCCATAATGTGCGCAAGAGTCTTCTCTATATTTCGTATCGGTGGACTCCCCACAACAACGTCGTTTTCGAAAGTTATAGGCATTTGAAGTTGAAAATTTGTGAGTTTTTTTGGCTCCTTTCTTTGCCTCTCTCTCGAAAAATCATGGATCGGTAGGCAAGCATAGTGTGCGCGCGGGCATAGGAACGCTACGGAGCGCCCCCACCTCTCATGAGCGCATTTCTTAATATCTGACAGCCAGTGCCGCAATAACAAAACCGTAAGACTCCAGATAACGCACCCCCCCAGCCGGCCCCCAACTTTTGTATCTCGGCTCCCTGTTCATCTACAGGTGTGTAAAGTATACCAAAATGTTCGTCTTGCTCTGGCAAGTATTTTGGTATACTTTACACACTTGTAGAGAAATACGGTAGGTGGGGGTCGGCTGGGGGGGAGGGTTATCTGGCGTTTAGCCAATAAAACGTGCTTTTTCGCATGGGTTGCCTCACGGACCCGTAGCTCGGAGTCTGTAAAAAGGTTTTTTTCGGCGCACATGCTTTGATGGCCGATTCTAAAAACAATTAACTAACTTCGAACTACGAGTTCCTATTCGAAAGAGCACGTTTTCCTACCCCGGCAAATGGCTTACTTTCCCCCAAAAATAATTCACGGAATTTTTAGCAGGGTGTAAAGTAGTTTCCACATTTTGAGTACTAAAACACTCGTAACTTTTTCATCAGAGGTGTTCCGCAAGTTTTGAAAACGGATTTGGAACCAGTGAAAAATTCTGTAAATGGTGCGGTATCGAAATTTCTCTTCGACAATGGGAGGGTTACAGTGAGATCCCAGCTGGGCACAGAACTTGGATTCATCCCCGGCTCAGCCGATTCCCAATAATTCGACGTGACTAACACATCAGCATCCGGGGTATTGTGTGCCAAATCCTCGGCCGTCAACTGCCAAAAATCGACCCTCACCCCGCCCCGAAATGGCAATATTTACGCACCTGGCCGTCAGGGCCCTGCCTGCCCCCCAAAAAGTGTAAGTAGTAGTCAGCCGGAAAATTGGGAGGTGGCTGGATTTGGAAATTCTGCTTGCAAAGTATCGTCATTCAAAGCGAAGTCAAGCTAGGCCGAGCTAAGCTACCGAGGCTCAGCTAAATTAACCTACAGAAGCTAGGCAAAACTAACGAAATCCATTGAAAATGCTACTCAGAATCGTTGGCCTTCTAACCTTGGTATCTACCATTACTGCGCTGACCTGCTATTCGTATATGCTGACGTCGGCGATTTCGGATAATACCCGGCCGTTGATTGAGTGCCCACCAGGTAAATATCGATTAACTGGGCTTAAGCTTGGGCTTGGCTTAGGCTTGGCTTAAGCTTGGCTTAGGCTTGGCTTAGGCTTGGCTTAGGCTTGCCTTAGGCTTGGCTTAGGCTTGCCTTAGGCTTGGCTTAGGCTTGCCTTAGGCTTGGCTTAGGCTTGGCTTAGGCTTGGCTTAGGCTTGCCTTAGGCTTGGCTTAGGCTTGGCTTAGGCTTGCCTTAGGCTTGCCTTAGGCTTGGCTTAGGCTTGGCTTAGGCCTGGCTTGGGCTTGGCTTAAGCTTGGCCTAGACTTAGGCTTGACCCGAGATAACTCTATCGTTTTCTAGATGCACAATATTGCCTCAAAAGCTACCTCACGTTTTTCGATGCCTACGGCAATAGGAGCTACACGGAATCGCATAGTTGCGCGTCGGCTGTGAATTGTCAGGTGAGAGCAAGTGGCTCTCGTTCTTGCTCTCTCTCTCCCTCTCTCTCTCTCTCTCTCTCTCTCTCTCTCTCTCGATTCCCAGTCACCTGATCGAAAAATCGCCTGATCGAAAATCGCCTGATCGAAAATCGTCTGATCGAAAAATCGCCTGATCGAAAATCGCCTAATCGAAAATCGTCTAGTCGATAATAACTCAAAAAGTAGTTTTAACACATGTTAGAAGCCTAGAAACCCCCTAAAATTTTTGAGTTATTTTTGATCAGACGATTTTCGATCAGGCGATTTTCGATCAGGTGTTTTTCAATCAGACGACTGCCAACCCTCCCTCTCTCTCACTCGCAATATCATGCTCGTGCGCTCTCTCGCTCTCTCATCCTCGCATTCTCTCTACTTCTACCTCTCTCTCTCTCTCTCTCTCTCTCTCTCTCTCTCTCTCTCTCTCTCTCTCTCTCTCTCTCTCTCTCTCTCTCTCTCTCTCGCTTTCAACCCATTTTTCAGGCCAACGGCTGCCAGGGCAATAGCCAAGACCTAATCTGCTGTTGCTCAACGGACCAATGTAATTCCGGCACGTCTATTAGTGTGTTGACAACTTTGACGGCTATTGGATTACTGTATTTCCTATCGTAATCGCTTCTCACGCCCATAAATTTGTAAATTATTAAAAATAATTTTATTATGGCAAGGCACTGAGAAGTTGGGGGAAAAGACCAGCATTGGGGGCCCGAAAATCAAATCTCCGGACTGCGCAGCAACAGCAACAAGGACCCAAATAAATATGCATAAAAATACCATAAATAAGAATAGTTAAGAGAAATAAATATCCAAGCGAAAACAGGCAAAATTAAATCGGAGAAATCTGGTAATTTTGTATATAAAGGCAAAAATCAAGTTTGTCAAACGTTCAATTGCCAGTTTTTCGATTTTAGCTATTTTTGGCATTTAAAATACCAAAAATTTGGAAAGATTACCGTATAATTATACCTAGTTTAAGGTATACGAAATTTAAGGATTAATGAAAGAAACGAGGATATATCTGGTGCCAGACGTAGTCGGGAGGCCCTCATGCAAATGGGTCAGGCGGCCCGGGAACATCATCGTGTAGCCTGAAAACTAGATAATGAGAGAGAGAGAGAGAGAGAGAGAGAAAAGAAACGAAAAATACGTACCAACTTCATCGGCAGGTACGGTGCAATTGTAGCGAGGGTACCGCACGCCGCCGCCCTCGTAGTCGACGCCTGAAATTTGCATGTTTTTGCCAATTGACTCTCTCTCTCTCTCTCTCTCTCTCTCTCTCTGTCTCTCCCTCTCTCTCTACCTTTCTTATTAAGCGCAATATCCACACTGTAGGTCGACGCATCGTGATGAGGCCGGAGCGACGCCTGCTCGTCCGGCTTGTACCGGACGACGAACATCATCTCCGAGTGGACCGGCTGAAATTGGAGAAGTTGAGAGAGCGAGCGAGAGAGAGAGAGCGAGCGAGAGAGAGCGAGCGTGCGAGAGCGGGAGATAGCGGGAGATAGCTTACGTTTTGATAGTAGCCGGTGAAGACCTTTTCCTGCATCGGGCGCACGTACTCGTTGAGGAAGTAGAGCCTGCAAATCAAAGGCTTTAAATTGCTGCTGAAAAGTCTATGCTAGCCTCCCCCATTCCCAATGGTCTCTGCTAGCCTGCTCTCACCGACTCACCAATGCCTGGCATATCCAATCTGCTTCATGTGGATATCCCTGGTCGGCACATTTTCGTAACCGCCTTGAAGACGTTTGTCCTGAATAAGATATTCTTGCTCCCTCGGTCTCTCTCTCTCTCTCTCTCTCTCTCTCTCTCTCTCTCTCTTTCTCTCTGTCTCTCTCTGCTCCCTCTCTCTCTCTCTCTCTCTCTCTCTCTCTCTCTCTCTCTCTCTCTCTCTCTCTCGCTCTTTCACTTCACCCACCAAATTGGTCCCATCGCTCCACTTCCCAAAGTGTTCCATTTCCTCAATGATCTCCGCACAGTACCTAGCCTCAAAAATTTCAGTTTTAGTTTTTTATTTACCTCTCGCTCATCAGAGGATAGTCGTAGACGTCTGGGCAGGCTTGAGGGACCTAAAAATTCGATTGTTCAACGCTGAAAACCGCGAATATTCTACCGTATCCGCTTCGAAGACTTCTTTGTATTTTGGGTGGAGGTAGCGCTGTTCCCAGAGCTGAAAACAATGGATTGAGTGAGAGCGAGTCAGAGAGAGAAGGACGAACCTCTCGATTCTCGAAAATCTCCCACATCTCCGGATGCAGGTGACCGTCACCAAGTATCTCGGCGTACTCATCGGCTACGATCAGAAATCCGAAAGGCTCCTCGTTGGTGACGTACATGAAGTGGCCCTGAAAAGCTTCTTTACTTTCCCAACAATTCCCAAATGATCTCTGCTAGCCTGCCCCTTCCATTCCCAAATGATCTCTGCTAGCCTGCCCCTTCCATTCCCAAATGATCTCTGCTAGCCTGCCCCTTCCATTCCCAAATGATCTCTGCTAGCGTGCCCCTTCCATTCCCAAATGATCTCTGCTAGCGTGCCCCTTCCATTCCCAAATGATCTCTGCTAGCCTGCCGTGCCTCAGCGCCGACTCCCGAAAACTCACGTGATCTCTGGCATAGGCACAGAACGACATGTCCGGGTCGAGCTCCTTTTTGTAGTTGTACGCGCCGGCAAACTGGGCGAGTTTTTCCTAAAAAAAACCTCTTGAAAAGGACGCTTTTTGACATACAGTAGTCATCAGTAGGGCGGCTCCGATGAACGGCGCTTGCCAGACACCCTTGCGATTTCCTAAAATCAAAAAATTAGCATTAGATATTTCTTCCATCTCTCTCTCTCTCTCTCTCTCTCTCTCTCTTTCTCTCTCGCTCTCTCTCCTGGACTTATCTTTAATAATGGCCATGTAGTCCTCGCTCCGAGCGTAGTACCTGTAATTTTAAGTTTAAAAATACTAGGATTGCCAAATAATCTCTGCTAGCCTGCCGATCAGATTTTGACTTATAGCCCCTTTAAAACAGGCAAAAACTCACCCATTGGCGGCAATGGCTCCCCAGAAGTTGGCGAACACCTTGCCGGGCTGGTGAACGAGTGGGGCGATGATTTGGCTGGAATTTGACGTTGAAGACAGAGAGAGAGAGAGAGAGAGAGAGAGAGAGAGAGAGAGAGATAAATATAATTGCTTACGTATCGTAATTGACCGCATCTTCAATAAGGTGCTTGAGCGTCCTGGTGTTGTTCAGGTAAACATCGGCGTCAATCGTGAAGAAGAACTTCGAGCCGGTCTGTTGATGGAATTGGCTGAAAAGCATTCGATTCTTGCTGTAACGCTCCCTTTAAACGAGAGAGCTAAAGCTTGAGAGAGAGAGAGAAGAAGGGTGAAAGAGAGATAGAGAGAGAGGGGGGGGGGGGCAGAGAGAAATCGTGGAGAGAAAACTCACATAGCAATCTCTCTCGCCTCTCGCTCCGTCCGATCAGCCCCGTTGCTGATCTTCTTCGTATAATAAGCGGGGCCCTCCTTCTCGAAGATGTCGAACACCTACACCAATTTTTGCTTGTCAGCACCTTTAAAACACGCTACCATTTTGATGTTCTGCGGCTGCGAGTTGTAGATGTACAGCGCCAGCTTGTCCTTCGGGTAGTCGAGGTCAAAGATGGCTTGGAAGAACTGAAAAAGTGCCCATAGAGATGTTCTTAAAAGTGTTTAAAAGTCGAAAAATCGACTCCTTCCCCAATGACTGGGTGTCGACAACTGCGCAACTGGCAAAATCGATTCAAAACGAAATTGAAGCGTTTTTTAGCTTGCCACGTGGCCGTCTAGACCTAGTGACTACAATGGATCGATTTTCGTTTCTGTCCTTTAAAGGCACTGGGACGTCAAAGTTAACTAGCTTCTAAAACTTCAAAAATTACCTCTTCCGTGAAAGGGATCGGCTTGGCGATGAAGATGGCCAGCGTCACCAGAGGGTAGTCTTCTTTCGGGGTTTCCTGGAAAAATTATCTCTTTTTTTTCTTTTCTCTTTCTCCTTCTCTCTCTCTCTCTCTCTCTCTCTCTCTCTCTCTCGCTCTCTCTGTCTATATGTCTCTCTCTCGCTCTCTGTCTCTCTCTTGCTGTTTCCCACCTCCAGATTCAAATGAGACCGATCTCCGCAGAATCCGCAGCCGGTCTGTCCATTCCATCTAGGAAACAACATTTTTTTTTGCTTTTTCCACTTACCTCTGGCCAATATAATTCGCCAAATAGTCGAGGTGACGCTTGGAGGGGCCATTTCCATGGATGACAACCGGATGGGTGTTGTAGTTCGCATTGTAGGCCTGAAAAATCTCTGGTTACCTCTCCCGGCATCTAATCCACTCTCTCCGGCTCTCTCCGGCTCTCTCTCTCTCTATCTCTCTCTCTCTCTCTCTCTTTCTCTTTCTCCCTCGCTCTCCACTCACCGTCGCCTCTCCAGTCTCATCGTCAAACTCCAGCTCAACATCCTCTTGAGCTCCATTTAGATTTTGGAAAATTCGGGAGGCCGTGTCCAGCTCGATTTTGAGCGAATCCTCAAAAGTAACGTTTAGATTACAAGTGGATACTGTAGACATGACTGCTCTTAAAGACTCTCTGCTAGCCTGCCCCTTCCATTCCCAAATGATCTCTGCTAGCCTGGCCCTTCCATTCCCAAATGATCTCTGCTAGCCTGCCCCTTCCATTCCCAAATGATCTCTGCTAGCCTGCCCCTTCCATTCCCAAATGATCTCTGCTAGCCTGCCCCTTCCATTCCCAAATGATCTCTGCTAGCCTGCCCCTTCCATTCCCAAATGATCTCTGCTAGCCTGCCCCTTCCATTCCCAAATGATCTCGGCTAGCCTGCCCCTTCCATTCCCAAATGATCTCTGCTAGCCTGCCCCTTCCATTCCCAAATGATCTCTGCTAGCCTGCCCCTTCCATTCCCAAATGATCTCTGCTAGCCTGCCCCTTCCATTCCCAAATGATCTCGGCTAGCCTGCCCCTTCCATTCCCAAATGATCTCTGCTAGCCTGCCCCTTCCATTCCCAAATGATCTCGGCTAGCCTGCCCCTTCCATTCCCAAATGATCTCTGCTAGCCTGCCCCTTCCATTCCCAAATGATCTCGGCTAGCCTGCCCCTTCCATTCCCAAATGATCTCTGCTAGCCTGCCCCTTCCATTCCCAAATGATCTCGGCTAGCCTGCCCCTTCCATTCCCAAATGATCTCTGCTAGCCTGCCCCTTCCATTCCCAAATGATCTCTGCTAGCCTGCCCCTTCCATTCCCAAATGATCTCTGCTAGCCTGCCCCTTCCATTCCCAAATGATCTCGGCTAGCCTGCCCCTTCCATTCCCAAATGATCTCTGCTAGCCTGCCCCTTCCATTCCCAAATGATCTCGGCTAGCCTGCCCCTTCCATTCCCAAATGATCTCTGCTAGCCTGCCCCTTCCATTCCCAAATGATCTCGGCTAGCCTGCCCCTTCCATTCCCAAATGATCTCTGCTAGCCTGCCCCTTCCATTCCCAAATGATCTCGGCTAGCCTGCCCCTTCCATTCCCAAATGATCTCTGCTAGCCTGCCCCTTCCATTCCCAAATGATCTCTGCTAGCCTGCCCCTTCCATTCCCAAATGATCTCTGCTAGCCTGCCCCTTCCATTCCCAAATGATCTCTGCTAGCCTGCCCCTTCCATTCCCAAATGATCTCTGCTAGCCTGCCCCTTCCATTCCCAAATGATCTCTGCTAGCCTGCCCCTTCCATTCCGAAATGATCTCTGCTAGTCTGCCCCAATTCCAGGCAGCCACCGTACCCTCGTCTTCTTGTCAAGATACGCCTTCGTGAAGTACAGCTGATCATCATCGGAATCCTTGACTTCATGCAGGGTCAAGAGTTTGTAGATTTCCGGTGCGTAGCCGAGGTAGAGGCCAGAGTTCAGGAATCTGGAAGACGGGGGTTTAAGGAAGCGTGACATTTGGATGTCAAGCGAGAGAAAGAGAGAGAGAGAGAGAGAGAGAGAGAGGGAGAGAGGGAGAGAGAGCGAGCAATCCAAAATGCAAAAATCCCCCAAAGCAAGCTTTTTTACAGGCTCGGCTCCGAGCGCCCGGTCCGCCTAGAAACATGGCGTGATCGATTCCCGGTTACCATATCCTCATCCATGCACACAATTTCGGTTTTACTAAAGATTTTTTCCTTTCTAAGGCGTGCATTTTTCAGTTGTAATTGAAATCCAAAATTAGGATTTTGTACCTCTTCCCAAACTCGACAAGCGGATACTGATCAACCAGGCTGGCGTCCGGCCAGCAGTATGGCTCCGCGCCGAACAGGATGCGGGCGTCTAAAAAAACGATAAAGTAGTTTTAAAGGGACTAGCAAGCGCGTTTATCGAACACTAGCGTCGCCTAGGTCTCGAAAGCTACACGGGAAGCCAAAAAACGCAAGGATCTTGTTTTTATACTTTTTAAGCTAAATTTAGGTGAGATTGCTGCGTTTTTAGGCGTGTCGCGTAGCTGTCGAGACCCAGTGGCTTGAAATGGCCTATTCTCGGATCTTCACGCCATTTTAAAGGGACTTTTAAGGCAAAGCAACCCAAAAACCCACCAAAAAGGCAAAAAACCTTAACCTTTTTCGGAATTTAGCGACATCGAGGAGTGATAATTTGTAGCTGAAATAGGTTTTGATAAGCTTTTAAGAACTTTACTCTAAAAAATCCCCAAAGCTCTTTTTACCCTAAAAAATACAGCTCGAAAATCGACCCTTCCCGGCGACTGGGTCTAGACAGCTGCGCGAGACGACATTTTGATCGCCTGTTGGCTCGTGGCAAATATCGAGATGCGATTTACACGTCTTTTTGCGTGTCGCGTAGCTGTCTGGACCTAGTGGACGCGCGGGGGTCCATTTATACGCTTTCTGGCCCCTTTAAAACGCAGCTTACCCTGGAATTTGGTCAAAAACCGCCTCAAAATCGTCTCGATCGGGTTGCTGAAGACGACGTCGTACCTAAAACACAAAATTTTCAAGAATTACAGTGGTTAGCATACGCGTCCACAAACAGGATCAACAGGTTCTTGTCCTCCTTGAACTTCTCGAGCTCCTTTTTGAGGATGTTGATCTTCTGGCCGCCGCCCTGGAGTTGGAATTGAATCGGAGGGAGAACGAGCGAGAGAGCAAGAGAGCGCGAGAGACTGACGTACGAACCTGCTCAACTCGAGTATCACCACCATTCCACGTCTCCCCAAGCCCGTACACCTGGATTTGGATGTCGTAATGGTATGCGGACCTGGAAATGCGGGTTTTACGTGTTTAAAGGGACTGAATAGTGCGAAACTCGACTCCTTAAATCCACTAGGTCTCGACAGCTACGCGATGCGCCAAAATACGCAATTAAGGATCATTGGTTTTACCTAAAAATCCATTTCTCACGCTATACAAAAGAGAATGAGGTGTCATTTGGCGTGTCACGTAGCTGTCGAGACCTAGTCAATAGAAGGGTTTGGCGTTTCTTAGCCCCGTTAAAGAGACATACCTCAACAATCGCTTCAAGCCGTCGGTCTCTTCGGTGGCTACCGTAACCACCAGAACTTCTGGGGGCTCCTGGATGCAGGACGCGAATGATAGCCATAGGAGCGGTATGGAAATTGCCGCGGAGAGATGCATTATCTGCAAAAAATTTTGAGGTAGAGAGAGAAACAGAGAGAGAGAGAGAGCGAGAGAGAAAGAGAGAGAGAGCCAGAGAGAAAGCGAGCATGATAGGGAGTGCGAGAACCTCATCAAAAAACTGGGCAAGCTAGCCCATCAGGTCGGTAAAATTTGAAGTTAACTCTAGTAGCAACGATTTGGGCACGCGAAAATATTGCCACGAGACACAGAGAGAGAGAATGAGAGAGAAGGAGAGACAGAATCCATCAGAGACCAAAAATCAAGCTAAAATCGACCTCCTACCAGAAAGGTCAGCCAAAATGGGGATCATCGTGAGTAAGACTCCTCCCAGTTTACACCGCCGGAAAAAGTGTGCGCTCGCCGGGGAGGGCCAACTGGCCCTCCAGGGGTCAGAGCGGCGAGAGAGAGAGAGAAGGAGAGAGAGAGAGAGAGAGAGAGAGAGAGAGAGAGAGAGAGAGAGAGAAGGAGACGGCCATCTGGGGCAGAGGCACACAGCTGGTCCTTCCACGAATCGCCACATCGAGCATTGCTGAACACTTGGTGCATTGGTGCGTGGTGGCCGGGGGTGGAGCGTGACTTTTCGTAGAAAATGCTCGAATCTGGGTGTACACTGGATGGTGTTTAGGCTTAGGCTTGGGCTTAGGCTTGGCTAAGGCTCAAGCTTAGGCTTGGCTTAGGCTTGAGCTTAGGCTTAGGCTTAGGCTTAGGCTTAGGCTTAGGCTTAGGCTTAGGCTTAGACTCAGGCTTAGGCTTATGCTTAGGCTTAGGCTTAGGCTTAGGCTTAGGCTTAGGCTTAGGCTTAGGCTTAGGCTTAGGCTTAGACTCAAGCTTAGGCTTAGGCTTAGGCTTAGGCTTAGGCTTAGGCTTAGGCATAGGCTTGGGCTTAGGCTTGGGCTTAGGCTAGCGAAAAACTTGGTCAGAGAGCGTCTAAACCCCGTAGGAAAACCAATACCGCTGCTAAATCCGCCCCTCGCCCCGCAAAACCACCTCCGAATTAGTTGTGTCTGCAACGTGGTCTGTTTCGACTCGGAAACCCGGAACGTTTTTCGCCGTTGTTTTTATTTCACAATCCTCGCCAGGGTTTGCTTTAAATTTTCATATTTTTAACGAATTGCCTCAAATAAAAAATTTTCAGGGACAGTTTGCGTACCCAAATTTCCCGGACCACGCGGTGTTCTTCCAGAAATCGCCGCTGGCAAGGCTTGGATTGCCAGGCTTGGATCTATTCCCAAATGATCTCTGCTAGCCTGCCCATTCCATTCCCAAATAATCTCTGCTAGCCTGCCCATTCCATTCCCAAATGATCTCTGCTAGCCTGCCCCTTCCATTCCCAAATGATCTCTGCTAGCCTGCCCTTTCCATTCCCAAATGATTTCTGCTAGCCTGCCCCTTCCATTCCCAAATGTTCTCTGCTAGCCTGCCCCTTCCATTCCCAAATGATCTCTGCTAGCCTTATCACCCTATTTACCGCTATCATCCAGGTTTTCAGGCGGCGGCCCGCCACTTGATATGGGCTATGGGGCCGTGGGTTGGGGGTGGTGGATAATTGTCCTCGCCGACAACCGGTAGAGAGAGAGAGAGAGAGAGAGAGAGAGAGAGAGGTAGAAAGAGAGAGCGGCAAAACAACAAGGCCATTCCAGATACGCGCAACCCCACCCCCTCTCACCCCCCAAAATAAGGCAGTCGATCCGCTGGTGTCCGCTACCCATTAGCTGTTATTTTTCGTAAACATCGCTAGCTAACGAAGGAAATGGCGGTGCGTTCTTTTGAATTACAACTTAGATTTTGCCAATATTATTACCTAAAAGTTCCTCAAGAATCTCTGCTAGACGACCAATTTTTCTTAAAGAACCTCTGCTGGCAGGCCATCGATTTCCTAAAAAACCGAGCTACTAGCTGCCCTGGGCTTCTCAAAAATCTTTGCTAGATGGCCTGATTTCCGAAAGGAATGCTGCTAGCTGGCCTTTGGTTTTTCAAAGCATCTCTGCCAGACGGCCTCAGTTTTCCCCAAGGGATCCACGCTAGCAACGTTGATTTCCCAAAGGATCCCTGCTAGTCTTATAGTTTGATTTTTTTTTGCTAAGATGTTCATCTTCAGATCGCAAAACTCTCCGACGGTGAGCGAAAAGAGAAAATCGAGCCGCTGCTTGCGAAGGGGTGGAAGCTGGCCGAAGACCGGGACGCCATCGAGAAGACGTTCAAATTCGCCGATTTTAATGAGGTAAATTTAGGGCTGAATTTGCCTTCTAAGTGCCCTTAAAAACCTGCCTAAAAAGCCGAATCCCCAAGAATCTCTGCTAGCCTGCCTGCGGCTTGAAGATTGTTTTTAGTGATGGAAAGCAGCGTCCTAAGCTTAAAAAATTACGCAGGTTCGGGCAGGCTAGCAGATATTTTTCAGGATTTTGCCGCTTTTTAACGAAACTAAAAAATCCATCAGTGTTTGCCTTCATAATCCCTTTAAAATCGGTTTTAGGCTTTCGGTTTTATGACCCGAATCGCGCTGAAGGCCGACAAATTGGACCATCATCCCGAGTGGTTTAACGTCTATAATAATGTGAGTTTCTGTATAGCTCTCTCCCTCTTTCTCTCTCTCTCTCTATCTCTCTCTTCATCTCTATCTCTCTCGCTCGCTCTCACTCTCCCGCTCTCTTGCTCTCTCGCTCGTTCTCGCTCTCTTTCACTAGACCTCTCTCGCTCTCGCTCTCGAAATTCAAGTTTTTTCAGGTCAAAATCCTGCTTGCCACCCACGAGTGCAGCGGCTTGAGCGCCCGCGACGTCGAGCTGGCCAAATTTATCGAGAGTCTGTAGATGATCTTTTTGCATTTTACCGATTTTTAGCGGTTTTAATAAAGTAATTCTCTCAAATACTATTTATTGCATTTATTATCGAACGAAGGACGATAGAGTCCGAAAGAGAGTGAGGGAGAGTGAGGGAGAGAGATAGAGAGAGCGAGAGAGCGAGAAAAACAGAGAAAGAGAGAGTGAGAGAGAGAGGGAGTGAAAGAGTCGGATCAGGTTGTGCGTTGAGATCTTGGCAACCGGCCAGAGATGAGCAAAAAATATTGCAGCTGTGGGGGTTCGGAGTTAGACATCGTACTGGTACGAGTTCTCGGTAAACGGGTGAGCGATCTGAAAGAGAGAATTGTTGGAAAAGCCGTGCTCAAGCGAGACCCTAAGCCTAAGCTAAACCTAAGGAGAGCCTAAGCCGAAGCCTAAGCCTGAGCCTAAGCCTAAGCCTAAGCCTGCCTATGCCTATGCCTAGCCTAAGTCTAAGCCCAAACCTACCTGGACGTTGTTCTGCTCGTTCTCCCCGGTGGCCTGCACTTGGTCGTAAATCATCACGCAGGGCGCGGCGTAGAGCGCTGTTTGAACGACGAAGAAAAGCTGAAACAAAATTACTAGCTTTTTGCCTTCATCATATTAATTTCCATCTTTATATATGCAGTTTTAATTAACTGTAAACTGACCCCAGCGGCCACGTATCCAGCCGACGAGCCGAACAACACTCGGCCGGCCAGCCCGAAGGAAAGCCATATGCAAATTGCAGAGAGGACAGCGAGGACGAAGGAGTAGATCATCTCCTGAAATTTTAACAATAATCTCTGCTAGCTTGCCCCTTCCATTCCCAAATGATCTCTGCTAGCCTGCCCCTTCCATTCCCAAATGATCTCTGCTAGCCTGCCCCTTCCATTCCCAAATGATCTCTGCTAGCCTGCCCCTTCCATTCCCAAATGATCTCTGCTAGCCTGCCCCTTCCATTCCCAAATGATCTCTGCTAGCCTGCCCCTTCCATTCCCAAATGATCTCTGCTAGCCTGCCCCTTCCATTCCCAAATGATCTCTGCTAGCCTGCCCCTTCCATTCCCAAATGATCTCTGTTAGCCTGCCCTTTCCATTCCCAAATGATCTCTGCTAGCCCGCCCCTTCCATTCCCAAATGATCTCTGCTAGCCTGCCCCTTCCATTCCCAAATGATCTCTGCTAGCCTGCCCCTTCCATTCCCAAATGATCTCTGCTAGCCTGCCCCTTCCATTCCCAAATGATCTCTGCTAGCCTGCCCCTTCCATTCCCAAATGATCTCTGTTAGCCTGCCCCTTCCATTCCCAAATGATCTCTGCTAGCCCGCCCCTTCCATTCCCAAATGATCTCTGCTAGCCTGCCCCTTCCATTCCCAAATGATCTCTGCTAGCCTGCCCCTTCCATTCCCAAATGATCTCTGCTAGCCTGCCCCTTCCATTCCCAAATGATCTCTGCTAGCCTGCCCCTTCCATTTCCAAATGATCTCTGTTAGCCTGCCCCTTCCATTCCCAAATGATCTCTGCTAGCCCGCCCCTTCCATTCCCAAATGATCTCTGCTAGCCTGCCCCTTCCATTCCCAAATGATCTCTGCTAGCCTGCCCCTTCCATTCCCAAATGATCTCTGCTAGCCTGCCCCTTCCATTCCCAAATGATCTCTGCTAGCCTGCCCCTTCCATTCCCAAATGATCTCTGCTAGCCTGCCCCTTCCATTCCCAAATGATCTCTGTTAGCCTGCCCCTTCCATTCCCAAATGATCTCTGCTAGCCCGCCCCTTCCATTCCCAAATGATCTCTGCTAGCCTGCCCCTTCCATTCCCAAATGATCTCTGCTAGCTCGCCCAATCGCCCCCAAGACTCACCACCAAATTCCATGTCAACGAGCCGTTCGAGATGCTCTCCACGAGAGAATCCTGAAAACAAAAGCATTTCATTCGCTCTCTCTCACACTCGCGCTCTCTCGCCCTCTTTCTCTCTCTCTCTCTTTCTCTCTCTCTCTCTCTCTCTCTCTCTCTCTGTCCCCAAAGCATACCTGAATCCTGAGCGCAAAGGCTACGGTAGCCAGGGCAGACAATAGCATTGAGGCGAATATGACGAACCAAACGACACCATTTTCACCTCCCGCCGTAGAGCCGACACAGATAGCAAGGACGATGGCGCAGATCTGGAAATGGAGTTTGTAATTTAAATTTTTCTGGAATTTGGGATGGGGTGAACTAGCAGAGATCTTTTGGGAATCGAATAGGCAGGCTAGCAGAGGTTACTTCGGTGCGTTGTGCTCGTTTTGTCTTGCGCTTTTCTGGTTGTATTTCGTGTGCTAGCGTCTCCGAGAGAGAGCGAGAGAGATAGATAGAGAGAGAGAGAGAGAGAAGCAGATATCAAAAGAGTCCTTTTCCCAACACCCGATAAGAATTCAGCGCTTTCAGATGTATGTTGTTCTTCCCTAGCTTTCAATTCCGTTGATCTGCTGAGTCAGTTACCCCTTCTGGTCTAGGCAAATTTTACGCAGAGAGAGAGAGAGAGAGAGAGAGAGAGAGAGAGAGGGAGAGAGGGAGAGAAGGAGAGAGGAGAGAGAGAAAGAGAGAAAGAGAGAGAGAGGGAGAGAGAGAAGAGGGGGTCAACCCCAGCCAAAACATCCAATTGCTTACGCAATACATTTCAGTGCCCTGGGACACATTTCCACCCCCAACATTCCTGGCATTTCTTGTCTCATTTTCCACCCTTTTCTTTTCTAAAAATAGCGCAAATTGTATTTTAAAAAATACTATGCTGGATTTGCTTTTCTTTTTTATGATTTGTCTTTTTTGGCATCTTTTTATCTTGGCGTCAGCTTTCTAAACCCATTTTTTTCGGGAAAAATTCGAATTTTCAGGAAGAATACGTAATTTTCGACGAATTCGAAGAGGGCTACGGTAAGGCAAAAACACCTCAATTAAAAAAAAATATTCAAACATTTAATTTAGACAAAAATCGAAAAAATTGCATTTTGCGTCAACTTTCGAAATATAACAAAAATAGCTTTTTTAATGTAAAATTTAACGTAAAATTAAAGTTAAACTCACCTTGTTAAACAACCTTAAAAACGCCATAATATTTCTTCTCCTACTTTAGGGTTATTTCTAGTTTTTAAGCCCATGCAAATTACAGTAACTTGGGGGCGGGGGCGTGGCCTCTGGCCAAAACGGGGCACGCCATATCTGTCCGCCCCATCTGCCGACGGGCACATTGGGGCCTTGGGGTAAAATTTGAATATTCCGCAAATGGCTTGACCTTTATTGACCCCCGCATTTTCAGATTTTGCAGACGTTGACATCATTTCGATGCGCACAAAAAAGAGTCAGAAGGCTGCCGTAAATGTCGCCGGTACGTCCTGGAAATGGCGCGGGGGTCTGTGAACATTTCTCTCCCTCTCCCTCCCTCCCTCTTTCTCTCTCTCTCTCTCTCTCTCTCTCTCTCTCTCTCACTCTCTTTCTCTCTCTATCTGTCGATCCCGCTACCTTTCGAGCTAGCGGTACTAGACTGTGAACGGGGGGTGTTCGCAGGGGAATCGTTATAAAGTTATGTTCAAAAATTGTGCGAATGCGAAGTTTTTCCAACCTTTTTTGGTTATTATTCATATATTTTTATTCCGAAAAATAGAAAAAGCTCCAGTTATCTTAATTTTATAAGTTTTTCGATCTAAAAACTGTGTAAAATGCTATTAAAATGGTCTATTTCGTTATTGGGCCGTACGGTACGTATTAGTGGGAAAATTGGCTAACCCTCGTTAACAGAACCGAGCCCTCTCTATCTCTATCTCCCTTCCTCCATCTCTCTGCCTCCCTCTCTCGCTCCCTCTCTCTCGCTCTCCCTCTCTCTCTCTCTCTCTCTCTCTCTCGCTCTCTCTCTCACTCCTCACCCGACCTCTTGTAATACTAGAGCTTTTTTAGTGGAAGACCCCCCACAGCCTGCAAGCCCTGCGACGATGAGGGCACCAGTAGGACCCGGCAAACCTCAATTCGCCCCGGTCAAAAGGCATCCAATGCTAATGGCACCTTCCACCAATCAAGCTACACAAGTTGAAGCTGCCGTGCCGCCCTATCAGGATTTTATCCAGGTGAGTTTCGGGGGGAAATTGCATGTTAAAGGGGCTGGCAAGTCAGAAATCCATAGAATTATAATTTTGGAGTTTTGTGAAGGTCCTATCTAGTTTGTTAAATCTCACGAGGTGCTTTTGCAATATCGGGGGGGGGGATTGCTTCCTGGCTAAACCAATTTTTTGTTGGAGAATATTGATTTACGGCCAGAAAATTGCAAATTCTAAGCATTTGGATATATCCGTCTCTCTCTCTCTCTCTAACAGCCTCTCTCTCTTTATCTCTATTTTTCTTTCTCTCGCTCGCTCTTTCTCTCTCTCCCTTTCTCTCTCTCTCGCTCCCTCTCTAGTACCTAACCAGGTCGCTTAAGGAACCTAAAGGCCGCCACAATTATCTAAGTTTGCAGCGCAAGCGGATGAGAAAAAAACAATCAAAATATCAAATTTTAGCACCAGCCCAGCTCGACGACGGTGATCACCATCGACGACACCGAGGAGTACGGAAGTGTGATGAGGAAAAGAATCCTCTCATCCTCCCCGGACGTGGGTTTTATGTTAAAATCGAGAACAAAAGACGAAAGAATCTCTGCTAGCCTGCCCTTTCATTCCCAAATGATCTCTGCTAGCCTGCCAATCCCTCAATTTCAGCCCGACCAGCCAACAACCTCTAGTGGCCGCACCGGGTGGAAGCGTGGCAAAATTATCTTTGAGGAGAATCTTTGCGAATTGAGGGATTTGTGGCATGATCCGAGTATCGAACGGTAAGGATCGTTTGATTTAAAGGGTCTGAAAAGCGAGAACAACCTAAGCTAACAAGGAGTGCTTTTTTTGAGTAATCTGCAAAACCTTACAAGACCTAGCTCATTCGATAGAGAATTCGATTCTGAACAAAACCCCTTTGTTCTTTTTTGCAGAATGGTATCCCTGATTTTATAAAATTAAAATACTAGTGACCGTCTCTTCCCATGAGTGCCTTTCGAGCCAAAAGAGAGGCTTTTGGGTGCAGTTTTAAAATGTTATAAAAACAGGGATAGCCATTCTGCAAAAAAGAACAATGGGGCCTTGTTCAGAATCGAATTCTCTATCGAATGAGCTAGGTCTAGTAAGGTTTTGCAGATGACTCAAAAAAAGCACTCCTTGTAAGTCTAAGCCTAATTCTAAGCCTATTTCAGTTACTTCCCTAACGAGAACGTGTGCACGCCTACCACTCCGGCAGGCCACCCACTGCTCCACGACCCAATGGCCGGTTTCCGTAGTTGCGAGGAGTGTGAGAAGCAGTGGGAGGTGGAGATGATGTACAAGTGCAAAAGCTGTGCGAAGCTGGTCTGCGCCAGGTGAGAGAGAGAGAAAGAGATAGAGAGATAGAGAGAGACAGAGAGAGACAGAGTCAGCGAGAGTGAGAGAGGCGGACATGGCTGTGAGTTGTGTCCTTTTAAACGCAAAAATTCAGATGCGCCTTCGACAGCCACCGCGACCACGAGGCGGACAAGGTGCTGACCGAGGTCCTCAAGGAGGTCGAGGACAAAGCCACCGCCAATTTTGGCGCAATTTTCGAGGGTCGACAAACAAATTTCCGGCATTTGCATGAGCGCATCTTCGAGGGGATGAAGCTGTTCAACGAGACCGGGGTGGAGAGGATCAGCGAGGTCAGTGGGGTCAATTTAAAGGGTCCGGGAAGTCCAGGAAATGACGCAAAAATGTCGAAAAGTCGAAAACTGCATAAAAACCAAAACAGAATTGTTACAGTTGGATTTTTTTACTTTTAGAAAGATAGAAATTTTGCATCTTTCCTGAGCTATTTATGGAAATTTCCCCGTTTCTGCTGATCGTTTTGGAGTCGTTGGCCAGAGTTCAAAAATGCCGACAAATCACGAAAATATCAAAAGGGAAATTTTGAATTCATTTTTGCATTCTAATCGATATTCTAAAGTAATTTTTGCTTGATTTTTGCAAGTACTAATTGTGGAAATGCCGACAATTGTCGAAAATGTCGAAAAAATCTCGAAAAATTGAAATCTATATTTTTTCGTTAAATGAAATTTTGATAAAATTTCCCGTTTTCCTCGGCAAATCCAGGATTTCTAGATTGGTCAGCAGCGCGGCTGGGCGGACGGGCTGAAGATCGCGGACAACGTTCAGGCGCAGCTGGCCGGTCTAGAGGCCGCCGTGGAGGTGTATATTCCGGTGGCCAGGAGGCTCGGGGATAAGCTAGAGGATCTGAGGGCCGCGATGACGACTACTGCGAAGACGCCAAGTAACGGAATGCCGAAGGAATGAGGCTCAGAGATATTAGAATATGGAAGAGATTGCAATAAATAGTTCTTAAATCGTTTTTACCTTGAAAACACTCTTAAACATTTGTCATGCTTGTTTTGGGGATAGAGCGAGAGAGACAGAGAGAGCGAGAGAGAGAGCGAGAGAGAGAGAGAGAGAGAGAGAGAGCAAGCACAAACCCGGGAAAAAACACTGACAAAAGGCCCAATTTGCAAAAGAGTTACCAAGCCGACACTTGTGACGAAGCTGACTAGGGATGCCTTCCAACTTACCATCGAGTTTCGACTTGAAAATTGGTGAGCTTATAGAGTTTGAGCTTGCGATTCAGATGCGCTAAAAATTTTAACAAATCGTCCATAGGCGGCTGAGATATAACAAGTTTAATTTTGGCAAAAATGCATGATTTATGCGCGCGTCGTCCCCGCCGCCCCCGAACGGGGCGTGCGGAGAAGAGGCCTCTCTGGCACCCCTCCGGCATGGCAGCGTGGCCTCGAGGTAGAGCTCTCGCTTCAAAAACTTTTGGTCGGGGGTTCAATTCCGGCCACCAACTTTTTTGAAAAAACCTTTTTAAAGCTTTTTGCCAAACTTTTTGCGATTGTTTGACGATGCTGTAGCGAAGGATGAAGAAACACAGGAAAAGCTCTGGAGCATTTCTATGAACAGAGCAAGTCATTTTATCAGATTCGAGAATCTTCACAGCCCGCTATCTTTTGATTCCGCCAGAGAATACAAAATAATAATGCAGGTAAAAAATTTGGCAAAAAGCTTTAAAAAGTTTTTTCAAAAAAAGTTGGTGGCCGGAATTGAACCCCCGACCAAAAGTTTTTGAAGCGAGAGCTCTACCTCGAGGCCACGCTGCCATGCCGGAGGGGTGCCAGAGAGGCCTCTTCTCCGCACGCCCCGTTCCGGGGCCGCGGGGACGACGCGCGCAAAAATCATGCATTTTTGCCAAAATTAAACTTGTTATATCTCAGCCGCCTATGGACGATTTGTTAACATTTTTAGCGCATCGGAATCGCAAGCTCAAACTCTATAAGCTCACCAATTTTCAAGTCGAAACTCGATGGTAAGTTGGAAGGCATCCCTAGTGAAGCCTAAGCCTAAGGTACGCCTAGCCCAAGACTCACCACTTGCAACGGCTTGAAAAGATGCGGCATCTTCAGGAAGATGATGTCCGAATTGAAGTGGTCGTTTAGGTCCATCATTTCTAAAAAAAACTGGTTAGGCAAGAGCAAGAGAGATAGAGAAAGTAGGGAGAAACAGAAAAGAGAAAAATAGAATTTTGGTATTAAAATGCAGAGTCGAAAACCATGTTGGGGTCGGTGAACAGCAGCAGACACCCTGGAATGGAAATCAATTGGGGGACCCCCTTTGGAGGGATGGACCTGGTTGATAAGATGGCCCCAAATAAGGACAGCACAACTACAAAGCAGATTTTTTTTCTCTAGCTCCCTTTCTCTCTCTCTCTCTCTCTCTCTCTCGGATTGTTTAGCCCTTAGATGGGCCCGATAAACAATGATAAAGTGACGAAATACGGGTATTGACTGGGTTGTGGTTAGCTTAGACTTAAGCTTATGCGTAGGCTTGCTAATGTAAGAGAAATTAGAAGCTCCCAAAAAAAGAGCTCGGCACTTCCTCTTCCCTTTCAAAACGCTAATTAGAGCACGGCCATAAGGAACGAGAGCTAATTTTTGTCAGCAGAGAAAGAGAGAGAGAGAGAGAGAGAGAGAGAGAGAGAGAGAGAGAGAGCGAGAGAGCGAGAGAGCGAGAGAGAGCGAGAGAGAGAGGGTGAGGGAGAGAGGGAGAGAGGAGAGAAAGACTACTAAATTGTGATACCACTCAAAAAGACTCCATGCTAGACTTAACGTTGGCGTAGGCTTAGGCTTAGCTTTAACTTCGGGCTTTGCTTACAAGCTCAGGCGTGAACTTAGGTTTGGCTTAGGCTTGGGCTTAGGTTTTAGGCTTAGGCTTAGGCTTAGGTTTGGCTTAGGCTTGGGCTTAGGTTTTAGGCTTAGGCTTTAGGCTTAGGCTTAGGCTTAGGCTTAGGCTTAGGCTTAGGCTTGGGCTTAGGCTTAGGCTTAGGCTTAGGCTTTAGGCTTAGGCTCTAGGCTTAATCTTTAGCTTAGGCTTAGGCTTAGGCGTAGGATTTGGCTTAGGCTTTCAAATCACTGTTCTTGCAGACACTTTATTCATTAAAACAGTTTTTTGCGGATTTTTGGACACTTTATTTACACCCAAATTACATATCGATAGCCGGCTGCCGATCGTTCTTTTTCGGTGTTGGTTGTGGTCGGGGCTGGCGGCTGAGGTCGTGCAGCATGTCCAACAGTTCAATCGGTGCATCCTCGTATAGCAGAGATCCGATCGGCTGAGTTCCATTCATCCACGCGAATGCTCCACAATAGTTAAGATTCGCGCCTTGCGCTGAAACGAGTCAGATTAAGTTTTTGGTTGAAAACCTATAAAAATATCCAAAAAAATGTCCAAAATTTTCTCAAAATTCTCAATTTAAAAAAATTTGTATATGTTTCCAGCATTTAAAAACTACTAAAGACACTCTAAAAGTAGTCTCTCTATCTCTCTCTCCCTCTCTCTCTCTCGCTCTCTCTCTCTCTATCTCTCTCTATCTCTCTCTATCTCTCTCTCTCTCTCTCTCTCTCTCTCTCTTTCTTGCACTCTCTTTGACTTTCTCTCACGAAATAAAGGTATGGCCGGAAATAGCCGACGATCTAACTTACGGTCAAGCTCGAAAGTTACTTACTGGCCACCAGGTATCGCTGGGATTTGAATAGCTCAACGTCATTTGACACCAGCATCCACGGGACAAGGGGGCCTTTATAACTGTGTTCCTCATTGATGTGGATCGCCCAGGTGCCGCTCTGCTGCTGGTAGATGGACTCGGACACTTCCACGATGCCAACTGAAACATAGCATGAGAGAGAAAGAGAGAAAGAGTGAGAGCGGGAGAGAGAGGGAAATAGAGACTGAAAAAGTTAAAGCAAAAGAACATGAGCGAGAAACAAGAGAACGAGAGAGATAGAGAGAGAAAGAGAGCGAGAGAGAGAGAGAGAGAGGGAGAGAGAGTGAGAGAGAGAGAGAGACAACTTACCATAGTCAGCCGCTTCATATGTGTCCAGCCAGCTTGTCGGCTTACAGACGGGCAGATCGACTGCAAAATCAGATTTTAGTTTTTTTTTTCATTTATCCAATAAGATCCTAATTTTATTACTATCTAGTACTCAGTATCTATTACTATTTATGTCTCAAGTGGAAAACGATCTAAACAACTTTGAAAATTTTTGATCGAAAATCGGACATTTTTTGGCGGAAAACTCTGCATTTTTTTGTGATTTTTATAAAGCCTTGTCAAAGATCTGCCTTTAGAGATAGAACAAAAAACAGTTTTCTTGCTGGATTTGTATTAGAAAAACTGGGACGTAAGGAAAAACAAGCTTCACCAATCTTAGGCTGAAGCTTAGTCTCGGCTTATCTTACTAGGGAAGCCCGTATAAACCCGGATCATCACCCGGTTGTCCAAATTCGCCACTGAGCTTTAAAACTCGAGATATTGAAGTTTTAGTGTCGATTTTGGCCACCGAGAAACGTTTTGCCATGATGCCGTTCTTTTTTATTGTGAAGTTCTAATTTATTTGAAGTAGCCGATCTAAAAGAGAATTTTTTCTGATGTGAATGGTATATTTCATTAACGTAGGCTTTGTCTAAACGACGTGTTACAGCTCTTTTCACTATTTCCCATACAAAATCAGATGTCCATACCAAGTATCGTCAATTTTTCCAATTTTTCGAGTTTTTGAAAATTATGTGTTAGGGAGCTGATTCAAAAGAGCAAAATATTCTGAATACGATGGCGATATTTATTTTTGCAAAATCGGCCGGGAAGATCAAAATAATCGAGCATGAAGTTTGACGATTTTAACCAAAGGATCACGTTAAAAGTGGCATATCTCGAGTTTTAACAATCATTAGCAAATTTGGACAACGAGGTGGTGATCAGCGTGGTCGATTCTAGCTGTGTGCAAATTTTCATCCAATTCTGAGTCCGGTCTATATTCGGGCTTCCCTAGTTAGCCTTTGGCTTGAGTTTAGGCTTGAGCTTGGGCTTAGCTTGGGTTTGAGTGAGGCTTGAGCTTCGGATTCGCATAGGCTTCGTTTTAGGCTTGTTAGGCCAGGGCTTAAACTTGGCTTAGGCCTTTCTTCGCTAATTTTTCGGACGTTCCCGCTAACATACCGGCTGGCGTTTGAAACAAGCAGGGCGGCCGCGGCAATGCGGGTAACACGGCGGTCGGGGCCTTGGTATCGTTATAGGCGGCGAAGAAGTCGGCATCTGTGTTGTTTATTGGCTCTATTTGCGGCTGACGGCTGAGGTCGTGCAGCGCCTCCAGCAGCTCAATCGGTACATCCTCGAGTAGTAGCGCTCCGGCAGGTGATGTCCCGTTTCTCAGCGCAAACGCTCCGCAATAGTCCAGTAGTCGGTGGTAGCGCCATGAAATCAGATTATATTGATCGTCCTATGGCTCCGAATTTCAAGCTGTGTTTTATGCGGCATCACTCACCGGTGATAAGGTATCGCTGACCGACGAATGGTTGTTCATAACGTGTCCATAGACACTTTGCTTGGTCTAGGCCCTTGTATGTCCGCACCGCCCGGAACTCGAGATTTCCTAATGTCATTTGACCCCCTGGTGGGGCTACGGACTCGGCCACTTCCACTATACCCACTGAAACAGAGATTGATTAACATGAAGGAAAGAGAGAGAAAGAGCGAGAGAGCGAGAGAGAGTGAGAGGGAGAGAGAGAGAGAGAGAGAGAGAGAGAGAGAGAGAACGAACTAGATAGCCGGAGAGCGAGCTAGAGTGAGAGAGTTAGAGAGAGAGACGGAGCGAGAAAGTGATAGAGAAAGATGGAGAGAACGAGAGGTAGAGAGAGAGAGACAGAGAGAAAGAGAGAGAGAGAGAGAGAGAGAGAGAGAGAGAGAGTGAGTGAGAGAGAGAGAGAGACGTGACAAGACAGGAGTGAAGGCAAACCACAAACCGTAGGTGGCTTGTTCGTACGTCTCCTCCCAGCTGATCGGCTTGCAGGCGGGCAGATGAGCTGCAAAATTCGTGGTCGACCAGTCATCAATTGTGTGCTGGACCAGTTTTATAACACTGCAGTTTTTATACATCAAAAGCTCACAGAAAAAAAAAATATAAATTCTAGAAGACTTTGATTTTTTGGTAAAATTGTATGAAAAATGATCAAAAAAAGGTCAAAGTTTTTGAATTTTCAGGAATTTTTAGCTTTTCTAACTTTCAAGCAATCAGAACTCAATTAATTTTCCTCGGATTAACCCCCTCCGTCCCCCCCCGCGCTAACAGCCCAGTACCTAAACATAATGATCATGACTCACCGGGAGGGGTGACGAAGTAGCAAGGCCTCCGGGGCCTTTGCTGCTTTGGTGGTTGGATTTCTGCAGAAGCAAGTGGAAGAAGCAGAAGCAGCAGGAGGGGCAGCATTCCTAGAAGGGTGATTCTGGATGTGGGGTGTGCAATGGACAACAAATTGGCTTTGCAACGGTATTTAGCGCGGAATTGGGGCGATGGAGCGAGATAGGATATGCAGAATATGAGGAGGAGGAGGGGCTACTCTCACTCGCCTTACAAGGGAAGGGCACATGCACAGGCTGGAATTTCGAAAAACGCTCGCGGCTATCCCGGGGTAATCGACTACGGAGAACACGATGCTATCGTCCGATTTTCCTGCCGAGGCTTGTGGACAGAGATATAGCACTTCCGGAAAATCATGATTTCATGCGAAAAATTAGAATCCGGGGAAGCTTTATTAGGCTCTCCCATCAGTATGCAATCACCAGTCGGGTAGTCGATTGGTAAGCAACTCGCTTGGTAGGATACTGACGAGGGTACGGGCCCGCTCGTGCTTTTTTCGTGTTGCTCTTTGACAAAATTTTTTTGCACAAGTCCAGAACCATTCCTAAATGTGTAAAAAGACGCCTTTGTGGCCCTGTAATACGTCTAACCAGCAAAGAAAAACTTTTTCGAAAATTTTATTTTTGCGATCTTTCGGGCACCCCACCCACCGGCTTATCAAATTCAAAAATCTGGACAATTTTTATAAAAGTGCTGTCTAACCAACTTGCCAGGGCCGTGCAACAGGATAAGGTGCTACAAAACCAAAGGAGGGCGTGACGCTTGGCTTCTGCAAAAATTTTCCCGCAGAATTTTTGATCGTTTGGCAGCCGATGGGTGGAGGGTCGGAAAATAAAATTTTCGAAAAAGTTTTTCTTTGCTTGGTAGACGTATTACAGGGCCACAAAGGCGTCTTTTTACACATTTAGGAATGGTTCTGGACTTGTGCAAAAAAATTTTGTCAAAAATCAAAACGAAAAAATCGCGAGCGGGCCCGTACCCTCGTCAGTATCCTACCAAGCGAGTTGCTTACCAATCGGCCACTCGACTGGTGATTGCATACTGATGGGAGAGCCTAATAAAGCTTCCCCGGATTCTAATTTTTCGCATGCAAATCATGATTTTCCGGAAGTGCTATATCTCTGTCCACAAGCCTCGGCAGGAAAATCGGACGATAGCATCGTGTTCTCCGTAGTCGATTACCCCGGGATAGCCGCGAGCGTTTTTCGAAATTCCAGCCTGTGCATGTGCCCTTCCCTTGTTAGAAAGGTCAGATGCCGAGCGTAGATATGCTTAGGATTTGCATATCCGGGTGGTTGCGTAGTTGGCCGTTAAAATGGCTAATTAGAAAGGAGAGCTTAATTTTGTGAGCTACGAAGTGAGAGAGCGAGAGAGAGATAGAGCTAGAGGGGGAGAGATAGAGAAAGCTATACAAAGGAGAGCGATAGAGAGGGGAAAAGAGAGAGCGAGAGAGAGAGAGAGAGAGAGCGACAGAGACAGAGCGAAACCTAGAAACAGCTAGAAACGGGTGGCTGACGATTGGATAAGCATTAATGGGAGACTAATGGCCAGATGTTTTCATCTAATCGTCGACGTTATCATCCGACCTCAAGGTATGCGCTTTATTTCCCAACCATTCTTCGAAATTTGAACCATCCATAAAGCATCTTTGATAGCTTGGGCTTAGGCTTAGCTTAGGCTTAGCTTAGGCTTAGCTTAGGCTTAGCTTAGGCTTAGCTTAGGCTTAGCTTAGGTTTAGCTTAGGCTTAGCTTAGGCTTAGCTTAGGCTTAGCTTAGGTTTAGCTTAGGCTTAGCTTAGGCTTAGGTTTAGGGTTCTGGGCATCTTCCCTAGCCTACCGCAATGAGTCATGCTCCGCTTTCCCCCCTCTTGTCGCTCTGACTAAGGCAGACCGTCCCTCCATTTCCGCGCAGTATTTCCCCATCTTTTTTTTCTGTACTTTCCTGTTGCCCTCCTCCCCTCTCTTTTTTTGGCGGACCAACCGGCCAGCCAGGCCGCGCAAAGGATTGATTCATTCTGGAATTTTCTGGCCTAACCTTAACCTTCCAAATATCCTATTCTTAATAATCTAAATAACTTTAGCTAAAAATTATATTTAATTTATGGCTACGTAAAAAGGCTATTTTTATGTCCTAATGTTATCCTGTCTTCGTTGCGTAATCTTTTAATACTTTTTTATGCTTTATTTAAGGTTGTTCTTTCTACTATGCGATGAATTTTTTGTCTATGATTTCTCTTACATATAAATTTCGTAATGTTGAGTTTGATTTTAATTGCGTAATGTTTTTGCCGATCGTTTTTGTGCGATTTCCACGTCGTATAGCTGGGAATACAGGTCGTAATTGTTCCGCCAACCTCAATTTCATGGCGTAACCGGTTCATCAAAGCCACCCATTCATTTTTAAAACTTTCTAAATACCCGTCGTAATGTATTGCGCATTTTTCGACCACATTTTGACTTGCAACTTTTAATAAAAAACAGCGAATATCGGCCGTACTTGATTATTGGTTGATTAAATGGCGGAAGCGTTTCCATATTGGTCATTTTTGTGGGGGCTAGATGATTTCGATTCCGATCTCTCTCTCTCTCTCTCTCTCTCTCTCTCTCTCTCTCTTTCTCTGTCTCTATCTCCCTCTCACTCACTCTCGTTCTCCTGCTTTCTAATTACCATTTAAATTCCCAAATATTCCATTCCCCAGCGTTCTCGCGAGTCCAATTACCCAAAATGGTTTCCCAGACAACCCTTTTGCTCCCTTTTTCGATGCATAATTTCCAAAACCTTGGAAACCGAGAGGACGAGAGGTGAATAATTAGAATCTGAAATGTTCTAGCAACAAAATGTTGAGCCCAGATTCAATTTTTGACTCGGATTTTAGGGGTGTCAGTCGATCTTGGTGTCGCCATCCCTTTAAAAATGTAATCTTGCGTTACACACGTCTCTCTCTCTCGCTCTCTCGCTTTCTCCCGCTCTCTCTCTCTCTCTCGCTTCTAAAACTATTTTGCAGCCAAAACATGGAAGAAAAGCCGATGGAAATGCGCGTGGAGTCAGGCTCGGAAAGCGGCAACGAGCCGCAGCAGTCCGAGCCAATCCTGGTCTCGCTAGGTAAGCTTTGAATCACTGCAGACCGGGCATACTAGCAGAGGTTATTGGGGAAATCGAAAAACCCCGAAATTCAACGATTCACAGGTAGCCTAGCAGAGCTCCTTGGATAAAATGGCTTCGAAAAACCGATTCTTGAAAAACTTCCTGAATTTCCGTAGTAAAGTTCAGCATTCCAGGGCAACCTAGCAGAGATTATTTAGGAGAGTGGGGTCAAGACTTAAAATCTCGACATTCAAAATACCGACAACCAAAATTCCACCATGTAAAATAGCGGTTTAAAAGGCGCCTAGAGCCATGGATATTTCGGAATTTTGAACTGTCGGGATTATTGCTGTCGGGATTTTGGTTTGGTTGTTTCGCCTTTCGGGATTCTGGCTGTCGGGCTTCTGCATGTCGAAAATTTGGCTGTCCAGATTTTGGCTGTCGGCATTTTGCTTGGAATTCAACCCTTACAAGTCCCTTTAAAAGAGACCACCCAAACTTTTCTGGCTTTCGACACTAGGGGCCCAGTCAGCGGGGGGCTTTTCTCCCCCTCTTCCAGAGATCCCGGGCCCCCGCTTGGCTTTTTGTTTTCCCTTCTCTCTCTATGTTTCTCTCTCCCTCGCTCTATCCCTCTCTTTCTCTCGCGACTCGGTTGTCTCTCCACACTCTCGCCCCAAAGGGTCCCGGGGCCCGACGACGATATGCGAGTTACCCGATATTGTTCGAGGGCCAGAATTCGCTGGAATTTCGCAATTTTCGCGATTTTTTTCGTTTTATCGGTTTTTGCTTATTTTCTCTACATTTCTATTTGTATTCCCTGACTTTAAAATAATACTATCAATATCAATTTGTTCGTTTTTGAAAGATTAGGAACTTCCCGAGTCTTTTCAATAAAGAATCCCTGCTGGCTTGCCCCTGGAAAATTCTCCAAAAATCTCTGCTAGTTGGCCGTTCGCTTTACGCAAAATTCTTTTTTTTCTGATTTCTGTGAAATGATACGAAATGATGAACGTTTTCTGAACCATTGCCAAAAAACTGCTATCCTGCACTCAGGGGCGTAGCCAGAAAAAAATTTCGGGGGGCCCCGAAAACATTTTTCCAAAAAACTCAAAACATTGCCGAAAAAACAGCGCCGCAGGCAAAAATTTTTGAAAAAAAGTTTGCATAGCTCGGCAAATAGCCGTAAAAAGTGAAAAAATAGCGCCGCAGGCAGCAAAATTTTTGAGAAAATAAAAATCATAAGGGTCCCCCCTTATGAAATTTTCGGGCCCCGGCCGATTTCGGGGGCCCGGGCCCCCGGGGCCTGTATTACGCTACGTCCCTGCCTGCACTAAGACATTCCCTAAAAAAACCCTGCTAGTTGCCTTGGTTTCCCAAAGGATTTCTGCTAGTTTGATTCGGTAGCTTTTTTTGGTTTTAAGCGTGAACTAACATTTTTCTGCTTTTCAGATTCCTTAAAACACGGGTTCTTCGAGAGCGCGGACAGCGTGACGATCCGGCTGACGCACAAGTACGGTTATTCAGTATTTTCTCTCTCGCTCTCTCTCTCTATCTCTCTCTATCTTTCTCTCTCTCTATCTCTATCTCTCTCCACCTCGGGCTCTCTGTGCTCTCTCTCTCTCTCTAGCCCCAATTTTCTAGACAAATCGACATCGAGGAAGTGATCGCCCATCCTGACAGCGTGGAAATCCACTTCAGCTCAAGGTTAGTGATTTTCCGAATTCAAGGGCATGCTAGCAGAGATCCTTAGAGAAAAAAACAGGCTAGCAGAGATCATTTGGGAAAGGACTATGTCTTCATCTCCCCCGTTAATCCCCCCAAAATTCATCAGCCCCAGGATGGAAACTTGGTGGCTAATTGGGAGGAGGTGAAGAGGAGAGAGGGCGTTGCCCTGGGCACCCGAAATTACGGGGGGGATTCCCATCGAAAAAGGGGGGAGGACGAGGTGGCCTATATTGTTATCGTTACGATTCGAAGTGCATGCACCATTTCAAAACACCGCCCCTCTAATTCCATTTTTTTCTGCTGCTTTTATTCTATCGATGTCTAACTGTCACAAGCTGTTTAAAATTTATCTAGGTGGCACTATCCCTTTAAATTTTCATTTCGGCTGTCACTATGCCTTTAGCTCCCCGAAAATGCCCTCGGGGCACAAAATTGGGGTGGGGAAACTCCAGGGGGTGGGGTGGGGGATCATCCATTCCTTTCGGTCGGCACCTCAGCTTTGTGTAAAATTAGAGAGAGAGAGAGAGAGAGAGAGAGAGAGAGAGAGAGCACTAGGACCCAGAGGAGATCCCAGTGTATGTGTGTGTGCGTGTGTGTGTAATCCAAATGGTGTCCGCCCCAGTTTGCCCCGCCGACTGGAAGCTTCTCCCCCATTTTTTCTTTGTATTTTTACCGTCGGCCCGGAAGAGTCGAGTGGCTCTCTCTCTCTCTTTCTCTCTCTCTCTCGCTTCCAGGATGAAACCCTCTGGACGAACGGCGCTGATTATCGATCTTAGGGCCGATATTCCTGGATATCTTTTCCGCTCGTCTTCCTAAAGCCCTAGTTTCTCGGTTTTACGCAAGAATTTCTGCTAGTCTGCCCCTTCCATTCCCAAATGATCTCTGCTAGCCTGCCCCTTCCATTCCCAAATGATCTCTGCTAGCCTGCCCCTTCCATTCCCAAATGATCTCTGCTAGCCTGCCCCTTCCATTCCCAAATGATCTCTGCTAGCCTGCCCCTTCCATTCCCAAATGATCTCTGCTAGCCTGCCCCTTCCATTCCCAAATGATCTCTGCTAGCCTGCCCCTTCCATTCCCAAATGATCTCTGCTAGCCTGCCCCTTCCATTCCCAAATGATCTCTGCTAGCCTGCCCCTTCCATTCCCAAATGATCTCTGCTAGCCTGCCCCTTCCATTCCCAAATGATCTCTGCTAGCCTGCCCCTTCCATTCCCAAATGATCTCTGCTAGCCTGCCCCTTCCATTCCCAAATGATCTCTGCTAGCCTGCCCCTTCCATTCCCAAATGATCTCTGCTAGCCTGCCCCTTCCATTCCCAAATGATCTCTGCTAGCCTGCCCCTTCCATTCCCAAATGATCTCTGCTAGCCTGCCCCTTCCATTCCCAAATGATCTCTGCTAGCCTGCCCCTTCCATTCCCAAATGATCTCTGCTAGCCTGCCCCTTCCATTCCCAAATGATCTCTGCTAGCCTGCCCCTTCCATTCCCAAATGATCTCTGCTAGCCTGCCCCTTCCATTCCCAAATGATCTCTGCTAGCCTACCTTAGGTTTCCTAAATAATCTCCGCCAGCCTGCCTGGCGTTTCCTCAAGAATCTCTGCTGGCTGCCCTGGTTTCACCAAGAACCGTTTCCGACCGTTTTCCGTTTCGCACCCAGCTGTTTTAAATCTTGTCGCACATGGTTTAGCTCTGGGTGTCAGATGTTTTTGCTAGCTAAATGCCAACTCAGTTTCGAAGAAAGAGCGAGAGAGAGAGGGGGAGAGCGAGAGAGAGAGAGAGAAACGCGAGGTTAGGTGTCTTGACAAGAAAAACGTGGGCCAAGCTGTAATCAACTGTCTTATCCCCCTAAAATCCCAAAATTACAACATTTTTCATTTTTCATATTTTTGGGATAGGGGACCTTCGTGGCATTGTCCCTTTAAAACCCAAATACCGTAAATCATCGATTCTTATAGTAATCCTGATGACCGCCTGCTAAACCGCTACGCGCCACTACGCCCCTCTGAACCCCAGAAATTTGTTTGGCACTGTGAATTGGCCGGAGAAATCGAGCCGGATACTGTCGAGGTGGGTGAGAGACAGTGGGAGAGGGCGAGAGAGAGAGAGAGAGAGAGAGAAACGAGTACTTTGTAGTTCAACGGAAAGGAGCTGAAAATGCGCAAATCTGAATCCGGAACGTCGTGGAGTCGGCTGTCCTCGTCGACGTCGTCGATCCGCGGCTCCAACTACACGCCGAGCCGCAGTTATGGTAGCAGGTGCGCGGTTTAGAGGAGTTTGAAGGGACCTGGAAGTCAAAATCCTTAACCCGAATTAGGTATCTATGAATTTGGAAGTTTTTTAGCCTCTCCTCCTACCGCTACACTCCGTCCTACACGTCACCCCAGAGCTACAGTACCCCGTATGGGGGCGGAAGCGGATCGGCGACAGCTGATAGATCATTGACCCGCTCCTCTACCACGCACTCGGCTACGAGCCGCTCCTTAACGCGATCCGAGTCCGGCGGACTGTCCAGTGGATTGGGGCGGACTACGTCGAGCACTGTCACACCTTCGTATCATAGGTGAGCTGAAGCAAGTTAGCAAAGATAATTTGGGAATGGAAGGGGCAGGCTAGCAGAATTCATTTGGGAATGGAAGGGGCAGGCTAGCAGAATTCATTTGGGAATGGAAGGGGCAGGCTAGCAGAGATCATTTGGGAATGGAAGGGGCAGGCTAGCAGAGATCATTTGGGAATGGCAGGGGCAGCCTAGCAGAGATCATTTGGAGATCCAGATGATTAAAACCGATATTTTTCAGCTCCCGCTACTCCTCCTCCGCGTCGAGCACCAGGACGCCATACTCCTCTTCCACCTACAGTACTCCATCATCATATCAACGCGATTCGTCGTTCAGCCGGAATGCTCCGGAAAGGGAGTCGTACGCCTCGAGGACGCTGGAGAGGTGAGAGTTCTCCCAAGATTTCTACTAGCCATTCTCATGTGACCTCTGCTAACCCACCTGGTTCCATCTCTCGCTTCACCGTCCCTTTAAAATTATTTATAGGACCCGGGACACCTCGTATGCGGGCCAGGCGAGCATGAGCCAGTCGACGGACGTGCAGAGCATTCTGAACAGCCCGAAGACCGTGTCGGCCAAGGACCACCTCGGCAGGCCGAGGGCTTCGTCTCAGATTATCACATCCGGCTATAGGTTCGTTTTAAAGGGGCTGGGAAGGCAAAATGGTAATGTGAAATCCCGAGAACGTAAAAATCATTTCTAAAAACCTTTAATTCATAGTTTTTCGCGTTTTTATATTTTTTAAAATGTCGGAAAAATGCTGATTTCAGGGGCCCATCAATTCGGAGCTACAATAAGCAAGCCACAGCTCGTGCTAATCGGGAGCTCGAGGAGAATGAGTACCGCCAGTGGGAGGATAGGGAGAGGATTCGAAGTGAAATTGGTGCGTCTCCCTCCCTTTCTCTCTCTCCCTCTCAATCTCTCTCACGCTCGCTCTCTCTCTAAATTTACGACTTCATTCAGAATTCCAACGTACGCCTTCGCCAGCCCGTGGCTCAGACCAGGCCACCAGGGCATCGGCGGCCCAATCCGAGCTGGAGGAAGCGATCCGCGGACGCAATTTGACCCCCTCCATGTCGCAGGTTGGTAGCTGTTCCGCATTTGTGTCTGCGAGCCTGCCCTTTCCATTCCCCAAATGATCTCTGCTAGTCTGCCACTTCCATTCCCAAATGATCTCTGCTAGCCTGCCCCTTCCATTCCCAAATGATCTCTGCTAGCCTGCCCCTTCCATTCCCAAATGATCTCTGCTAGCCTGCCCCTTCCATTCCCAAATGATCTCTGCTAGCCTGCCCCTTCCATTCCCAAATGATCTCTGCTAGCCTGCCCCTTTCATTCCCAAATGATCTCTGCTAGCCTGCCCCTTCCATTCCCAAATGATCTCTGCTAGCCTGCCCCTTCCATTCCCAAATGATCTCTGCTAGCCTGCCCCTTCCATTCCCAAATGATCTCTGCTAGCCTGCTCCTTCCATTCCCAAATGATCTCTGCTAGCCTACCTTTCTCTTTCAAGCAACTACGAAAATTTCCAGATGTCACTCCGCACCACCACTCCCATCCCCGCCTCGAAGACCGGGCACCATGTTAGGTGGGAGGACAAGTGGGAGCGCGAGTCGGCGCTCAGGCAGTTGAGCCCCAGGAGAGCGGAAGGAATCGAGGAGAAAGGTATGAAAAAAAGGTTTACGCTAGTTATAAAGGAACCTGGAAGGCAGAATCCATGAACCAAGCCAAACGAAGCCAAGCCTAAGCTGAGCCTAAGCAACGCAAGATAAGCATCAGCCTAAGCCAGGCTGCGGTATACGCTCGGCTTGGGCTTAGGGGTAATTTTCGCGTGGGCTTGACGTTTTGAATTGCTTAGGCTTAGGTTTTGGCTTTGGCTTCGGTTTAGGCTTGGTTTCGGCTTTGGTTTCGGCTTAGGCGTAGGCCTAACCTTAGGCTTAAGCTTAGGCTTAAGCTTAGGCTTAAGCTCAGATTTTTCATTAAACCTCTTAAGGACCCTTGAAGGGAAAATGTATATGTTTTTTTGCAGAACCCGACCACCTAAACGGAAACCTCAACCTCCCAGCCTTAAACGGCAACCTGCGCAGCTCGACGACGCTCGACAACCTGCACCTGAAGGGGTGGAGGGACGAGGAGGAGGAGGCGACGAGGGCCGCCTCCAAAATTCCGCAACCACCCGCCCTGCCACAGTATCTGCACGGAACGGTGGGTCCCGTAGCGATTCCTGAATGTCCTCAAGGGTTACCGCTAGTTTGCCAGTGCTTGCTTTGTACATTCTAGATTATCTGGTTCCCATTCCCTTTAAAACCCCGCTCTATTCCAGACGCCCGCGACGCGTGCCGCTCCCGCAGAGGCGGAAGCGCTAAAGGGAGCTGTTGCTCGGTCCCCGTCTCCGCCAGCTCGTTCGTACCTGAAGAAAGAGGTCGTCCACCGCGACCTCGTCGCCGAGTACACACGAAAACCCACGGCAAAGGTGCGCGGGCGGATCGCTCTGATCAAATATGGAACGGCCGGCGAGCGCCAGATGCCGCTCCCATTCCCGATGGGGTGAAAAGGCGGCCTTTGGTGTTACTGTCCCTTTAAAGGTGCTAGGAAGGGCAGCAATCGACCCTTTTCGTTTGCTAGGTCTCGACAGATATACCGGCTTAGGCTTAGGCTTAGGCTTAGCTTAGGCTTGGCTTAAGCTTCTGCTTAGCTTGGGCCTAGTGGGCTTTTTAAGTGTCTCGTAACTGTCGAGACCTAGTCGATGGAGGGGTCGATTCTCGCGCCTCCTGATCCCTTTAAAGGAACGTTTCAGGTGCCCGATATTTTCTCTAGTTCTCCACTTTTCTCTCTTGCACAATCTTGCCTCATTTTCTCTCCTGGCACCATCCCTTTAAACTAAAAAAAAAACCATTTTTTAATTTTTGAACGTTCAATATGAAATTTTCAGGACAATAAATTTTCAGGACTTTTAAACTTCAAAAAAATTAGCAATTTGATAAATTTTAATTTTCTCGATTTTCGAATTTTTTAAAAGCGAAAAATACCAGTTTAATTCCAAAACAAAATTTCCATTACGTCCGATTTCCACCTCCTAGGCTTTCAAAAATGAACATCAACTTCCCGGTGCCCCAAAAAAACTACCGTAAAAATTACCGTAACCCGTGTGACTCTTGCCAAATTTTCCAATTTTTAACCTTGCAATATTCTTCTATATCTCATAAATTCTGGTAAAATTGCAGAAATTGGCGTAGATGCATTGCAAAGCAGCGGAAAAACGAAACAAACATTCGGTGTCCCACGTCCGCGTCGCTTCTATCATTTTTTTTTCTTTTCCTATTTTCCCTATTTTTCGCTCAAAATTACCGTATCCCGATGCCTTTTTCGGGTCGACTAATCCACTGTAAATTTGCGTAAATTTGCATAATTTTCATCTTTTTCTTCGAAGCGCGCTGGACGTGTAACACTGGATGGCTTGGCGTTTTTTCGTGAGATTTGAGTGTGTATATGTAAATTAGCTTAGCTTAGGGTTAGCTTAGGCTTAGCTTAGGCTTAGCTTAGGCTTCTTAGCTTAGGCTTAGCTTAGGCTTAGCTTAGGCTTAGCTTAGGCTTAGCTTAGGCTTCTTAGCTTAGGCTTAGCTTAGGTTTAGCTTAGGCTTAGCTTAGGCTTAGCTTAGGCTTCGGTTTGAGCTTGGGCGTAGGCGTAGGCATAAGCTTAGGCTAGGCTTCCGCTTGAGCTTAGGCGTGTGCGTAGGCTTAGGCGAGGCTTAGGCCTGGGTTTGGCTAAGGCTTAGGCTTACAAGGGAACCACAAGTTGGCACGGTGGAATTTCGAAAAACGCTCGCGGCTACCCCTAGGTTTTCGACGACGGCGATTCCAACGCGCTAGTCAGAATTAGCTAAATCGACCTGTGGACAGAGATACATCACTTCCGGAAAAAGGTCGATTTACATTCGGAGGAATTAGCATTCACCTCAGGGTTTATGAGGACTTCCCATCTCAGAAGAATCACCGGTTGAATGGCTGGGTGGCAGGCGGCTCGCTTGTTAGGATACTGACCAGGGTTCGAATCCGTTCACGCCTTTTTTATGTTTTGCGTTTTGGACGGAACTTTTAGCAAAACCACAAGCTTCTTATAAGCTACTCGTTCGTTTCAAGGGGTCGTCGCATAAGATGCAATTTCAAAACGTTTTTGAAGGAATCGGCCTCATCACCAACGAATAAAAGATTTACTATGTGAAAAAAAATCGAAACTTCCCTCCAAAAAGCAAAACAAAAAAGTCGTGAAGGGATTCGAACCCTGGGCAGTATTCTAACAAGCTAGCCGCTTGCCACCCAGCCATTCAACTGGTGATTCTTCTGAGATGGGAAGCCCTCATAAACCCTGAGGTGAATGCTAATTCCTCCGAATGTAAATTGGCCATTTTCCGGAAGTGCTGTATCTCTGTCCACAGGTCGATTTAGCTAATTCTGACTAGCGCGTTGGAATCGCCGTCGTCGAAAACCTAGGGGTAGCCGCGAGCGTTTTTCGAAATTCCACCGTGCCAACTTGTGGTTCCCTTGTTAGCTTCGCTTCGGATTAACGTACAAATATCTATCAACACACTCTCCAAAATTCCAGCTGGATCCCCAAGAAATCCTGTCGGTTCCTACCACTACGAAACGCGGCATTCCAATAGTTCAGGTCGCGGCTCCCCCTAATTTGCATATGAGATTGGCGCTAACCCTAAATGTGTCTAAAGGGACTGCGAAGGCAAACTAACGTATGATTTCCATAGATTTTGCCTTCATGGTCCCTTTAAAACGTAACTAAACCCCGGTTTTTTATGCCGAGTCGTTTCATTAATGCACAGAGCGATTTCAGGGGCCATATAGATGACCGGAAAAAATACAAATCGGCCCCGGTCCCGTGACGGCATGAATTTTATGTTGATTTTTGAAGTGCATACTGTACTTTTGAACGTATTTAGGTGTCCCCGTACGCGGAGAGCGGTCACGTCGTCGAGCCCGGGTTTACTGGGCTCAGGAATTTGGGCAATACGTGTTTTATGAACGCTACGCTGCAGGTAAGTATTTCCTTGCGAGCACGGTAACGTTGGGTTACTGTAGAGCACGTTAAAATGGCATTCTGGCTGTCACCATCCCTTTAAAATCACTTTCTAGCTGTCGCCACCCCTTTAAAACCAAGGAAACCTTTTTTCAGATGCTGGTCAACTGCGCGGAGTTGAAGGCCTACTTCCTCAGCGACCTCTACAAGCAGGACGTCAACGAGCACAACGTGCTTGGATTTGGGGTGAATTTTCTACTGTCACACTCCCTTAAAAGGCCCAAACGTCGCAAAATCGACCCCTTCATCGACTGGGTCTAGACAGCCGTTGGAAAAAACGTGGAAACCTGATTAAAAAACGCCTAGAATCTTTCATTTTAAAATAAAAAACTGCAGCACGCTTGCAGACGTTTTTGACGTTTTTCGTGGCTGTCTAGACCTAGTGGAGGACCGGGGTAGATTTTGGGCCTGCTGGCACCCTTAAAAATGCATCTGAGGTCTGCACGTAAAAGTGGCGCAATCAATTAAGCAATGAAAATGAGGGCGTGATCAAATCCATAAGGAATTAAATGTCATGCTCCCTTTAAAGGAAGCAGCAACCCGAGAATCGACCCCTTTCCTCCGCTAGGTCTCGACAGCCACGCGGCAATCCAAATGACGCGTCTCAAACCACATATTGTTAGCGTTTTTAGGCTTACTGTCAAGACCTAGTGGAGGACCTGGGTAGATTTTGGGCTTGCTGATACCTTTAAGCCCCAAAATTTCAGGGTCGCCTCGCCCGCGCGTTCGCCCAGTTCCTCCAACAAATGTGGTCGTGCTCCTCAAAAACTGTCGAGCCACAGCAGATCAAGGAAATTGTGGCCGAGAAAGCGTCGCAATTCGCCAACTACGCCCAACATGATGCCCAGGAATTCTTGTGCTTTCTGATTGATGGGCTGCACGAGGATCTGAATCGCTGCAGAACCAAGATGGTGACGTCGCAGGTGGAGGCGGATGGGAGGCCGGATAGAGAGGTGAGGAGAGAGAGTGAGAGAGAGAGAGAAACAGTAAGAGAGACATAGAGAGAGAGGGCGTGAGAGTGAGAGAGAGCGAGAAAGAGAGAGTGTGGGAGCGAAAGCGAGAGAGGGAGACCGAGAGAGAGGCAGACAGAGAGAGAGATACAGAGAGAGCGAGAGAGAGCGCGACAGAGAGCGCAGAGCGAGAGACAGAGAGCGAGAGTGCGAGAAACAGCTATTCTTGAAAAAACTAGAATCACCAGAACCAGGGCAGGCTGGCAGACCCCTTTGGGGGGATTCAGTGTAGGAATCCGAATACTCAAATTTCCAGGTCTCCGCCGAAGCGTGGCGCTCGTATCTACTCCGGAACAATTCGCTGATCGTCGACCTGTTTCACGGACAACTGAAGGTATACTGTAGCTTTGATTTTTCGCAAAAATTTGATTTTTAGTCCCGTTTGGAGTGTCCAAAATGCAGTCGAGTTTCCATCACGTTCGATCCATTTTTGTACTTGGCCGTGCCGTTTCCGAAGAAGAAGAAAAGCGTCAAGGTAGGAGAGAGAGGGCGAGAGAGATGGATAGAGAAAGAAAGAAATCTCAAATTCCAGGTGCACTTCTGGCCTCTCGACCCGTGCCTTCGCCCATTCCTCGTCCCCGTTTCCTTTTCCCCTGAGGGTACTGTAGCCGACTTCTTGGCCGCCGTCGGCGAGGTGGTCAAGCAGCCCGGAAAGCAGGTACTTTAGAATTTTGATGTCGCCATCGTCAAGCCAAATTTGCGCCTTGTACAGCGGTATCGCGAGACAGAGAGACAGAGTGAGAGAGGGAGAGAGAGAGAGAGAGAGACAGAGAGAGAGAGAGAGAGAGAGTGAAAAGTTGTCTTTCACCTCCCGTTTTTTTCAGTTGCGGCTCCTCGAAATCGTGCAACACCGCATCCACAAGGTCTACACAAATTCCGAGGCGACCAATTTGCTGAATGCCAACGATTTGTTATACGTGTAGGTTGTTGATAGATTGTTTTTGCGGTTTGGGGAGGGCAAGCTAGCAGAGATCATTTGGTGACAAAGTTACGGTGTTTCCAATCCCGATCGTGATTGCTTTTTACCTTCACAGACCCTTTGAACTTCAAGTTGAGCGAGCACACCTATTTTTTTTCAGGTTCCAAGTCCACGACGCGAGCGACTGGAATGAAGAGGTAGTGGAAATCTATGCCGTGCAGCGCCAGTTGTATGCCCATTCGTTAAAGTGAGTCTCTCTTCCTCCTCTCTCACACTCCAGCTCTCTCCCTCTCTCTCTCACGCTCTATCTCTCTCTCTCTCTCTCTCTCTCTCTTTCTCTCTTTATTTCTCGCTGTTTCTCTCTCTAACCTCTGGTATTCCAGATACATCTGCAACACCTGCGGGTCCACCGAAGACAAGCTGAAGGCCTGCGAAGCCTGCTACAACGCTTGGTATTGTGATCAGTAGGTTTTCTATGTCCAATTTAGGCTTAGGCCTAGGCTTAGGCTTAGGCTTAGGCTTAGGCTTAGGCTTAGGCTTAGGCTTAGGCTTAGGCTTAGGCTTAGGCTTAGGCTTAGGCTTAGGCTTAGGCTTAGGCTTAGGCTTAGGCTTAGGCTTAGGCTTAGGCTTAGGCTTAGGCTTAGGCTTAGGCTTAGGCTTAGGCTCAGGCTTAGGCTTAGGCTTAGGCTTAGGCTTAGGCTTAGGCTTAGGCTTAGGCTTAGGTGAGGCTTAAGCTTAGCCATCGCTTTTTCCAGAGATTGTCAGCTGAAAGACTGGAACGACGGAAACCACAAGACCGAGTGCGGCCGTCGGCCGATCATCGATGCAGGTATTTTTATTTCCGATCCGGGATGGGTTTCTGCTAGCGAGCCCGGCTCTGCGCAAGCTAGCAGAGACCCTTGAGCAATCGAAAATTTAGTCGGGCTCCCGATGCTGATCTCGCTGCCCCGTTCTCATTTGACGTACGCGCACTTGGCGAGGGTTTTGGACGCAAGGAGCAGGTTAGTTTCTCTCTCACGCTGTTTCTTTCTCTCTCTCTCTCTCTCTCTCTCTCTCTCTCTCTCTCTCTCTCTCTCTATCTCCCCCTTTCCAGGCATTCGATCAACGTCTTCCTGCCCCCACAGCTCAATAAGGACCCCGGTCACGAGGGCGAGCTTTCCCCGGCGCCAGGTAGATGACCAGAATTTTTTTTAGGAGCTCTGAAGGCAGCCATATCAAGCTCAAACTTAAACCGAAATTAAGCCTAATAAAAGTAGCATTTTCAGGAGAATCCGGTCTGCAAAACGGCGGCCCGTCAAGCGAGGCCCTGATTCCAAATGGGCTGGATAAAGTACGCATACTTTTTCCTCCAGGATCTCCGCTAGCCTGCCTTTTCTTTTTTCTCAAAGATCTCTGCTAGTGACCCAACGTTGGCAAATACAGATTGACAAATTCCAGAAATCCCTCTCCCCGTCAGCAAGCAGTTCGGGAAGCGAATTGCGCCGCCAGGTCATGCCCGCTCCCAGGAAAAAGGCGCCACCGGCCCTGTTTGTGCTAAAAAAGATTCGGTCGCAAAACTCGAGCGTCGGGGATACGATTCGGGAGACGACAGAAGAAGGTGAGAGAAAGAGAGAGCGAGAGGTGAGAGAGTGAGAGATACAGCAGATACGGACAGAGCGACAAAGAGAGAGAGCGAGAAATAAACAGAGAGAGAAAGCGAGAGAGAGTGAGCGAGAGAGAGATAGAGAGAGCGGCTATATTCACCTAAATGTTTCAGCCATCCTCGATTTGCCCACCGGCTCCTACGTCTCGATCAACTGGGTGAACATCAAGAACGGGAAGCCGTTCGTTGAGGTGGAGGACAAAGCCTCATTGGTATGTTTCTCTCTCTCTCTCTCGCTCTCTCACCCTCGCTCTCTCTCGCTCTCTCTCTCGCTCTCTCTCTCTCTCAATCCATTTCTACAGGCTCTTGACGAGGCCCTGACCGCCAAATACGCCCCGTCAACAACAAGCCGAAACACCGATGGAGATCCCAGCCTGGAAGACATGATCCAAATGTTCTCCGAGACCGAGAGGCTAAAACCGGAAGAATCTTGGTACTGTAGCCGGTGCAAGGACCATGTCGAAGCGACGAAGAAGTTGGAGTTGTACAGGCTGCCGCCGGTCATCATCATTCAATTGAAGAGATTTGTGTATACTGGTGAGTTTCTCTCTCTCTCTCTCTCTCTCTCTCTCTCTCTCGCTCTTCCTCACTATAACTTTTTTCAGCTTCTGCCTACGCAACATCGTCGCATCGCAGGTCAAAGGACGACAGAAGGGTCGAATACCCGCTGGCCGGGCTCGATTTAGCTCCGTATTTGGCTGAGGGAGCGGATGTTGGGCAGAATACGGTGGGTTGGAGAGAGAGAGAAAAAGACAGAGAGACAACGCGCGATAGAGAGCAAGTTAGGGAGCCGGAGTAAACTAAAGCCATAAAAATTGAATTTAGGTGTACGATTTGACGGGTGTCGTCTGTCACTCTGGCACTTCCTACTTTGGCCACTATGTATCCATTGGCAGGTTGCCAGGAATCGATGGCAGAACCACACAAATTGGTGGGTTTTTGGTGTTATGAAAGACTAGCAGAGATCATTTGGGAATGGAAGGGGCAGGCTAGCAGAGATCATTTGGGAATGGAAGGGGCAGGCTAGCAGAGATCATTTGGGAATGGAAGGGGCAGGCTAGCAGAGATCATTTTGGAATGGAAGGGGCAGGCTAGCAGAGATCATTTTGGAATGGAAGGGGCAGGCTAGCAGAGATCATTTTGGAATGGAAGGGGCAGGCTAGCAGAGATCATTTGGGAATGGAAGGGGCAGGCTAGCAGAGATCATTTGGGAATGGAAGGGGCAGGCTAGCAGAGATCATTTGGGAATGGAAGGGGCAGGCTAGCAGAGATCATTTGGGAATGGAAGGGGCAGGCTAGCAGAGATCATTTTGGAATGGAAGGGGCAGGCTAGCAGAGATCATTTTGGAATGGAAGGGGCAGGCTAGCAGAGATCATTTTGGAATGGAAGGGGCAGGCTAGCAGAGATCATTTTGGAATGGAAGGGGCAGGCTAGCAGAGATCATTTTGGAATGGAAGGGGCAGGCTAGCAGAGATCATTTGGAAATAGAAGGGGCAGGCTAGCAGAGATCATTTGGAAATAGAAGGGGCAGGCTAGCAGAGATCATTTGGGAATAGAAGGGGCAGGCTAGCAGAGATCATTTGGGAATGGAAGGGGCAGGCTAGCAGAGATCATTTTGGAATGGAAGGGGCAGGCTAGCAGAGATCATTTGGAAATAGAAGGGGCAGGCTAGCAGAGATCATTTGGGAATAGAAGGGGCAGGCTAGCAGAGATCATTTGGGAATGGAAGGGGCAGGCTAGCAGAGATCATTTTGGAATGGAAGGGGCAGGCTAGCAGAGATCATTTGGAAATAGAAGGGGCAGGCTAGCAGAGATCATTTGGAAATAGAAGGGGCAGGCTAGCAGAGATCATTTGGGAATGGAAGGGGCAGGCTAGCAGAGATCATTTGGGAATGGAAGGGGCAGGCTAGCAGAGATCATTTGGAAATAGAAGGGGCAGGCTAGCAGAGATCATTTGGGAATGGAAGGGGCAGGCTAGCAGAGATCATTTTGGAATGGAAGGGGCAGGCTAGCAGAGATCATTTGGGAATGGAAGGGGCAGGCTAGCAGAGATCATTTGGAAATAGAAGGGGCAGGCTAGCAGAGATCATTTGGGAATGGAAGGGGCAGGCTAGCAGAGATCATTTGGGAATGGAAGGGGCAGGCTAGCAGAGATCATTTGGGAATGGAAGGGGCAGGCTAGCAGAGATCATTTGGAAATAGAAGGGGCAGGCTAGCAGAGATCATTTGGGAATGGAAGGGGCAGGCTAGCAGAGATCATTTGGGAATGGAAGGGGCAGGCTAGCAGAGATCATTTGGGAATGGAAGGGGCAGGCTAGCAGAGATCATTTGGAAATAGAAGGGGCAGGCTAGCAGAGATCATTTGGGAATGGAAGGGGCAGGCTAGCAGAGATCATTTGGGAATGGAAGGGGCAGGCTAGCAGAGATCATTTGGGAATGGAAGGGGCAGGCTAGCAAAGATCATTTGGGAATGGAAGGGGCAGGCTAGCAGAGATTCATTGGGGAACGTGACTTATCCTGACCATTTTTCCAGATTGGCGTACCTTCGACGACTCTACAGTAACGCAGTGCCGACAGCCGGAAGTGCAGAGTAGCGAGGCGTACCTGCTATTTTACAAGCAACGCGGGACGGCGACTCGCGATTTGTTCCGCGAGCATTATAAGTGAGTTTTTTTGAGGAGAAGGGAGGATAACAGAGTTCCTTGGGGAAATTTTTAAGTGGACCACAAGCAGTGATCCCTAATCAATTTCCATGCAATTTTGTGCCATTTTTCAGATGCGACCCAGTGGAGGATCAAGCCCCATTCGTCGGGGGCAGACTGTAGAAGAATTTGCAGGACAATAACAATCATTTCCTACCGTATCCCTTGTTCTTTTCCGTACTTGTCCCCGTACTCCGTACTCATCGCAAACGCGTAGTGTTTCGTAGAATCTCACCCCTTGTTGTTGCTAAAGTGTCTTGAACGGACTAGGCTTCGCTTAGACTTAGGCATAGGCATAGGCTTAGGCTTAGGCTTAGGCTTAGGTTAGGCTTAGGCTTAGGCTTAGGCTTAGGCTTAGGCCAGGCATAGGCTTCAGCTTCGGCGTTTTTTGCCGGTAAGACTCTACTTTACCCCCCCCCAGACGCCCCTTTTCTCTGCGCCCTCTCCCCCAGGCCTACTATCTCTTCGCCTGCGCCCTCACCCCCAGGCCTACTATCTCGCCTGGGGGGGGGTAAAGTAGAGTTTAGCCTTTTTTGCCTGCCAAGCCCCTTTCGTCTCCCCATTTCCCCTTGAATTCCGTCCCACTCCTTTGCTCAACCCCCCGCCGCATGGTCACCAGTTTTTCGTCATTTATGGGTACCGTACTTTTCTTTGCACATTTTATCCGTACACGCCATGTAATAAACTCCTTGATTCATGCCGGGTATCATTAAAACGCCGGTATTCGTACACGCCGTCCAATCAGACAAGATTTATCCGTACACGACATGTAATCAAACAAACTTTATTCGTACACGCCATGTAATCTCGTTAAATTGCAATCGACACTGTTTTTGCGTTAATAAATGAAATTCTAAGAGTCAGTTTGAGGCTACGCGAGGCGCAGGCAGGCGTGCTTCTGGGGCACGGCAGCAGCTCCCACGTATCGTACCGCCACCGTCATCTGGAAAGTAACGTAGGCTTAGTCTTAGGCTTGGGCCTAAGCTTATACGCAAGCGCAGGCTTAGGCTTAGGCTTACGTTAGGCTGAGGCTTGGGCTTAGGCTAGGGCTCAGGCTTCGGTTTAGGCTTAGGCGTAGACTCAGGCTTAGACGTAGGCTTGGGCTTAGGTTTTGGCTTAGGTTTAGGCTTAAGCTTAGGCTTAGGCTCTAGGCTCAGGCTTTAGGCTTAGGCTTCACCGGGAGAAAATTCACCTTAACATTCGCGACGACATCGTAGACCTTGAGCCGGGCGCAGACGTGCGGCTCGGCGGGAGGGAGCGGAGGGAGCGGGAGTTTCTGAATTGCACCCATATCGGCGCGTTCTTTAGTGTTTTAGCTGGCGGTGCTAGCTATACCAAAAACATGGCACCCGCTCCCACCACTTTTTTGCGCTGCGTGCTCGACGAGTCGGTGCTGGTGGACGAGCCGGCGGCGGATCGACTGCGGCTCTGGCTTGACTAAAATCGGGCGTTAAAGCGTACAACTTAGGCTTGGGCTTAGGATTAAGCTTCCGCTCAAGGTCTGCAATTCAACCACCCACCTTATTCCCTCGCACATTCGCCTCGCGCTCGGCGCCGCAGCGCGCCGTGCGCTTCCCGGATTCGGCGCGCGAACGGCGCTGGTAGCTGCAAAAATGTGGATAAATTTTTAATAGCTTTTTGAGCCGACCGTGATCCCTTGTACTGCCAGGAGGCGCGGGCCGCCCGGATCGCTTCCTCGTCTCTAAAAAGTACTTTGGACGTTGGGCCTTTAGGTTAGAGTGCAGCCTAACCGTCCCCCAGCCGGCACCCATCTTTATCTCCGCTCCCTGTTCATCTACAGTCTACAGGTGTGTAAAGTATACCAAAATGTTCTTCTTGCTCTGGCGAGTATTTTGGTATACCTTACACACCTGTAGCTAAACAGGAAGCCGAGATCCGACCTTTATTAGAACCTACTTTCCCATGGTGGGCGTACAAGGGGAAATGAAGCTGGTGCTCCATCTTACCTACCAAATTCTGGATTATGGTAATTTCCCGTTTCACGGTGCTGTTTTTCAACCTCTTTGCATTATTGACCCACGGGAAAACGCCAAAATCCGGAGATTCAAAATACCGACAGCCAGGATCCCGACCGCCAGAAACCGCATTTAAAAACCATCTGTGCAGAAAACGACCGGAACTATCACATTTTAGCTGTCGGGATTTTGGTTGTCGAGATATTGAATGTCGGGATTATGGCTGGAATTCCGTGGCCAGCCTCAGCTCCTGAATTTCTACTATGTCGATTACCAAAAAGTAATTTATCTTATTTCCCGCCAACTTTCCGTGTAACGGCCTTCGTGTACCCCGAGACAATAAATTGTTCGAATCGAGGTTTTCTGTTAATTTTCGGATTTGACCTAAATACAACTGCCAGGCAGATGGTAGCATTTCAAGTGTGACCTTTCAGTTAGTGTGGCAGCGCAAATAGGACTGAAGCGTAGCCCCAACCCCCCTGACATTCGTAAATCGCGGCTAGTTTCGTATATCAAAATATTCAAGCTCAAAGTTCAGCCATTTTTAGCAAAAATAGATGATAAGCTTCATGACTTTTGAAAGCGAAATATTTTGCAGTTTTTGAACATAGGCTTGGGAAACAACAAAAAATTTTGCACAAGATCGTCAAGCTCCCGTTATACAATGGGTTCCAAAATGATAGGGGGAATGGCGTTTTTGACGGTTTTTTCGGCGATCTTGTATGTACGGGTAAAACCGACGGTGCTTCCTGGTTATCGGGGGTCGGTTATTTTAGCGGGGGTCGGTTGCGAACTTTTTTCTATAATATCGTGCGGCTCGGCTAATTAAAAACTGTCCGTTTTTATAGACTTGTGCGCCGTTTGAAATGGTTCTGGACTGTTAGCGGGGGAGGAGAAATTAAGAAAAACGTCATAAAACATGTTGAAAAAAAAATTTCTTTTTCGGTCTAACGTATATGAAAATGGCTAAAACCGCGCTATAACCCTAGATTTCGTGACTATAGGATAAATATTTTTATAATTTTTGATTATCGGAAGCTACTAAAACAGTATTAAAATAAACTACAATTTATCACTAGGCAGGTATAGGCTAAACGAAAAGAAGATGCCAACCGACCCCCGCTAAAATAACCGACCCCCGATAACCAGGAAGCACCAAACCGACTATTAGGCTTTGTAGTCGGGGAAAAAGCGCATCTTTTGGTCTACTTGAAAAGCTTTTAAGATGCAGGATAACGTTTTTTAAGCGATTGAATAAAAATAGGCAAAATCCTTCAAAATCAGGATCCTAAATTCTTCCAGATGGCTCCCGTCACCGTTTTACGCTTTCGGAATTTGACTCCCGAGCAGCAGCAGCTCGTCTACTTGAAGCTGGACCTCCGGGACAAGCGCAAATTACGAACCGTAGCTAAGGTGAGAATGAGAGAGAGAGCGAGAGTGAGAGAGAGAGCGAGAGCGAGAGAGAGAGAGAGAGAGAGAGAGAGAGAGAGAGAGAGAGCTTCCTATGCAGTTCTTCGCCCACCAGTCCGCCCACCACTTCTTGTTCGCCACCCGATTTCTGAGCATGTCCGTCACCCAATGGCAGAAGGTAATTTATACTCTCCCTTCTACCTACTCTTTTGTTTTGCTTATATCCCTTTCTTTTCATTTCACGGGATTAAACCGTCACCCCCTTCAATCCGCTAGGTCTAGACAGTCCCGCGACGCGCCAAAATACGTGCATAGGCACCAAATTTTGTGTAAGCATCTCACCGTCAGTGTCAATCCGTAGGTTTCGTGGCCTAGTCAATGACGGCGATTAATTAGCGCGTTTTCTGGCACCTTTAAAAAATGTTTAATCCTACTACAGGGTGATGATTAATTAGCTGCACGCCGCTTTTAACCCAAAAATTGGGCTCCAAATCTTATTTTATGGAGTTTTTATCTTTTGCTTTTATCATAGATAAATTTTACGTCTAGATAATTTCCGGACGCAACGGCGTGAGTCGCAGCGCCGGTGCATGGGGAGAAGCCCTCGAAATCGAGCTCATCGCGCATGGCTACGACTTGGAGTTGTGCGATCTGGAGGAGTAAGTAAAATTTTAAAATTTCGGCTTAGGCGCTCGAGCTGAAGCTTAAGCTTAGGCTTCGGCTTACGCTATGCTTATGCTTAGACTTCGACTAGGGCTAAGCCTAGGCTTAAGCATGCGATTGGCTTGGGACAGACCCCTCGTCGCCACACTTGCCACAAAACCTAAAAATACCTTAAAGGGGCTACGAAATGCCAAAGATTGAGTGACAGCCCGAAAATCTGAACCCTGTACGTCGGAGGCCTCTGTACAACTAGGGGCGCGGGAAGCTCGCAAATTTGAAATTGCCTGTTGTCACCTCGAAATCGCGTTCTCGGCTGTTTCTGGGCCAAATATGATGATTAAAACACCAAAACTGTTTAAAATTGAGTGAGGATTTCAAAAATGGGCTCAGAATGCGCGAATTGGAGTGTTTTCACAAAGAAACCGGGCAAAAACAACTTCGCGCAAGAATCGAAAGAGTGAGGGCTCTCGTCCCGCAGCGCCCGCTGGCAATTTGCTAGAAATCCAAGAGGCCTCCCAAAAGGGCTTTGATTTGGCAGTTCGGAGCCCCTTTAATCTGTCTTCCAAATTTTAGAGACGGAATCCAGCTCTCGAATCGAACGGACTACGCCAGACTACGATCGAAGGCGGCACAGATCGATTTCCTAAACCGTCTCACCTTGACTCTGCCGCCACAATACATCACCTTTAACTATCAAGGCTGGGAACTTCCAGTGAATTTTCGGACTTCGAATCCACGATGGATTTTCAGGAAAATTGATACACGCAACGCGCACGCATTCATCGAAAAAATCAAATTTAGGGCGGCGGCCCACTTCGCGCCGGGCTGAACATCTTGCGATGGCCGCTGAAAATCCTCCACTTCTGCGAGTCGGCGACAAAGATCACTGTCCTGCTGCGTGAGGAAAAGTTATTGGCCAGGCAACCGCATACCGTAAGTTAATTGTCATCGTACTTTTACAGCGCTTTACAATACCTAAGTCGATGTTTATCGAAGCCTAACAAGGAGGCGTTTTTAACGATCGGAGTTCCGAGTCCGTCCACAACCGATTTTACGCAGGATTTCCGCTGACTCGGAAACCGCTGTCCAAAAATGCAAAACACCGAATGTCGAGAAATTACAGCGCATTTTACGAATTTACGTACGGTAGCTCATTCCAACGCGCATTTTTTTCTGTAGAGAACGTGGCGTTTCCGATGGGACCCGGCCTATTTTGCGCAGAATTTTTTGCCGATCCCGAATCTGCTGTCAATTTTTGCCAAATAGCTCGTTTGAGAACGTTATAGCGATTTTAAGATCCGATTTGATTCCGCGGGAAGTCATCTGTCACGATGCCAAGCTTTTTTGTTTTAATTGCGCAGTCGATTTTCATTACCCTATCTTATAGGAAAATTTTTACTGTTTCGAACGGTCTATCTCATTGCAGCGCTACTGCCCATCGCCGATCACCTACGGGCGTAATCCATTTGCTTAATTTTCGCCATTTCCCATACAAAAATCGCCATTTCGCCATTTCCATACAATTGTTTTCGATTTCCAAAAAATTTTGAGCTAAGGAGCTCTTTCGATAGAAACTGAATACGATGGCGATATTCGTTTTTGAGGAATCAACCGGAAAAGGCAAAACAAATTACTTTGAAGTTGGCAAATTTGCGAAAAAAAATGGAACTTTGGAACACCATAACTTTTTAAAACGAGCTATTTGGCAAAGCTCGGACGCGTATTCGGAAAAAGTTGAAAATTCTGCACAAAATAGGCCCGGTCCCATACCGAACCGCCACCTTAACCTTACGTGGTTCCCCTTGTAAGCCTGCTGCGCTTCAGATAGACCTGCGATTCTCCGAGGGACACACGATCGAGCCCCGCCTACAGGCCTACCACGTCTTCTTCGAGCAAGTTGGTCAAGTCTCTAAAAAATTTATCCTTCCAATTTCCAAAGATTGCCCACGTGCCCCGGATTCTAATCGAACATCGCTACGATAAATTTGAGCACTGGCCGGCAACAGCAATGGAAGTGTTGATGAGCCTGCTAGAGGCGGCATTGGTGGTGGTAAGCTTCGTCACGCAGCTAAAAATCGCTTCAAAAACACATCGTTTTAAAGGTCGGAACCCGTGTGAAATTCATATTAGTCGAATCCACCAAGTACTCTGAAAACTAGTGATTCTCAAAAAATTCGAACATCTGAACAGTCGAGACTGTGAAGTTTGGGATTCTGAATATTCTAGCTTCTGAAAAATCGAGATTATCGATATTTGAAAAACTCCTTCCAGCATCCGCCACCCGATAATTTGCCACGCCTCGTCAGGATCCAAATCGTTTTTCAGCGGGAAAACGCCCGGAATTTGCTCGTGAGTCGATCTCATCAAGCCGATCTTGTGCAGAATTTAACGCCGATTCCGAATATGTTTTCAAAAGTTGCGGAATGACAGCAAAGTTAACGTATTTAAGTGTTCTACACTGTAAAAATACTTACTTTATGGTCCCATAAGGAAGCCCCAGAAAACGATTCCGTAAGTGTTTGACAGCAGGTTTCATTCAGAAAAATGAGCTTTCAGATGAGGAATATTCGAAATTTACGCGTAGTCAAAAGCTAAGCCCTTCATGTTGACATCAACTCTTAAAGTCCATGTTTTTCTCAGTAAAACCCGCTAGGGAACACTTCCGAAACAGTTTTCTGGCTATTTTTATGGGACATTGAAATTAAGGTGTTTTTGCATTGTAGAACAGTAAAATAGGTCTGAACTTTTCTAAAATTGTTTTCACGCAATTTTGGCAACCAGATTCGGGATCAGCGTTAAATTTTATTTCTTTCATTTTACATTTGCAACAATTTGCAAATGTAGGTTCGGTCTCATTTAAAACTCACGGTGAAAAGTTCAAAAAAAAGTTCTTTCCAGCCCGACTTCGCCGTTGCACCGCAACGCCTGGTCGATTTTCTGACGCGTGAGGTCAACGGCCTGACGCGAGATGCGCAGTTTACGATCCATCGATCGGTTGGTCTAACAGAAATTTTCTAAATACATGTTAAATCATCTGTATTACCGCTAATTTAAGAACATTTAAACTATACTTCCCACACTATATCACATCTCTAAGGTACATTCCTGGCGTGCCGTCGCGCTGATCGTGGAGCTGGCCCAGAATTACGGAAGTCGCGCCGAGCATCTGCGGGCCGAGCGCGCCCATCTGGCGGCCACCACCAACCCACTCAACTACGAGATGATAAAAATTTGGCCAGTTCTACCGGCCGTCGTGCATTGAGGGCCGAATTGCAGTTTTTTATGCTGCTATATAATTTAATAAACAATATAAGCATTTAATGCAGGTGATTATCGAAAAACGGTGGAAGATGCTTTCTCGCAGAATTTCTATTATACTTCGCCCGCCACCCTGGTGCCCCCCAAAAGGTGGGCAGGGGTGGGGGTGGAGGGTGGGCGCCGGGGGTGGGCGGGGGGTGGGGGGTCGGGGTGGGGAGACGACCCCCCCCCCCGCAAAGGAAAGCCATCAAATCTACAGTCGAGAAAATAGATCACATAGGTAATGAAGCTTTTTATAGTGTCTTACTAGGGAGGTATCTAAACTCGGCATCGAACTTTAAGAAGTCAGATACACCATTCGACGCGCCTTGTCGAGGGGATTCCAAATATGTAATAAAATCAACCAGAGCGTATAACCGTAAAAAGTTATGAGCATTCAAAGTCGACAAAATGGTGAAAAACAGTATCTTTGAGACCCTGTATCATCCCGCGGAATGGAATTTAGTCTAAACTAATTAGTGCTCCTTGTTCAACAAAGAAAGCTCTTTCAAATGAGCTATGTTACATACGGCTGCCAAAAATTTCCGTAAAAAATATTTTTGCAATGCGGCGTAAGGGCAGGGTATGGCCAGCTTGCCGAAGACTTTTCGAGAATTTCGCGTAAAGCCTATGTAAGATAGCCCATTCGAAAGGGAATTTTCTGCTGATCAAGATGTACTGTTCTGTTTTCGACAAATTACATTCTTCGAAGTCGTACAGAGTCTTAAAAGGGCGGTTTTTGATGATTTTGCTAACTTTGATATAGAGAGCGTCCAACCCTGGTCTTGTTGCCCGAGGTTATTTTATCATCGCTGGTGCCTTTTAGGGGTCACACAGTCAAGAAAAACTTATTCCCGAGTTTGGAAATGCAAAAAGTAGGTTTTGGTCAAAAAGCAAAAAATAAAAATCGTGAGTGGATCCGAACCCTGGTCATACAGGCCGGAGACCCATGCGCACACCACTAGGCCACGCGGCCGATGAACAGGGTGCGCTGGGAGGGGCTCATATCGCCGCGGCGGTTTTCGCTGCAAAACTTAAAATGCTCATAACTTTTTATCGTTATAGGCTCTGGTTGATTTTACTACATATTTGGAATCCCCTCGACAAGGCGCGTCGAATGGTGTATCTGACTTCTCAAAGTTCGATGCCGAGTTCAGATACCTCCCTAGTTAGTTAGTAATTTTTTTTATTGCTAAAAAGGTACATAAAATTCTCAACAACTTTGACCCTCCTTAGTCATTTTTCATACATTTTTGATCAAAAAGTCAATATTTTTCGTAAATTTTTATAATTTTGATGAATTTTTGTAATGTTTTCCGCTGTAGATTCCCGGTGGTTCCATTTTCTCCAATCACCCCACGGGAGGATTGCTCTTAGAGAAAATTTTTGGGTTCTTTAGGATTCCCGGGGGGGGGGAAAGTATTCCCGGGGGGGAAACCAATTTTTTTCCTGGTGGTCCCGGTTGGCCTAGTAATCAAATATAAAGTGTTTTCGAATTGTTTTTAGTAAGTTTTAACTATATTTAGAGCGGAATAACTTTCAGAAAAATTTAGAAAAATGTTTGAAAAAGTCGAAAATTTGGTCATTTTGGGTCTACTTTTCGACCTAATTTTTAATTTCTTACATTTTTTTTTGGTTAAAATGTGTGTAGTTTTTATGCACAGGAATAGTTAAAAACAATTTAGAAACGCATCCGCAATTTATACAAAAATCTAGGCTTTCGCCGAAAAAAATTTGTTTTCCCCCCCGGGAATACTTCCCCCCGGGAATCCTAAAGAACCAATTTTTGGCTTTTGAAAAAGATTTGTGGGGTTTTATTAAAGGAAATTTCCTATCCACAAACTGTGCAAAATGATATGAAAATGGTCGTTATAGGACCATAGGGCCCTATACTGTCAATAAACTTGGTTAAAGGCTAGCATTTTCGCTAGTCTTACAGTGGGGTGGGCGTCCAGGGTGGGTGGGGGGTGGGGGTGGCGGTGGGGTGGGGAGGCGACCACCCATCACTCTTCTACGAGTATGAGTTTTTCGTGGCGATCATCGACAAGTGATGCAGTTGTGACGAGAAGATAGAGAAGATCGAGAAGACGAGATTGAGGCGAACGTCCAGAGGAAATTCCGGAATAAATTTCATTCGTCGTTTTTTTTACAATCGCGACCGGCCGAACCTTTATTTCAACACTGTAATAACGAAAACAACAGAAACGCGCAACAACAAAAACAATGTGTAACAAATGGAATTTGCAAAAATCAACAACGTACGAGTCGAGGGGTAGTTAGTCAATCGCCTTCAAGTCCTTCTTGCCCAGTCGGCCGCCCTTCATCTTGCGCATCATTTGCCGATCGTCTACGTCCTAAAATAAAGGGCTTAGCAGCGTTTTGTACAGATTTTGCACCCGAATTTGTTCCTAAAGTAGAACTATAAAAAAATTCAGATTTTGGTCAAAAAACTGGCGCTTTTCTGCCGAAAATTTTTTATATTTCCACGAAAGAACAATTTTTATTGAAAGCCTGAAAACTTACGTTATCCGCAAACTTTGTCTTCTTATTCGGCGTCGCGTTCGAGCGGGTGGCCGTCGGTTTTCTCTGGAAAAATGGTTATTATAGCCAATAAATTTTTATTTACCTTTTTAGCCTTTTTCTCCTTCTTCTCGATGGCCGCCTTCTTGCGCTCCTGCTTTTGCACCGCCTTGTCGCCCTAAAAACAATAAGTATTTTCCAAACAAGCTAGGAAATCTCACCATCTTCTCGAGCCGCATCTTTTCGCGCTTCTCGTCGAGGAACTTGATCTTGGACGTGTCAACGTCACTTCTAAAAACGAATTGACCTCAAGAGCAGCAAACCAACCGCTTGAACTTGTCCAAATCGGTCCTCGCGCTCAGCTCCTCCATGCGGGGCATGCGTAGAAGGCCGTAGGCGTGGGCGAGACCGACGAGGTCTTGATCTACAAAAGGAGGAGTCAGAGTAAAAATTATAGCCCACCTTTCAGAGGGCAAACAATGTGGCAATCGTGTCGCTTGTACGCCTCGATGAAGGAGACGAAGGCGCGCGTGCCGGCGTTGAGGACGGCGCTAAAACCAGCGTTTTCCAGAATACTAACAACGGCTTTCCACAACTGAAGATTCTAAGACGCGGAATTCTCACCGGTCATGCACGGCAAATTTCCGCATCTGCTCCATGAGCTGCTCGGCCTTGAGCTCGGTCACCGTCTTCACGTGAGTCTCTTCAAGCTTCACCTGCTCGTACCTAAAAAAGAATTCTATAAAGTAAAAAAAAATAAAACACGGCATGGGCAAAACTCACTTTTCCACGAATTGAATGAACGCCGTCTCCTGTGGGGTGAGCATCAACAGGGAGAAGCCCTCGCGTCCGCACCGTCCGGCACGACCAGCCCGATGGACGAACCAACTAAAAACGAGTTATTTGGCACCATTTTCAAAAGTCAACCTGCTCGTCCGCGGCACGTCGAACTGCACCACCCAGTCGATGTTGGGCACGTCGATTCCGCGGCTGAACACGTCCGTGCACAGCAGCACGCCGTTTGTGCTGTTGCGGAACTTTTCCAACTAAATTCCGCGGTAAAATACAAAATATAATAGGTACCGTGACCGTCCGCTTCTCCGTGTTCTGGCCGTGAACGCCGAAGATGGCGCGCTTCTTGAGGAGGCGTGGGAAGATAAGGACCAGGTAGTCGACGCAATGACGGGACGAGAGGAAGACGACTATCTTGAAAAATCAAAAATGAAAAACAATTGAAAATTCCGCACCTTTTCGTTAGGCTTACTCCTGATGAATTCGAGCAGCGTGATCATCTTTAGATGTGCATCTGAGGTCTAAAGAAAAAAAATTAGGTTTAAATTTGAAAGTAGCCTTACAATATAGTAATTCGTCAGTGTCGTCGGGCAGACGGTGTCCTCCTGCTCCTTGAGCTTGATGGTGATCGGCTCGTGCAGCGGGAACTTGATCAAGTCCTCGGCTTCTTTGGCCTGAAAATTTAGATAAAAGGTCCAAATAATCTACTACACACCTGCGTTGCCGAGAAAAGACCGGTTCGCCGCTGCTTCGGCACGGCGGCCATGATTTGGGTGATGCTTTGGGAGAAAGCGGCCTCGGTGAACCGGTCGGCCTCGTCGATGATGAGCACCTGAACAAAAAAATGCTGGTAGTACGAAAAGCACCAAATTACGCCCAAAAATTTCGGGAAAAAACGCACCAACAGCGCCTTTAACGCCCTGTGCAGCGCCTGTGTGGTGTCCAGGGTCAGCAGCTGCTCCAACCGTCCCGGTGTCGCCACCAGTAAATTGCACCCGTCCTTCAGTATCGCCGCCAGTTCGTCGACCGGCTTCTTCGAGCCGCCGATGGCCGTCTTCAGCTTGAACTCGAGTTTGGCGGCGAACGGCTCGAGAACCTGGAAAAGAAGCGATCAAAAGAGGATTCCATGAAACCCACCTTGCCCGTCTGGATGGCCAACTCGCGTGTGGGGGACAGGATGAGGGCGCCGATTTCGCTCGGCTTCCACTAAACCAAACGTGTTAGGTGGCCGTTGATAAACAACGAGTACCTGAGACTTGGTCTTGTCACTGTGGCGGCGCATCATTGTCAAAACGGGCAGGCCGAAGGCGAGCGTCTTGCCGGAGCCGGTCGGCGATTCGACGACAACATCGTGGGGCCCGAGGAAGTGGCCGAGGACTTGCGTCTGAAAAAAGGTGATTAGACCCTGGGCAAAAACACTACTATCCACGTGTTTCACATAAAAATCTAGAAAAACGGCTTTCAAAGCTTCCCGTTCAAAAGACCAGCCAAATTTGTCATTTTAGAACCCCGGGCGTAAAAACCGTGGCAAAACCTTCAATTCAGGGAAACCACGTGCGTTTTTTCGCGTCGTCAGAGCTGTTGCTAGCCACATAAATCCTATATTACCAAAATCGCGCATTGCCGAGCGGCTAGAACAAATAAGTTTTTTTGAAGAATCTGTGTTACTTTTTTAGGTTTTTCAAGTCAAAATCTCCTAGAAAAAGCGTTTCAAAGTTTATGCTTTAAAAGCCCAGCTTTACCACCGGCTCCCGCATTGGAGGGACTACGGGAGAAGCCGAGCTGGCCATTGGGCCCGGGTGCGCCAGCCGCAAATCGATCCGTCCCCAAGGGCCCCCCGGCTGTCGAGAGCCGCCCGCGACCCCAAAATACAACGCTGCTATTCCACAATATTTCTAAGACGTTTCTGACTAAATAAATTCTATTTTCAAAACCCCGGCTCTTCGATGCCATGAACAACAAGGAGCAGCACCAATGGGGCAAATACTACTATCAGGGATTGCGGAAAAACAGGAATTGGGCCCTCGAGGTTCTGCACAACCTGAAATCCGAGATCCCGACTTTCCAGGAGATTTTTGATCAGGTACACTAGACCAATTAGCCACCAAAAAAAGTTCAGGAGACTTTCTACATGTTCGCCTTCCTCGTCGTCGTCGGCACCATACTTTTTGTGATATTCTTGGCGAAAGTGGTGGGGGTAAAGATCAAGGTAAGTTCGAGAGAAAAAAACCGTATCCATTGAAAACTAACAAAGAAAACAACAAAACCTAACCCCAAGCTTTCTAGGAACATCCGCTCGAGGTGAATCGAGACTGGGGGGAGCCCGTGCCAGCCCATTTCTTCACATTCCCCTGGCAGGAGGCCAAGAATCGAAAGGAGCAAGAGGAGACCCGAAAAGCCAAGAAAACCAAGGCAGAATGACGGGTTTTTGTGCTCAGGAATAAAGTATCTCAAACCTACATTATTCGCGCAAAGTAAAAACCCGTAAGTTTCAGAGTAAACTAAGCGAAATAACGAAAAATCTACAGCCAATGATAAAAACACCATTAGATCCCACTTTCTTTAAAAAAAATGCAGAAAAAGCTCGTTCATTTAGAAAATTACAGACCTGAACGTTGGTGAATCGCTTGTACTTTTCTTCAAAAACGGCCAGCACGTCGGGGTGGAGCAGGGCCTTCGTCGGGGCATCCGGATCGGCCTAAAATGCTAATAATTATACCCAATATTGGCTTTTCTAAGCTAAAAAAAACTAAAACACCGCTGTAAAACTCGAAAATCACTACAAGAAACGCAAGACTAACGGATTAGTTACCTCGGGAAGCTTGTTCTTCTTCGTTTTCTGCTTCTTCTCGACGGGCTTGATGCTGGCGACCGCTTCCGTCTTCTCGGTGACTGGCTTCTTTTTTGCCGACTTTGTCATTACCTGGAAAAGATGTTTTAGAAAGTGAAGCTAAGGAGAAAGAAAATGAAGATGGGTTTTGAGCGAAACTTTGGATAAAAAAGCAAAAATAAGAGGAATGTATGCTGAAACGTGGTTTGAGGCTGACTAGGGGGAAAAATCGCTAGATATACCCAAAACAAAGAATATAAGCAGACCGCAATAAAAAATGGAGCATATAAAAGTGCAATAATGGCCGCAAAATATTTTGACAAGAGCAACGCGCCTGCATAGCCAACGCCCGGGAATTTGAAAGCAACATACCGACGTCTATATAAATGTGGCAAGTAAGCTTTTATCGGGAAGAAATGAAGATATAAAAAAGACGGCGCTACTTAAGTTTGCTGGCCCCACTTATATTTCGCCAAAACCTCATGCTTCCGGGCTAGTTTTTTGCGCTGATTACGAAAAACACTATCCCGAATCGTGAAAATTGTGTTTTGAAGGGAAAAAACAAATTGCATTGTCAGTTTTCATGGTTTGAGTTTCAAGCGGTTAACTAGGGCGTTGAAGTGGGAGGCCTATAAAATGGGGAAAACCCTATTTCCAAGAAGGCTTATCCCTTGCGTTCGTTTTTTCCTAAAAATAAGGCTTCGTGCCACCCGGGGCCTAGTCGCTTCGGATGGGTGCGAGCTCGTACAGGGTTTCGAAATCGGGGCGTCCGAGGCGCGCGCAGCGGCCAGGCGCCCCGATTTCGAAAGAGTGGAGCGGCAGCCCATCCGAAGCGACGGCCCGCCTTGCCTGACAATGCTACAAGCTTATTTTTTTCTTGGTAAACCAGTTTTTGGTTATTTATTTAGTTAAAAACCCCACAAAAATACAAGTTTTTCGCAAGCGCCGTAAAATGGAATTTTCCCGATATTCAAATTAATTTTTTCCTAAATAGCATTTTCGCGGGCTAGGATAGTGTTTTTCGTAATCAGCGCAAAAAACTAGCCCGGAAACATGAGGTTTTGGCGAAATATAAGTGGGGCCAGCAAACCACAGGCGCCCGTTTTCTGCCGCAAAGTTCGGGGAGCCCAGAAAATATAGCGGTAGAGAAAAGTGAGGGGCGCAGAATTGCTTGTAGGCCATTTTATAGTGTTTTAAACAATTTTTAGACATAAAAAGCTCATGAAAAATATGAACATTTTCGAAATTTTGACTTTTTACGAAAATTTACGAAAGAATGGCGAAAAAGGTTAAAAAATTCTCGTTTTTCAAATAGTTTTATGACTTTCTAGCATTGAAAAACTAGTAAAACACTGGAAAAGAGCACGATTTGTTGTCAACAGGAAGGCACCAAATTTCCTTTTCTAGCAGTTGCTCCATTTTCATTTCCGGAATCTCCACGGTCGTCAAGCCGTACAGTAGCGGTTAAAAAGACGTCTCCTCGGGAAATCGTCTGGTATTCGAACAAAATACATACAATTTTTATGAAATTTTGCCTCTTGATCAAATCAGACACGTGGAACAGGATTGCAGCATCAAAATCTGAGGAAAACTTGTTTTCATGGCCAAATTTTGATTTGTAGGAAATTGCTGAAAATTAATTTGTTTGCCTGAGAGTTTTACGCATTTAAAAAATATATGCATCGTGTTCCGAACGGCCGAAAACCGATATTTTATGGCGGTGTTGCTCGATTTTCATTCCCTGAATCTTGACCGTCGTCAAGCTGTACGTGCCGGTGACTCAACCTGATCTCCCGGCTTACGTGGATCCATCATTCCGTCGCCAACCCATCGGCCCTCGTAGTGCGGGCCCCCACCAATATTTTAGTGGCCCCGTCTTTTTCGGCCGTGTGTATTTCTCTGGCCCTAGCTATTGCCCGGTGGGCCCTTGGCCCGGGCTGCGGGTCTTTTGTAAAAATTTGCCCCCCCGACGAACAGCTGTCACACATCGTCGAGCAGGGGGACGGCGAGTAGCCCTGGTCACTCCGCGCCACCCTGCCCGGTCGGGGGTTCCGGACTAAAGTTTTTTTGGGATTTTAAAGTCTGTAAAACCTCTATTCACTTTTTGGTTCTTTCCGAGTATCGGGGGGGGGGGGGGGGGAAGGCCTTGTATTACTATCCTTTTTTCCAATATTTACAGCGGAAATGTTTCTAAGTTGTTTCGTTAATACTCCCCAATGTCAAAACTTTATAAATTTTTAGTGAAAAAGGCAAAAATATAGATTTTTCCACCGAAAATGGCCGGTTTTGACCAAAATTTCGACTTTTTGAAAAATTTTGAAAGTTTTTGTAGTTCAATATAATTTTATTTTACTAAAAACATGGTCAAAATACTGCATTCTTTTGATTAGTCGCTTTCAAAACAATAACGTACGAAATTTCTCCGGGAACTAGAAGAATGAAGGTCGGCGGGCATAAAATGTTGTTTTTTGCCCAACCTGAAGCGTAAATTTAGTTTTTTTTTTAGGTTTTCAAAGTTTTTGAAAATTACAAGCCTTTGCTACAATTGCTTGAAATGCTGTAAGGTAAATTAAAAGTTATTCTAATGACGAAATTGCTATATTTTCTTGTATTTTTCCAGCTGCCGCTACATCAATGGAATTTTCCGGAGAATTCTGGGCACTTGAGCCCCGTCAAGTTTTGCATCGAGGGTCCAAGGTTCCAAGACATTGCGATAGATCGTGAAATATAAATATCTAAGTTTTAGGGTTTTAAGAGAATAATAAATGAAAAATCAATTTGAAGATTTTGGTTTTATTAAACAGCTAAATTTCGAGATTTCAGCCGGATTTCTTGATATTGTTTTTGCGAAATTCAATGAACAGCCGCCATTTCCACCAGTTTGCCTATTTTAAGCCGAATGACTCAACGAGAAACAGCAGCTGATCAGTTGTGCCAAACGGGATAACTGGGCTGAGAAAAAGCCAGAGGAAAATAGGGCCATTTGACCGGGTGGATGGCCCCAAAGCCGGGGCCCCACTTAGCTTCTCAACCTGCTGAAACTGTTTACCCACTTTTTATCCGCCGTTTTCGAGGCGCCTGGAACGAGCGACGGGAGGGATCTCACACGCACAGGTCAACCCCAAAGCCCCCATGACATATCCGGCCGTTCGGTTTGTGGGTTTTGCAAAGGGTCTCTGCTAGCCTGCCGTTAGTAGAATCATATTTTTCTATCCTCTAAGGATCTCTGCTAGCTTGCCTTGGGGAATATCATATTTTTTCGAAAAACTCGGGTAGCCTCGCAAACACAATTAATGTTTCCTGTTTTCTCTGAGAATCTCTGCTAGCGTGTCCTTGATAGAAATATTTTGCTACTCTCTAAGAACCACTGCTAGCCTACAACCAAGATTAGGCAAGCTGGCAGAGACCCCTTGGGAAAGATGGTCAAATCCCCTGGACCGCACCCCGGTCCCTTAAAGAAGCCGTGGTGTGAAGATGTCCTATCGGGGTGCTTGGGCTCTCTCTCTCTCTCTCTCTCTCTCTCTCTCGATCCCATTCCGAAGTGTCCTATTTGCGCGCGAGCCCCTCAAAAATGACGGCGCGTGGCGGGCGCCGTGACCACTGTTATTCCCATCAAGTCTATTGTTCTTGTAATTTTGCAAATTTCTGAAGCTTACTTTGGATTTTGGTCCGCTGCTTTTCTAAGAATCAACTTGCAATTCCTTCCTTACATGCCCCTTTAAAGGGATCCGAAATTTCCATTTCAGATGGCCGAGCGAGAGCTGGCCGAGAAACTGGCCCGCCGCTTGGCGAAGGTCGAGCAGCCCGAGGAGCCGCAGCCCGTCAAGCTGCCCCCGCCCCCTCCGCCCATGCCACCAGAGGAGGTAGGCTAGCAGCTAGGCTAGAGATCATTTGGGAATGGAAGGGGCAGGCTAGCAGAGGCTATTTCCCACATTTTTCAGGTAATCCCGAATCCATACGTGGCGTCCGACCCCACTTTTAACATCGACGATGTCATCCAGAAAGCGTTAGCTGATCGCAATTCTGCCCATTCCTCCGAACTCAACAACAATCAGGTATTCTTAAAGAGCCTTTGCCGGTTTGCCTCGAATTCCGCAAAAATGTCTGCTGGCCTGCTCTCAGAATCGTGCAAATTTAGCCGACGTCGTCTACTCCGGCGCCGACTTCTCCCCCGCCCCCGATCCCAACACAAAGCAAAGAGCCAAAGCCGCCCCTCTCCCTCGCCCAGCTCTGCAAAACGGAAGCTGTGCCAGAGGTCAGTGAACTGAGCTTCCAAAGTGATCCCTGCTGGCCTGCCCCTTCCATTCCCAAATGATCTCTGCTAGCCTGCCCCTTCCATTCCCAAATGATCTCTGCTAGCCTGCCCCTTCCATTCCCAAATGATCTCTGCTAGCCTGCCCCTTCCATTCCCAAATGATCTCTGCTAGCCTGCCCCTTCCATTCCCAAATGATCTCTGCTGGCCTGCCCCTTCCATTCCCAAATGATCTCTGCTAGCCTGCCCCTTCCATTCCCAAATGATCTCTGCTAGCCTGCCCCTTCCATTCCCAAATGCTCTCTGCTAGCCTGCCCCTTCCATTCCCAAATGATCTCTGCTAGCCTGCCCCTTCCATTCCCAAATGCTCTCTGCTAGCCTGCCCCTTCCATTCCCAAATTATCTCTGCTAGCCTACCCTCATCCTACTTATTTCAGCTTGACGCAACTGCATTGAATCGGCGACCACTTTTCAAAGTCGAACACCATAGGTAAGGTATCAGAGATTCACATCGTAGCTGTCGTGACCTAGGCGATGGAAGGGGTCGATTCTGGGGATGCAAGGTCTCTTCAAAATAGCTTTTTAGAGAACGAATACAATCCCCGTCGCGTGCCCTGTTGAAGCAGGATAGTCAAGAGAGCGAGCTGGAAAAGTGGGTGAAGCTTTCGGAGCTTAGAATGAAATTTGCTAGGGCCCTAGCGGCGCAGCGGAGAAAAAAGCAGCATCAAGAAGTCGTTCACGAGCAGTTGCAAAATGGTAGAATGGTTTTAGGGTTAAACCTTATTGCTAATTCTCGCACTCTCTTCTCTCTCTCTCGCTTTTCTCTCTCTCGCTTTT